GCCAGCATTTTAAAGCATCTTTATTCATCTACATTGATATTGAAGATTTAATTTTAAAATAGACAAAGAGTATGCTGTATGTATATTAGGTGTAAGGTAAATCCCAAAATGTTACTATTTATTTGAGTTAGATTTAAACAAATAAAATATAATCAGGCATGTTTGTTTCCTACATAGTCTATGGTCATAGGCCTAGTGCTGACTTCATAATGAAAGGCGTGTCGCTAAGGAATTTGAATTAGAGAGGAACTAATTTCTGCATAATACTTACGCAGCTGGTGTCGCTTAAATTAAAATCTGTGATTATATTCTGCTAACATTTAAAATAAATGGTTACATAGTACTGAGTTGTATTTGATAATTATATGGGTGTTCTGTCATCGCTCATAAAACCAGTTTATGCCTGCGGCTATGCCCGTATATGCGTTTCAGCTAGCGTGAAAAGATTAACCTATGTTTTTAGGTATCTATATACTTTGATGAGAACCGCATTAATATCGACGTTTAAGCGAATGAAACAAGCTTTTATAGATAATTTATCAAGGGGACAACTCAAATACGAAATGTGTTCATATTAACTCTTTTTTTTAAAGAAATTGCGAGCACAGACCAAATATTAATCGCAATCATACACCGACATAATTTTGTTTAGTCTGTATCAATCCTAAATAACTTTTTATTCACATGTCAGCAGAATGTTTAAATAGTTGTCTCATTTCTAAGAATTTCTTGCTGTTCATAGACTAACAAGTTGCTTGTGCCTACATAGTTTGTTTAAGGAAAGTTAATCCTTATTTTATGAACCATGAAATATCTGCTTTTAATATTATTGAATATATAATATATTGTCTGTAACTTAACTGTAAAGAAAATATTGTGAGTCAGTTTTCTACTTAGCAATAAAGTGATATATTTCTGAAGAATACGTATTTCCTACAAAGCAACAGCTAAGCATACATCAAATTATTATGACTGTTTGTAATAACAAATTAAAAAAGCATTGTTCTCATAACTGTTTGTGGACTTTTATTGAAATGAAAAGAATAAATATTGTTTAGATATTTTTTTCATGCATTTTTCAGATTCATGTATTAACGAGAATTTTAAAAGTTTTCAATAGACGGTTTATTACTTGAAATTTTTCTTCATACCACTTTATTTTTGTTACATTTGTGTAATCCCTGGATATATGAAATAATAAATAGCATCTCCATATTTAATTAAATAATTACATCATATTAAGGTGATTTTTGTTTATGTTTTGTTTTATTTCAAGCATAAGTCAGTTGAATTTTTAGTTCACATTATTATAGTTAGTAGTCAGTATACGTGTTTATTTGTATGTAGGTATGCTATATATTAGCATATAAAGAAATTCAATATATTTTTGTTAATGTGTTATTATAAACTATTCTATTTCTAGAACAATAAACGAAAATAAGTTGGAACAATGTCACGGGCTGAATTTGTTTCAAATATTGAATCAATAAACACACTATGACTTTAATATTTCCTTAACTATTTTCATAGAAATATATAGCAGCTGTTAGAGACGTAGTTACATTCATCATATAAATAGTTTTATGATTAAATCTACACTCCTCACTTATAATTGTATTATGTACAGGAAAAATGTTTTACAACTTGCGATTGTATGCGTAATGACTACTAGACTCCAGAAAACAAAAAAATCATTAGTATTTATGCCGACATTTTTAAAATTGATTTGGATGTACTTATTATTTATACGATTATATCCAAGAATGTTTTTGAAACTGTGAAATTTTCGTTACTATCCATCCTTTTTTTATGATAAAGAAGGCAACCGAGTCAGCCTACCTAATGGAGGTAGTACCGTCGTCCATAGACATTTCTTATGTTGCGGATATGTCACCATGATTTGGAAAGAGGAGAAGGAAAAAGTGGGAAAGGGAGGGAAAGGGAAGGGGAAGGAAAGGGTGGGAAAAGGGAAAGAACAACCGGCTCTCTCACCCATCCGACGAAACGCAGCCATTCACGCCGATCTTCTGTAAGAGGGTGGTACTTCAACAGTCAAGCCAGCCCATGTTCGAGCTGTAGTAACTGACCACAGCTAGGCTCTACCACCTGAATTTTAAATCTGTTTGTAGAATATTAATTGGCTTCAAAACTTTTAATTGTTCTCTGTTTGGTACTAACAATATAACTAATTTTAAAAAGGGTATTGTTAGGCTAGTATGTTTTACTTCTACTCTATTACTACATAGCTGTTCCTTTGTGCTGACCCTACTTATACTATAAAAAATAGAAAAATTAATAATTTATATGTAAGAAAACATCATCTTTCTACTGCATGGATTGCTTAAGACAAGAAAAACTTTCAAGAAAAAAAAATAGTTGCATGTAGATAGTCGGGCTCATAAATATAATTGGTTTATATACATTATATGTATGTACATTTATAAAATAATGATCTTCATTAAGATTTAAGGCTATGTTTTAAGATATCATCTTAAATCATGACATCTTTATATGTCTTAGCGGTAGTGACTTTCATTTTGATGTTGTTTTTTTTTGTTCAAATAATGAATTGTAAACACTATAGCCCACCATAATTTATTTTAGTATGATTTGTAAACGTTACGTAATGTAGGTATAACTTAAAGCATTAAACGTTGTTTATGACATGAATCATTATTTTATAAGTAATTATCGGACATGCACACAGCTCTTAAAATTTATATTAAGTACTTCTTAATCCTAAAAACAAACTAAACAACAGATTTGAAAACTATTATATATTTTCTAATAGCTATAAATGTTGTTCTTTTACATTTTTTATGTATTTGTAAGATTATTTTATAGTACTGAGTACTGATTACGCATTTTCTGAAAATGAATTAATTTTTAAGACCCATCAAAATGATACGAACATGATATAATTTTTTAAAAATCTTTGTTTTTCACTCTTTACAACAAATTTCAATTAGGTAACGTATGTGAGGTGGTTAGTTATATTAAATTTATGAATGTTCTATTCGATCTCGCTAAGATCCCTACACTTATCATCCTTTAGGTTTTTTTTATCATTTACTATCATTAAATCTTAAGTTTGAGACTTGAAACTTAATTTTGTAATACATTTCGCAATGTTCAAAGTTCAAGCCAGACAAACATGTTGTATAATTCAGAGGGCAATTCTTTAGATTAAAATGGGGGCGGTTTGAAATAACATTTCTTGGAAGAAACGCCTCGGCTGCCAAGAGCTCTGCCGCTCATTGCCATTGCCAGATGAATTTAAGATGTCATTGACCAAATATCATCTGCTAAGGATAGTCCATAGCCAATTGCTTAAAGCAGGCAAATTGCTCAAGTAAAATTGAGCCTACTGGGCCCCTAAAACATTCCGGACTACGCACAGAAATCAGTTGAAATAAGAAACCTAGCATTTAAATATAAACATGACTATTTCATGTCAAATGAGATTAAATACGCAATATGGCTATCTATCGGCTTCAATTTTATATCCATAAATATTATTATGTCACTCATAATTTTAGCCGACTTCAAACTGAGATCTATTTTTGACTTTTAAAAATGTATTATCCTTTCTACCCTATTAATTTTACACTTATAAATTTCATATTAAATAAAAGCTTTATTTTATACTCAATGCTGTCCGATTAAAATTTTGTCAAGTTAGGATTAAAGCATAGATAATTTTAAACAATTATATTATACGCCACATGAAGTCACTCCGTATATATACTTCAAAATGTCATTTGTTATTCAAAGACGTCGATTTGATAGAGAATATTAATATAGAATTATCGTATAGATAATGTTTTTAAAACTTCATATATTTTTAATGAGAGTGCACTGCATTGGTTGGTTTATAAAGTATTATGTATACCTAATGCAATAGAAAACAGTGATTGTCATTAGGTTTTTTATATTGAGTTTTTATATAAAGCTTGTTTTTTTTGCAACAAATAATTAAGATAAAGTGGCATAGATTGAACTTTTCTTAAAATAATTTGTTTTCAAATGTTACTCTATAATTTTGTAATAATTATATTTAGAAACCTATAGCTGAAAGTAATATTTTCGGATTACTAAGCGTACTATTAATACTCCTAGTAAAACAAAAAATACTCGCAAAAGTCTTAGATTTCATTAGATAACTATAATTTACTATGTTTTAAAAATTTATGCAGTTACAAATTAATGTAAGCGTTGGAAGATTCTTCAAATGTTTACATAGCGAAACATAAACAATATCACACTTATAAAAGCAAAACAAGAAAAGGGGAAGAAAAAAATATTTTAGAGTATTATTTATGTCGGAAAAAAGCAATCCACATTAAATACGGTCTCATCTTAAAGTAATAAATTATATGTAGTTTTCTTAAAAGCTTTTTACCAATAAAAGTGAAAACAAACACCATGTTTATTAAAATTTAAATAAATATTATATCTTTATTTTTGCCAATTATTTCAAATCATAACCTTGTTACCAGGATTTAACATTGCAATTTTTTTTTCTTTTAGCACAAGTTTTATATTTTTGAAATATTAATATAGAAGCATTGAGAACTCAATTCAACCTTAATTATAAAAGTTGGTATTAGTTAAATATCAAAAGCCGGAGTATTAGAGTGTCAGATTTTATCACAACTAGAATTATCTACTTGGTAGTGTGTAGTTTATATATATCACTGATATTTTTAATATTATCTTTATTTTAATTATATTTATTTTGAACCGTCAATAAAATGTACTTTATGAAAGTCTATAATCTGAACAAGTGTGAATAGAAACGTAAATATCATAAAATGTCAAAACTACGTTTCTGCCATGTGTCAAATGTCAATTTACAGTGTCAGTTTTCATACAAACATTTTACTATTTTTAGTTTTATACCTTTTCCCACGTTTTCCATTAAGAATTATTCACTTGGTACTTAAATCAGTAATATCAAGACATAAAATTTGTGGTTTGTGATCTAAGTAATATAAAACATGGGACGAAAACTTCAATCAAAACTTACTTCTAAGAAGAAAAATGTTAAAGAAGGGAATAGGTTTTTGCAGCAAAGACGAAAAGAATTAGCAGTTTTAGTAGATACATTACTTAAACTAACCAGCACGTTTCAAAGTACGGGTAAAAGCTTTGATCACCATTTACAAATCGAAGCAATTATCAAAGAAATTATAAATATTGAATCTATTTCAAATAAAAGTACAAACAGACAGAGGAAATTATATATAGAAAAGTATGTCAGTTGGTTACATGAACACGGAGCAGAATTTGAAGGTATAACTTATAATACATTGTTCTTACTTGTGACTTCATTTAATTTTTCAGATATTTAAAGTAATTATTTGGATACTTTCACATCCATGTAGAAAATTAGAGCATATCATTCAAATGAAACTATTTTGATAAGTAATCTTTATGACCATTTATATATTTTCAGGAGTGGAAATAAGTGAATTTGATGGTTATGGGTTCGGTTTAAAGGCAACCAAAGATTTTTCAGAAGGATCACTTATATTAACTGTACCCGGCAAAGTTATGATGAGTGAGAAAGATCCAAAAGCATCCGACTTATCAGAATTTATTAACATAGATCCACTTTTACAAAATATGCCAAATGTTACCCTAGCATTGTTTTTGCTATTAGAAAAGAATAATCCCGGTAAGTTTATTGTTCATACTATTATGATAGTACTATAAAGACAAGAAGAAATTTGCTTCATTTCTTACTCCTTCAAGGGATCATGACTCAACTTAGGACATGATTACATGCTTGTATTGGGATTTCAAATTTTTTATTTAGCTATAGGATATGTATATAACGGGTGTCCCAACAAGAACGCAATTTTTAACTTTGGCTCCATTTTAAGTGGCATTGTTTGACATTTGAACAATTGTTATTATTTGCTTGTAGAAGGTACAAGGTTTGTAAAAATGGAGCGCTACACGAATGAACAACGCATTTTCATTGTAAAATTGTTTTACCAAAATGGTGAAAGTTTTGCGGCTACAGTTCGCAAATTACTCAAAAAGAGTCAACTGTAAAGAGATTAATGAATAAATTTGCCGAAACTGAGTCTGTTAGTGATGTAAAGACAATAACAACAACGCAAACAGTTAATGGTGTTCGATATCGTGAAATGATTACCAGTTTTTTCTTGCCTAGAATCGAAGAAATGAATGTGGACGGGCATGTGGTTTCAACAAGTCGGCGCCACATGTCATACAGCCATAGAAACAATTCAATTGCTGCATCAGTCATTTCCTGGTCATGTTATTTCCCGTTTTGGAGACCAGAATAGGCCGCCTAGATCGTGCGATTTAACACCTTTAGATTATTTTCTTTGGGGTTTTTTGAAGTCGATGGTTCACGCGAATAAGCCGACGACGACTCAAGCCTTAAAAGGGGAAATTGGACGCTGTATTAATGAAATACCGCAGTATTTATGCAAAACGGTCCTAGAAAATTTCATTCAAAGTTCGCGCGTGTGCCTGCAAAGCCGCGGCGGCCATCTGCACGATATCTTGTTCCATACATAACCTCATTCTATCTACTTTACGATATAATAAAGTTTCACGATATTTTTTTTAATATCAGTGTTTTATTTAAAATTTAAAAATTGCGTTCTAGTTGGGACACCCTATATAATACTAACCATATGTATAGAAATTTAATATACCTTGTAAAAAACTAGTAAGTTATCTAAGAAGATGCATGATCAGTTATGATTGTATCAATTTATGCTTCTATTTTATTAATTAAAAGTATAAATAAAGTTTGTCATTCCAGCTTAATCCCATGGAGTAACAAGTAACACTAAAATTATCTTATAATATAAATTGCATCATATTTTCAAAAATGTAGTTGTAGCTTTGAATGATGTATCAAAATAGCTAAATAAAGAACTCAATAAGTTTATTCTAATCCTGAAACTATTTTTTTTTTTATAAAAGTAAGTCCAAAAACACAAAATTTGCATTTTGTTCTACACAAAAATAACTATAAAATTAATGGTTAGTTTTGATAAAAATTTAATGGTAGCCAGCAATTGAGAAACTTTTGTAAATTTTATTTGATTAAACTCTCTGGTTATTTAAATAAATGTTTGTAACACTTTACAGATAATGAATTTCTAGTATTGTATATATTTGAATATGTCCTATAGGATTTATATATCAAGTTAACTTATTTTGATAATTATGTCTTAAAAACTTATTTCTCTTCATAATGTGATAATTTCCTTTTCAGACTCTTTCTGGAAGCCATACATTGATGTATTGCCTGAGAAATATTCCACAGTACTATACTTTACCTCAGAAGAACTGGCCGAGCTAAGGGTATATATTCAGCAGTAATTAAAATAAATTATTATGATTGCCAGCGTAAATATGAATAAATCATTTGTTTCAGCCTTCACCTGTTTTTGAGTCGTCATTAAAACTGTACAGAAGTATTGTTAGACAATACGCCTACTTCTACAACAAAATTCACACAATAGACTTGCCAGTACTCAAAAATCTACAAGATATATTCACATTTGATAATTACAGGTGAGATATATATTATTAAAATAAAATCACAGAAAAAATAGGGACTTAAATAGGTAAAGAATAAAATTATAAGTAAAATGTGTAAGGGTAAAATAAAACACTTTATTGTTATCCAAAATTTATATTAAAAATAAGGAAGATAAAGAATAATATTGACTTGTATTGCACATGCCGTTTAATACTGAAATGTAGAATATGCCTACTTTTTAAAAATAGCAAAAATGCAGAGATACCACATTAATAAAATTATTATAAAGGTCATAAATTAAATTAAGTTTATAGTGTTATTAATAGAGATAATATTACTGATATGGTTTTCTTAATGAATCCCACATATATTCAGGGGATTCACTACCTTCTCTTGGGTCAATAGAATCTATGGTGTAAATATTACTAGACAACATAGGACTTTTACTTCGAGTACTGCTATTTAGCTTTTGAGTTTTCCTACTTTCAAATACCGGTGTAGGGACACATGCGTCTTCTGTGTTTTTGGTCTTATTAAATATTAAGCTTTGCTGTTTCCATTTTAATGCGGCATAAGTCAATAAGAATAATATCAATGCTAGCCCTATTATACTTATCGTGGCTACTGTTACCGATCTAGTGTTACTAGAAACTGGAATTTCAACTTGAGGTCTTTGTGGAGGTTGATTTCTTTCATACAGATTAATCTCTAGTAACTCATCTGTACTGATTTTGTTATTGAATTTTTCCAAATTCTCTAAATCTTCAAAGATTAATGAGCCATCGTCAATCGTGTCTTTTAGATTCTTCTTAGACAGATATGGAACCTCATCTGAAATAAATATATTTTAACCTATAGATTTTAAACATAACTTATTTATACTAACATATTTATATAAACATTTCTGTTACCTGTAGCTAATGTTTTGTCTTTACTTTCTTGGTGGTTTGTCTGCATTAGTTTTATCAAATCATTCCACGTCACGGAATCCTTGACTCCGTTAAATGAACGTCCATCTCTTTCATTATCATCTGTTATTGAAGCATCTTTGTTTATAACATAACTATCATTAATAGTTTTATTATCAACTTTGCTAAAATTCTTAAATAGTGATATAATACCCATGTTTTCTCCAATTTCGTTCACGTTATTTCCAAAATCCATGACGACTGGTATATTTAAGTTTGATGTATTTGGATCTAATGTTGTTGTTTTCGCGTCATGTAAATTTGCTTCTAAGAGAGCTCTGAGAGGGTATGTCTCTTTGGATATAGGTTCTATAAGTGATTTTGTAAGGAACGGTTCAGGTGGATTCGGCTCTCTAGATGCGTTATGGAATATATCTGCTAAGTGTAAATGACTCGACCCTCGTTCTCGATGAGCCACTAATTCATTCAGCGTCATATTTCTCTCCTTTAAAATCTCTATGAGTCTAGCATTCGCTGTGAATAAAAATACATAATTTATATTCTGACACAAATATGGCTAGTATAGAGTTTGACTATATAAAAGAGTATATATTTTCAAATTGTATTTTACTACTTACTCATACTGTCGTTAAGGATCTCTTCTATTTCCATATTAGCTGTTTCTTCTGTAGTAAATGTGCTTGGTGTTGTCGATGCAATTTTGAAGTTGGTGGTAGGCAGTTCTTTAGTTTTGTGCCTATTTGTTACACCTTGAGTAGCCTCTGTCGTTAAGAAATCTTCTAACGTTGAAAAGTCGTTATCGTCAATGGCATTCGTCGTTTTTGTTTGTGTTTTAGCTATAAATTCTGACGCGGAGACGAAATTAGCTTCACCAAAAACATGTTGCAACGCTATGTCATCCGGATATTCCGTGGTTGAAACTTTTTGCCTTTGTCTTTTTCTCTTAAGCTTATTAGTGAAGACTTGACGTCTGAGATCCGATGTGCTTACAATCGGTTTTATAGAAGAAGTTATTGACTTCTCTGAAACAATAATGTTTTCAGTTTCCTCATTTTCATTACTTTCAGTGGTAACCTGAATATTATCTATTAGCGTGCTGGAGGGTTCAGTACCCATCTCAATGACCATCGGAATTTCTGTGTCCTCATAAAGAACAGACGAGTCTGTGGTAGTTTCAAATTGTTCTTGAGTAGTACTTTCTTGTGGTGTGTAAGCGGTAGTAGTTATATTTTCAGTATTATTATCGTTTTCGTTAGTACGCTGTGTTTTCATATGCCCTAATTTCACTCTTGATGGTAGATATTCTTTCCATTCTCGTGGCCTGGATACGTTTCTGTTATTTTTGTATTTAAGTGCAGATTGCGCTATTAGATCTCTACTTAATTGTCCTTTAAATGTGTGCGTGTTATTAGTCATCGACCTCATTCTTATTTGTTTTCGAATAGGATATCGTCGTCGTAAATAATGTTTAGTAGTACTTCTAGAGGCTTCGGTAACTACTGGTTCTTCACTTAATACAGATTCAGCACGTCTTGTTAGTGTTTTTTGAGGATTACTTTCACTCGTTGTACTACTTGTATCGATTAATGTTGTTGTTTCTAAGTTGACATTTTCATTCACTTCGTATTCGTTATTTCTCTTCATATTTCGCGACGGGTTTATTTCCACTGATATTTCCGGCAACACATTTTGGTTTGATTTTTGATTAGATGAAGATTCCTCCTTTTTGAGTGCAGTTAAAGCTTTCACATTTCCTTGCAGCAGATCAGCCAAGGTTAAGTTATTCTGTTGTAGAATTTCGCTTAAACTTTTACCTTTTGATCTTTTTAAAATTGATTTTAAAGATTTTGGATCCAAAGGGCCGTATGCCTAAAAAATAATATATTTTTAATTAAATTATTGATTAATATAGAAAACACATGTTCAAACATTTTAATTTTATCTGGTTATGACTTCACAAATTCGTACTATTCTACTACGTTGGTTATTGATTGGTTAGTCACAAGATTTCGTATAAAATCTTGTAATACCTGAAGTAGTATAAATCTAGGTTGGCTTAATAAATGTCTCTTATTAAAGGTCACGATTTTTGATACACTTTTTTCTATTTCCACAGTTAATCCAAATTTAGAGTCTATTAATGGTCGCGTCTGTTGAAATTAGATCAGGTATTTTATTTTAATATACCGAATACACTTATGTTCAGTTACAATAACTTAAAATAGCTTTCCTTAAATCTAAATATGGAAATATTTCTTACCTTGGCTTTTTCATCCATAACATTGTTATAGCTACTAAGATCTTTCTCCCGTATTTTATCTCTTATCTTGTTATTATTATTATTATTATTGGGAATCACTGTGGGAGATATAGAAATTTCTGATGAAAATTCTGATAAAGAAGCCTCTTCGTCACGCTTATCCGTCTCTTGTTCATAGTTTATTTCTGATAGATCAGTAAATTGCTGTTCATTTTCACTCTTATCTAACTCGACTTCTTCGATTTTCGTATCATCATTTAAAGTGTAATCTTTATAATTGGTGTTTGGTACTCTCGTTTCCATAACTTCAACTGATTCTTTATTCTGTTCGCGTTCGTGCTGTCGGTAATCATTGAACTCGCTTAATTCCGGCCACTCATCTTGCTCTGGCCTCTTCCTTCTCTGTCTTCTTCTCTTCCTTTCTCTTTCTGTCCCAGCATCTCTCCATCGTTTATTATCATTTGATTCCCTTTGTCCGATTCTTTTACGTCTCCTTCCCGGTGTGTCCTTTGTTTCTTGACGATTGGGTCTCGATGGGTCCGTATAAATGTATCTTTCCTTTGATGTAAGATCATCTTCGTTGGATGTTAATGGTCTTCTTTTGCGTTTTCTTCGTCTTCGTCTTAAAGGTTGGTCTGGGTTTATTTCGTCCCACATTTCATCTTGAGCTATCGGAGGAGTTGGGGTCAAAATGGGAGCTACTTGCATGTTGCGCCATGGCTGTAATTAATAATTTTATGTTAGCAGATTAATTATCTAATCAATAGTAAAACTATATATTTATAAAAACACTTTAAAGAAGCCTTAAAGATCTCTTTAAAAAGTTCAATACATATACGTAATATAGCATTAAATTCACTTTTAAATATTCATCTAAAGTTCTAGTCAACATAGATACATGAATTGGAAAATATTTTTCTTCTAAAAATAATTGTTAATGATTTATTATTCTTTTATTTTGAATAAGAAGGTTATATAAATCTTTATATCTAATTGAAGACCGAATTTATTTTTATTTATTTTTAACATACAAAGTGGTAAGTACAATAATTACATAAAGCAATCTTCTATCTTGATGACGTCATGCTCTGAATAGATTTTTCTAATTCTTACACAAAATAGCACTTACGATCTTGAGATATTATGAAACACTAATAAAGGGAAAATTGTATTTTTTTCATATACCTATATAGTGATTTAAAATTATATATGTATGTAGATATTTCACAATGACTTAAAATGTCGTATTTAATCGATACAAAGTTGCTAAAACAGCTAGTTCCAAGTTAAAACAACTATACAAATCACTAATCAATTATGAATTATTACGAACGGTTCACCATTGAGTTATATCACGAAGAAAGCTGATTACAAAACAGATGTCATAATGTACGAGGAAAGTTGAAAGCGCGGACCGGTTTGAAACATACTATCATAATATAAAATTTTATGTAAAATAAATTTATATTTATAATATTACGTCTCATTGTAGCAAACATCCGCGTATAACTTTATTAGTTTTCGAGTTTTTTGATTTGTTCGTCGTACTTTTGTTTTCGATTGAAATTTTCGGCTCCAACTTTGCAAGGAATTAGGATAAGTATTTTATATAAATATAGATATAAATGAATCTAATATTTTCGGATTTATTACGCGATTTTTATTTTCGACTATAAACTACATACTCCCGACATTTCGGCTACTTTACAGCAAGCGTGATCTAGGGTAAAGTAAAATAAGAAAAGCTAAAGTAAAATGAGAAAATCTTAGATCTCAAATATAGATATATATGTATTATTTACTCCCAGTCTGCCAGTCTAGTGACTTCCTTAACATAATTCTAGATTTTCTAAGTAGTCAGACTCGTTTTTAGACTAGATCATTGGTGTTTCCGCTTTCTATAAATCCATATATTAATATGAAACCGGTCTTTAATTTTACTAGCGTAGTAAAGTTCCTTAATAAACAATATTGCAATAAATTTAGTTATAAGAACAATACTTCTATATTAAAAATAATAACTATTATAGAACTTTAATTAATAAATAGTTTTTTTTTTTTATATTTATACCCATTATTTTACCAATTGAAAGATTCAAAGTCGCTGTTTGAAATCGTAAATAATGAATATTAATGACTCATGTGGTATTAAAAGCTATTAATGATATTTTATTGGTTATTAGTTAAAATCGAAAGTATTTTCTAATTTTAAATTAATTTATTCACACCATCTTACTCTATACTATATCTTCTTCGCTCGTTGTTTTATATTTCGTAAAATTTTACAAAATACAACGTTAAGTTAAATATTAGTGACATAATTGAGAATGTTTCTTGCGATATATTTCTTAATTCTCTTTTTTATATGGATATTTTTTGTTTTAATCTTCATGTTATATTTTTGGTGATTTCAATTAATTATTCTAATATTAATTCATGTTCAAGTCAATGAACGATATTTTGACTACGAAGTACTATAACATATTCTAGAAGTTGAAGATATAAATTGTGCCTGTCGATAATTTTTTCAGAATACATTTGATATTATAATTTTATATGAAGTATTGAACAGTGTTATAATAATAGATTATTTTCATCATTAAGCTAAGTAGGAATATAAAAATGGATGATTTTTTTATACATAAGTTTGTCTAACTCTAACGGAAAATCAGTTATATATTATTTATCTATATATCTTGTATCTATATGTATATATTATATCCATATATCTTGTATTTAAAGCTTATTATATATTTGGATTTTCACAATCAATAACCGCTCTAATAGCGAACTTCACAGTTTTTTTTTCTAAGTTTTTTGTTTACTTTTGCTAGGAACTCATTTGATTCATTTCTTGTTTATAATTTTTCATTAACATGGCACTTTGCGTGGCTGATTTCTTTATAATTATTATAATTTGGTAAAAAACGGGAAATATTACTATTAAATTTTCATAAAACAAACCTTTTCTAAATGTGTTTCACCAACATCCATAGACCTCGGTTTCAATTCCCTATAGTTTGATTCAAAGTTGTCCTCAGCGGTGTGAACAATGATCACTAATGCTGCTAGCGTACTCAGTAAAGGCATCGCGAACTTATTAACACCCATATTACACCAGAAACAATCAAACAGTACTTTGGCACGTCCAAAGTGCGCACTGTGAACACAGACCGAGAAAAATCGAAGATAGAAAAAGAAAAACAAACACGCACTACGAATCTATTGTCCGTTGTATAAATTCAACATAATTTATTTATAAACACACCGATAACGCTCGTCGGATCTCGATAACTGGACGTTTTATTGAGAAAAATGTGAGATTTCTCATCTATTTTCCCACTTTTTTAATATATTTTTGAACGTGAAAGTGACGGTACGTTTGCGCGCTACTGTGTCGTGTGTCGAAGTGGTGGTTCAGCTTTGTCGGGAGAACTTTGTTATGTGCTTTTCTATTTCGTATAAACTAACCATCATAATATAGAATGATGAATACACAATATGTATGTTTGTTTGTGTTTAACAACAATACATGAATGGAAAAATATTTTTAATTACATCACACATTCATATAGTACAACCCACATTGTTTTATTGTATTAAACATTTTCTTTCCATTCATCGATATCATATGCTTATTATATCGGCGCTATCAGCTTTAATGACGGATGCGAAGTGAAAATAACTTGAGCCTGTCATCAATTCTTATTAAAACTAATTAGTATTATGATTATTGTTAAATGTAAAACGAAATTAAAGATTGTTTAAAAAGAGAATAGAAGTATGTTTGAATCTTGGTATAAATGTAATGTCTGGCAGATTTCAGTGAGTACGGACCATTGAACAAAGTGATAATGAAGAACCTTCGAGAAATACAAGGAAATTTAGAACAATTGAAGTTTCATTTTAAAATATCACGGAACGTACTAGAAGAAGTGACATTAGTAACGTCAGTGAGGCTGGCGTCTCTCTCTTTAAAAACAACGAATTTGTAATAAATCCGATATTTTTTTATACAAATAGAGTATATAAATGACAGTGAAAATTATTAATTTTGCATGTATTATGTTATACTGTAACAGATTTCCCTTCTATAACAAATAGTTGATCACATTATGAGAAACGGAATGTGCTCACGCGCCGTCTCCCGTGAGGAATTCACTTATGAATTATCATTCTAGTATCTTGAATTAAATAACGTTCATTATTTATAAACGATGTCCTACTTTCAGTCTGTTTTTGTCACAAGTTTTTCACTCTTACCTTTCTTTAATAGCTTTATTATGAATAAATGGGAGTAATTAAAAAAATTTAAGTAAATTTGCAGAGAAAATTATTTTTGCCAATCATAGTATAATTTTTTCTTCCATAGGCTTCCGTAACAATTATTTGTTTTTATACAAAACTCTCTTTACAAATGGAAACCACATAATTACAATTTCAAGCCTCCTTAGTTTCGATATTTCACTTTTTTTTATAACTTTTACAAAACGTTACGTAACATTTAAATTCTTTATATAAATATATATTTTAAATATTTATGAATTAAAATGTTTATAAATCTGCAAATAGTAAAGCATTAATAAATATTTATAAAATAAATGGATCGAAAGAATCAGCGTGTATGATATAAAATTTAAATATTAAAAACTTTCTCCTTTTAATATGAATTATTGGGAATTTATCGCAAAATTTACGTCCAAAAAATGTAGTTAATTTCGTAATTCATTCGAAAAAGATATCTATACAAATCTATATCTATTTGTTACTCGATTAAGTTCATTTGTTTTGTTTCATTCATTTATATCTCGTATAGATTTCATTCTCCAAGTTACTTATACCATCTATAATGAGTGTTCCGATCTCATCTATAAAGTAACAGGTCATTGTTTGCTCAGTTTTCACACACTCTTACTTTTCTTAACCTCGCAGTAGGCTCAAAGACTTACACTGCATGTTTTTATGATAGTTACATGTAAAAAATATATGAGAAGCAATTTTAATATAATAATATTTTGTTGTTATATCAGTGACTTCGTCATAATAGTTGATTTATTTTAATTATTGTTAATAATCAGAAATAAAATATATGTACTGATTGTTGTATTAGTTCATTCAAAATCGGTCTAGCCGTAGATACAGAGATTAGCGGGAACAAAGCGATAGATAGGTCATAATTGTTAAAAAAATACTTTCGGCATCTGTATATGTGTTTAGTATACTTATATAAGAATTATATATATTTGTATAGAATAATATATCATTTCTAACAAATAACTTTATTATTAGTGATAAAGATAATAAAACCGGTAAGTTATAATGCGAATCGTCTAAAGTGAAAACTGTTGAAGCACATCATTACGTTGAATGACACGTAGGTACGATCTATAGAACGTCAATTGATTTTAACAAATATAATACTTTTATTTCAATTACGTAAGATTTTAAAGACGCAATATTGTAATACATTAACTAATCTAAATAATAATTGTATATATGTAATATAAAAAAGCAATATTCAATATATTTTTAATTAAAATTTCTCTTATAGCAAAGATTTACTTTTAAAATTAAACTAAACGCATATTTAAAAGTACGCATAATATTAAATTCTTAATAATCTTCAATTATTTTCCTATTATTATTATTATAGTAATAAAGTGCTAAATTTCACTTTCAACCGCATTTTATTAAAGTTTATCCGTTTACAAGATACGACGTTCATTTATAATGTAGTCTAACATAAAATTGTCTTAAATTCTTATATTTTGTAGTCTTATCAAAATAACTTACCATAAGTTATTCACTACATACAGAACGTTAACAGTTTTTCATTGAAAAATCTCCTCACTTTGAGGTAGGTTATTAAATAAAACGGAAAACGATTCGTACGTAGTGTGTGTTTGCAAACTTGTTCTAAGGTCTTATAAATATCTCACACATAATTTTACTAACATTCCACGATTATAATTTCTGTATAATATTCTTGTAACATTTGAGAACTTTTGTTAATTTTCAGACATTGTAATATAAACTCTATTTCCATTACAATAAGTGTTTTTTACGTAAAAAATATTACAAATGTAATATAATATATAGTATAATAACTATTTACATAACTATTAACATAATGTTAATGGAAATTTCCTTGAGAAAAGTAAAAGTGTTGTATTGAAAGCAACAATAGTTTATTGTTAGTCGTACAAGCTGTGTAGCCCTAGCACGAGTTTTGATTGTACCATAATACTTACAGTTTGACGTATTTTTATTCCGAGAAACCATAACACAGTCCACATAAAATGACATCTAAGTATTTCGCGAGTATTCATTTAAATGAAACTAATATTTTCGGACTTACTACGCGTTATTTCATTATTTTATACTACATACTTCCGACATTTCGGTTACTTTACAGAAACCGTGATCACGGGCTGACGAAATGAAAAGAGATAGAAATTCATTTATAGTATAGATATCGCTTAGTTAAAACATGAGAGTTTTGTTTTAAGCCGTTATTACTCTACCTATAAATATTTCTTTAAAGATAATTTGTCTCAAGTATTTTGTGATAATAATTATAATGGTGAATTTAATATCCAGATGGGCGGTATCTACAGTCATGACTCGTCAGAACAACATAGTACAGGGAACCAGCTTCACACTGACCAACGCTTTCATACCATTGTGGGACATGTGTAATCATAAACACGGCAAGGTATGGTTATTTAAATATATATAATTAATCTCTATATAGTCAGTGGTGGCCTAGTGGTTAAAAGGCCCGCCTCTCATGTACGAGGGTGCGCTTTCGATCCTGGCCCGGGCAAGTACCAATGTGATTTTCCCGAATCATATGTACTTTCTAAGAGTATTTAGATATCACTGATTAATGTTGATTCCCAAAAGAGGGTTGATGTCAGGCAGGCGGCCGCTCGTAAAAACAAATAGCCAAAACTATTCACTACATGTAAGGCAGACCAGACCCTGGCTATAGCTGGGAAATTGCCAGGTAAAAGAAGATATTATTAACCTCTAATTACTATATAATAAAAAAAACTAAGGAAAATATTAGAATTATTATCAAGTATAGAATATCACCTAAATTGTATGCCTTGGATATAATCAGAAACTGTATTAAATAAGATTTAGTATTGAAACATTATAGTTTGTTTCAACTTCATCATATGTCTAAACCAAAGAGCAACAAAATTAATTCTTATTCCAGAATCAATGTTACGATACAGTTCCTAAAAATCTTCGAGATCTTTCTTATATTGTACTCTCTTTTTCGATTACAATTTTATTTTATTAATACTTGTAAATGTTTCAACTAATAATAACCTAAATATAATTATACTATCTTTCCGCCCGCAGCTTCGCCAGCGTGGAGTTCGGTTATATCGCGTTTCCAAGAGAACCTTTCAAGAGTCTGGGATAAAAACTATCCTATGTTCTTTATCAAGGTCAACTCTATCACTATACCAAATTTCATTAAAATCAGTTCAGTGGTTTAGGCGTGAAAGCGTAACAGACAGACAGACAGAGTTACTTTCGCATTTATAATGTTAGTAGGGATGATTCTGAACATAGCTTATAATGAAAAACGTGAAAAAAGTTTTGTTTTACTACATACTACTACTACGTACTAGTAATATGTAGTGTAGGTCTAATTTAGTAGTTTAAATATCTTTTCATATTCTCATAGATAACGACCGATTTCAACTTGGAGTTGAACCGCGGCGAGTGTTACGCGTTACAAGACTTCAAGCAAGGCGAACAGATATTCATATTCTATGGAGCGAGACCGAACTCGGACCTCTTCCTGCATAATGGGTGATTATGTGTCTATAGTACTTACATTACGTTTGATAACATTAACTAAATATGAATAAATGTATTTATTTTACATGTTATTGCACTTTTTTGATATTTTTCTAAATTTTTTGGTGATTTTTCTTTGTTTAATACGATTTTTATGTCATAGCTCTTAAATTATGTCGCCTTTAAAGATATGTATTACGTGTCAAATGACTTTTCTACTAGATATGAAGTTTGAAGTTCGTATAATTGAAACGAAAAGACTAAGATTTTCATGTTTTATCTTAAAATAACCTGTATTTGCCTTCTAATGAAAAAAAATTAAGATTTAATTTTATATTTTAATATTGATAAAATATATTTATATTCTTTAAACATTTTTAACTATCGCATCTTCTTTGATAGATCCTTTCTATCTATCTATAAAACATATGCAACTCTGAACTATATCTATCCTAGAATATCTTCATCTATAATATAACTTATAATTAATCATAAATTCCAGATTCGTGTACCCGAACAATGATTACGACAGTTTATCCATCGCGATGGGTATAAGTGCCAACGACGCTTTAAGGAATGGAAAAATCAATCTATTGAAAAAACTCGGCCTATCTGGCGTCACACACTTCTCGTTATACAAAGGAAAAAGTCCGATCAGTGTGGAACTACTAGCTTTTATAAGGATTTTCAATATGAATCAAGGTTAGTTCATGGGTTTGTACTGGGAACATGTCATAGAAGATAATTTGACTTATTAACATACCATAGACCATTGAGATACTATTCGACTTTATATGAAAAAGAAAAGTGAATGCACTTTTTTTAGAACTTGTTATATTTAAAATGAATATGTAATGATTTCATTATATTTTGCTATAGTGATATTTAATATGTTTGTCTCTAAGCCATCTTTTCTTATTTGTTATAGTGATTTTAATAAAATTTTGTACACCCTCGGTTAATTATAAATAAAATGATAACAAGTTTTTCAAACCTAGCGATTTCATAATTTTGAATATTCCTTAAGTTAGTGTACGAAGTTACTCTCTATTACTATAGCTCAGTCAGTACTATCAGTCAGTGAAAATCTCTTAAAAATTTATGTAGCCGTTTCAGATATTAGTCATAACAAACAGACAGGATAAAATATACAAATGACATTTTTATATATACAGGGTGACTGGTGAATCACTATCAATATTTAAGGAGAATACTCGGTACATGATTCTCATTCGAATTATTTAAAAAAAATAGGCACTTAATTTTTGACAAAATTTCCGTATAAATAAATAAAGTGTTGACACGTTCCAAGTGTTCAAGTGTGGACGCGTGCGGCGGCGTGCTGATACAACACTACGCCGGCGCACGCGTATGTGTGTGTGTGAGTGTATACCTAATCTGTAGGGTGTGCACACGATGCGTAATTAATTACATAACTTTTGGTTAACTTTACTTAGAAGTTTATTAATATTTATGTTATATTAATTTTTATTTTGTCATATATGATCGTCAAATATCACGTCCTCAAGTATCGATAGTAATTCACCAGTCACCCTGTATATCCCGAAGATAATTTTTCTAACTTATTTATTTATCATATTTATTCAAATAATAACAAAATACTTTCAGAGGAATTAGAGAAATGGTCGGCCGAGAGCATCCCAAGTGATTTGCTGTCTTTTGAAACTGAAAGTGAATACAATATGGCGTCTATTGATAAAAGAGGTTTCACTTACCTGCTGACTAGGTGCGGACTTATCAGGGCTACTTATAAAGACAGTGGTGGAGAAGTACAGGATGAACACAGGTTAGTGAAATATACTTGAGTTAAAATAACTACAAGAATTGGTTAGAACATAATATATAAAAAAATACTTTCGGCTATATATTAGCTTCGCCTTAAGTTAGTAAAAAATATTAGTTTTCGGCTCTTTTGAATAAGCTTCGCCTTAAGTTGTTGAAAGTTGAGATTTCGGCTCTATATAAAATATGGTTTGTCTTAATCTAGTGAATAATATAAAAAATATATTATGTAATTTTTTACTATAAATAATTAGCTTCGCCTTAAGAGAATGAGAATAAAATATACGTTAATTTAAAAAATACCGCTCGAGTAAGAGAGTAAGTAAATTTGATTCAGATAAACATGAAAGGAAGGCTAAATTAATTTTTTATTATTGCTATCAAAATAATTTTATCCAGTTGAATAAATAATAGTACTCAAATCGGACGTGACAGGGATTTTATATTTTTTATGGGTAATCTAAACTATCCTCTAATTAATTATTTACGAAATAACTTATGGCTAGGGTAAGACAATCATTAAAACTGTTGTATTTTTTTAGTTATTATGAAATATGTAAACCTCTTTTTAAATTTAAACCGAGATTTATTGATTACTCAACATAAGGAAGTGATTATCTTTAATAAATAATATCTCGGAATAATTCAATATTCTGTTGTCACAAAACAATTATCTCCAAAAATCCCATCGAAATCTGTTCAGTAGGTCCAGAAAAGTTCAATAACCCGAAAAAAAAGCCTACACTATTTTTAATAGAAACTGTTTTTTTGTAACTTTTATATAATAAATAACGGTTATTTAACATATTATGCATTTATTTAATTTTTTTCTTTTCTATTTTCAGGAAAAACATAAAACTATTGAAGGAATGTGAAGTACAAATATTAGAAAATGCCATAAAGTACTTAAAAGATGTCATAGACAAGATTTCCGTTGACGAGAAATAACTAATATAAACCAATTATTACATTGAACCTTATTTCTTGATCATTAATGTTCAATTTCATTTAGTTAATTTTACATACATCATGACAGTATTGAAATATTTTTAAATTGTTTTAGCTTTTGTTGTTTTTTTGTTATAATTTTTAATCAACGAATTTTTTTTGTGTGTATTTTACTTTGTTACCTTTCTGTATATTTTACATTTATTGTGAATCTACATAGTTGGTAAGTCACAAGCGGTAGCGGTTTAAAAAACGCTGCCGCTCGTAATTTAGACGCTACGGTTTTATCAGTGTGCATTTTAATATAATGTATTTTATATATCTTGTTTGAATCATCAATTAAGTATGTACTAAAAAATTTTTTTCAAATAAGACAATTCGTATATAAACTTATTTTATTTTTTCATGAAATGAGAATACAAAATTATCTAACTAAAATTATATTTACAATAACCTTAAAAAAATAAATGTGCTTTAGTCGATACAATAAATAATTGTCTTAAATTAAACATCTATTTAAGTCGGGCTGGAAATACTATTTTTTTTTATAAATGTCAAAAATTCAAAATTCGAATGATGAATGATAGTTCAAAATTGGAACATAGGTTCTATAAAACCTCTATGGTACAGAAAATAATATTTCTATTAATATCGTTGCTTAAATCAGTACGTATTTTCTTAGCCCTTAAGTTTTATCACAAGAATTTGGCAAACAGGAGGAGATGTATTTTGAATAAAAATACACGTCCTCACTTTTTGTCTTTCAATTCCATATTTTACCGACAATTATGGTAGTCGATGGGTGGAATATATTTATTAATTTACTATACTTAATCTACAATTAAATTTTACGAGTATTATTTTAAACTGTAAAAGCTGTTTGTTCATTTGTTCTAAGATCAGCGATAAATATTAAAATGTTGTAAATTATTGATACATTCAAAATATATTTGATTTTCTTTTATCTATTATCCATCAAAAAAAAGGCAAAGGTCCAAACTATTCATCCATTCAAATAAACATTTCGTACAGCAATAATCTCATAATTAAACTATATTCTAAATTCAAATTTCTATATAGAATTATTTTATTCTTCCCTTGTGTGGTACATAAGCGTGTATTGGCGTTCTTTTCTCACTTTGCCGCCATCCTCTAGCGGCTACAAGCAGAGCTACCAGCAGAGCTGCCACGAGCACACTACAAGACACTATCATGGCGGAGAGCGCTGACGTCTTCATACATGTCTGTCCTTCAGCTGCTGTGAATTATTATAAATAATGAAACTATATATGTAACTAAAAAAATAGATATTGCTATATGTGAAGATATATTTCATACAAAGATTTAACGTTTATTAATACGCTTTCGTTTTGATGAGTAAAGATACTTCATCTATTAATGAGATGTAAGACATTCGCGAGTATTTTTAAATGAAACTAATATTGTCGGATTGCGACGCGTTTTCTATTAGTTTCTAAAACTACATACTCCCCACGTTTCGATTACTTTGCAGCAATAATAATCACGGGCAGATGAAATGTGAAATTATGTGATTCTCCATAACCAATTTCCAGAACATTCATCAAATTTAATGTCAATTCTCGTTACCATTGAACATACCAGCTCGTGCCATATCTTCGTCCTCTTCCCCCTCCTGCAGAACTCGTAATGACTGAAAGAGAGAGATGTTTTCTGACAGACGCGGCGCCACGCTAGCCGTCTCCGCTTCCACAGAACGTTTCTTTACATTCTTCATGTTACGCCAATGACAGGGTTGTGACTGGAAAATTAAAATATATTATAATAAAATAGGATATACGAGAAATAACATGTAAGGCAGACCCTGGCTAAAGCTGGGAAATTGCCAGGTAGAAGAAGAGGACATATTACAAATATAATTTTCATTGTACAACCTTTGCTTTGATTTTATTCTGTTACATTAGTGCTAGAATACAAAGAGTTTTGAGCTACCTTTTTAACTGACGGAATACAAGGTTAGTCAACTTGAAAAATATACAAACTTTGTTTATGTTTTAATTATATCTGTGTTAATCATTATAAGTATAGAATACCAATAAACTCAGTCTCCATTCTACACGACACTAAAATATACTATCCACTTCTTTGCAATGATGAAGGCCATATTTAAAATAACCAATCAATAAACTCACCGGACATCTCCCATGGCACATCCTAACGTCGCATTCAATATATAAAGCGGGTGATCCTGTGAATCTAAATGTCTTCATGTACGCGTAAACCTGAGTTTCGAACACGCCAGATTCCGACCAAGAGCCGCGGAAACGAGATATAAGTTTATCATCAACGGGACATCTGGAATTAAGAACGTCATTACAATCATATTGTTTATAGAATTAAGTTATGCTGTATGTTATTTCCTTTAAACTATATTCAGAAATATATGAGGACGAAGTCATGGACAGAAAGTGGTCTGAATATTAGACATTAGAGAAAATTGCTCCAAACTTATTTAAGGCGTTGTATATTTGTAAAATTATGAGAAAAATATAATATAGAGTATACTAATAAAATGGTTGCTTCTCATGAAGTAATTTTTAAGAGAAAATAGGGAAATCTTTATAAAATAGGAATAAACTTTTTTATTTATTGTCTATATGCAGTTTCAGGAACATACATGTAAATAAATATATTATGTCACAGAAGTTTTAAACACGTATAAGAAGCATGTACTATATTATGATGACAAACAACACTCGCACTTTTATTATCAATGAATTTTAATACAATGGCAGATTATTAATTAAGATAATTTGAATAAATTAACAAAGAAAATAAAACGTAACATGTAAGTGGTTTCAGCGTCTGTTAATGGTTTCTACCACAGTTGAATTATTGAAGAAGTAACTAATTTACAAGTTTTGTCGTGTTTTATAACACTATGCTCTATAATATTTATATTTACCCATATTCGTCTATAAGTTGTATTCTCTTCGCAGCCCCGTTGTGAGCGAAACAATCGTTGACGACTATATCAAAACCATCTGAAATAAAAGGTACATAAACCTTAACATTTACTTAAAAACATTGACACACTTTCGTAGAAGCTGTTACAGCTATGAAAATTCGTTCAAAAGCAAAGATCGATGAACTATTGTTAATTTTTTTTAGATTTAAAATAGCCGGACGGCACGCGAGAATCGGTTTAATTTTCATTCCTGCCCTTGTTTGTTACGGTGTCGCATTGTACGTAAATGTTAAACGTAATCGTTTAAAATTTATTGCCATAACGTAATATGAGCTCATAAATGCTACAGTTATGAAAAATATTGTATTACAGTTAGTTGGAACGGGATATTACTCAAGCGGCTGTGTTGGGACCTTCAAATATGAACGATATTCATACCATACGAGCTTCTCATGTAGATGAGCAAAGTCAGGGGATCTCCGACTCTCACTGGTCCAGTGACCCTTGCTCCGGTCGCTCCATAGCCAGATCTTATTTCCATATAACATTCTGGAGGCTGCAGAGTGAATACTACCGGATTGCCTGTCGCCACTCTGAAAAATATTATGAAATTTACTACCAGAAGCTTCGAATCAAGCCACTTGTATCATTTTGTACAAACTTAGTATACAATAGGTACATTACTGGATTCCTATTTTATAGATTTCTTACTATTAAACAGTTGCCTGGAATAATGTCTTTGAAATTCTTAACTACCTTCAGTTAAATAAGTCATTTGCTTCATTTATGTTATAGCATTACGTATTGTCGTGGAAATTGCAAAAGATAAATTTTGAATTAATTGCTGTCCGTTATTGCTATTAATAATTTGTAATCACAAAGTACAAACACATTACATAATATCTTTATGACACTTTGAAATTATAATTATTTGATGTAACAAGATATTTACAATTAAATCTCTATTTGATAGAAAATATACCGCTTGAAGGTCTATCTTTCCTATTCTTGGATGAAGATCAATATGAAAACTACATTTAAGGCCTATTTTTAATTTTGATACATTTTTAATGTTCTCAATTCCTATTTTTACGTACCTACGTCCAAGCTATACAGCTTTATAAATTACAGTTACAATTTAGTAACTTCTTACAAATTCTATAGCAAATTTCTATTGTTTAGATTTAGGTATAATAATAGAAATACCCAAGTGCACAAGTTTTTGTAAAATTTCTGTAGATGAGCCAAGTGAACAATTTGCAATGTTTTAAGTTATGGTAATAATATAATATTTAAAGTATGAAATTACATAAAATTTGCTAATAATTAAAGTCCATATTCATAATGAATGATAGACTATATGAAATAAATAAACAAATGAAATTTATTCCCTGCTACAATGATGAAACTAAGAACTTACTCAACATCCAGGAAAGGGAAGGTTACAGTTTTCCAAAAGTCGTATCCATATTCGCAGGTGACTTTAAAATGTTCATCCAATTCTTCTTCAATCAGTGGATTGTACTGAACTGTTATGGTGTTCCACATCAGATTCTTCTGTGAAAAAATCTCTCATATAATGGAAATAATTCTCACATAAAAAATAATATTAATTCTATTCCGGAATTAGCATATTATCATGAGTAAACAAATACATATTGAAAAATCGAATGTTTCGATATTTTTATAACTAAATAACTAAAACTTTTTGTATTTAAACTTTACATTAATAGTTCAAGAGAGTGCTTACAAAAGCTACAACTAGTTACTATTTTTTCATCCCGTTTGCCGGTAATGACGGTTATTGCAAAGTAACCGAAACTTCGGGAATATGTAGTTTAAAATAATAATAAAAAAAGTAGTAATTCGAAAATATAATTTTTATATACTATACATGAATGCTCGCAAAAGTCTTAAATCTCATTCGCTTTAAATAATAAAAAACACATAGTAATACTAGTTTTATCTAAATGAATACTCGTGAAAGTCTTAGATCGTTAAGTCACAATATGAATATTTGTTAATACTAACGGCTGGATGTTTCCTTGTGTCTTCGTGTTGTCCATTTCTTCCCAGGGTTCCACATCGGTTCAGTTGTATGTAGAACTCGTAATAGTCACGACCAGAACCGTTTATATACATACAGTCAGGATCGTAGGAGTAGCCTTGGGAAATATAAAATATATTATAATATAATGATTATTAAGTCCAGCGAAAAAATATTAGAAGAATAATTTTTATCAGAGATAATAAATAATAATATAAAATTGAACACAATTTTATCATTATTAATATTTTTATGTGTGTTATTATTATAGTATTTAATTTACTATTCCCAAAGAGGGTTGATGTCAGGTAGGCGGCCGGTCGTAAAAACAATTAGCTAAAACTATTCACAACCTGTAAGACAGACCTTGACTAAATCTGGGAAATTGCCAGGTAGAAGAAGAATATTATAGTGTTTAAATTAGAAGATTTTAATCGATTCAATTAATTTTAGAATTCCCAATAGATTCCAATTAGAATATAAAATATACTATGCGATGGTTTTGTAGGTAACAAGGTTAAGAATTTCTTTGTAGCAATGAATACTGCTATAAACCATCGTCTTTTAATTGATTTGTTAACGCATATTAGTACAATAGACACTAGTACCTACATTTATACAAATCTAACGGCTGTATGATTTCAATACTATGGAGATACTTTGTAAGTGATAGTTTCCTTGTATTATATTTATAAGAATAAAATGGATAAAAATATTTCTTCATTTTAAATTTCTTTGCGTAAGCATCTTTACGTTTCTACTATATCTTGTAATATTTAAGGAACTTAATTGACAAAAAAGGACAAAATTTAATTGAGACAATTTTGGTAAATATATAGGTATATAAAAAAATTATATAATTACAAAAGTAATATTATTTTAAAGATTCACAAACATATTCACTGCTAACCCTACATGTAAATTAAAAAAATAATAAACACCATACACAGTACACTCCTTATAAAAGACTAAATATTATAAAAGAATATTTCTTTATCATTTTATCTTTACCAACAATGTCTAACTGAATAATCTTTTAACAGTTAGTTATTGTCATTAAGAAAATTATAAAATTATACATGCTTTCGCTCGAGGCATTTATTATCGTGTCAGTTAAAGACAGAGCCTTTGGAAAAACACAACGAAAACAAAACATTTACGCGAATTAAATCCTCTTTTGATTATTTTCGTGTATTAAAATCACGATTATTTCATTCAAACAAAAATTCTATAGGAATAAGACGAGAGAATATGTGTGTAGTATGTGTTAGTGAATAAAATATATCTTATATATTGTTATTTTATTATAAAATAGTAATATATTACCAGCTGAATAAACAAGACCGCTAAACGACCCGTTGAAACCGACTCGGATCTTCATGAAGTCGTCTTGGCATTCCGCTTCAATGTCTATAGAAAAGGCCATTAATAAAACAAAAGATTGTGTAATGTAAATTTTCATCGATAACATCAGAATCTGTCCGGTTTTACAAAACTTCTGCGCGTTTACATGTTCAGGAAATCCGATGTTTACAAATTAGTCACAATAAAAATATGCGCAACATAAAATGCTATGGCTATTTACCTAGTATCAAGTATGTAACCATTTACTTTACTTGAGAGTTACTATAGTCTGGTTTACATTACTATGAAAATTTTTGGTTAAAATACCATTTAATTTATTAACTCATAATACTTGAAAAATCACTATATTTGTAAGTGCTTTCAAAGATTTTGTTTGCATCTTTATTGTAACTTAGCTTACGTTCGGGATCAATTTCTAAGCACCAATATTTTGAGTATATATCATAAGCTTTTACATTTTATACGTAGTAATCCCTACTAATATTATAAATGCAAAAGTAACTCTGTCTGTCTGTCTGTCTGTTACGCTTTCACGCCTAAACCACTGAACTGATTTTAATGAAATTTCGTACAAAGATAGAGTAGACCTTGAAAAAGAACATAGGATAGTTTTTATCCCAGACTTTAGAAAGGTTCTCTTGGAAACGTGATATAACCGAACTCCACGCGAGCGAAGCTGCGGGCGGAAAGCTAGTATTTTATAAACCTCACATTGTACTCTACTGCCGTTAGTGCGATGTCTTCTGTATTCCCTCTCCCACGCCGGTGGCTCCCTCCAACTGGAATCGACTGGTGATCTTGGCTTGATGCTAACTGGGATGTAACTATTCTTATCAGATAGAAACACTACCTGGAGAAATAGAATAAAAAATTATCAAACAATATATTAGGATTTGTTATTGTATTATGTTTTTGTATTTACACATAAGAGTTAGCTCAAAATTAGACTAGTATATTTTTAATTCTATACTCTACTTATTCATTTGGCAGACCCTGGCTAACACTGGGAAATTGTCAGGAAGAAGACTCTACTTATTTAATAGATTTTAATAAAAAGGGGTTATTAATTCAAGATGGGACTTATTCTGGGACGTTCAGATCTCATAAAGAAGATAATTAAGATATTACATCTATTAAATAATGTAAAGAATAATACATATATCGAAAGAATACACTATCCTCGTTTCACAGTATATTTATTGCAACATTTTTAATTTATTTTGTTTTGACAATGAAATTCTCATACAGCCGATTCTAAGTTTGAACACCTTGAACCTGAGTTGAACCATTGAAGTACAAGTTAACAATGGTGATATAAAGGGACCCTATAAATTTATTATTTGTATATCATAATAACGGTGAATGTTATATGTAAGATCATTAAGCACAAATATATCCGTTACTCTTACCTACATCGATCAAACACTATTAGATACAAACCCGTTCTATATTAAATAGAAAAGCTATATTCTATATCATTTTGTCAATATATTGGTTATTGGTACTACGTAAATGATAGATGACTGCTCCTATTATCCTAGATCAGTTCACGATCTGATTTCACTGTATCGGAAAACTTTAATTAAACATATTTATATTAATACCTAAATCATTAATTTCAGCTAACGAAAGCACGTTAAAAATAGGTCATTATGAATAAAAAGCTAGCTTTTGTAAAGGAACAAATTATTTCTTTTTAAAAACAGCCGAGTACCCTCTAGTCTCGAGACCCTCTGAAGTACGTTATCTAAATTAAGAATTCTGACGAGTATAACAACGAAACAAAAGATAACCCTGAGATAAAGCTTGCAGCCTAACTACAATCTTCCGCCACCACAAACACATGCCTCCGATAATAGTATGTGTACAGCAAATAGTTTCCTTCGAGTCATTTAATAAATTGGCAACATTACATTGACCCAAAACATTATCATCGCCGTTAGACGAATATGATAAGTGAATAAAATTTTACTACAAACATCGCTTCATCCATTAGCTTAAAATGAATAGAACGAGTCGAATTATCGATGGTAATGCACCATTTCACAGTCACGACCCCTCGAAAGTTTGCACAAAAAGATTGTTATAAAGTATGTCAAATACTTAACACGGCTACCATACGCATTACTACAATTGGGCCAGTGATATCCACAGCACTAATGCATCACTGTAACGAATTATGCTTAAAACGAAATACTTTTATAACGATCGGCCGTAAAATCACTTCTCCATACAAAAAACCTTCAAACTAATTCTCAATAATAGAAAAGCAGCTAATATATTTATTTTTATTGTCTCGAATACTCCAATCGGATATCTATTAAAATTTTAATTCAAAGACGTCAAAGCCACTGTATACTTTAAATCAATTCGCCTTAATTACAATTTCATGGGAAGAAAAACAATGTAGGGCGACGCAAGTTCAGCGCAGCGTGCAATGTGAGCCAAGTAACTGACACATCAAGCTGACGGGTCAGATGGCTATCAGTCTATCACAGGTACTATCGCTGTACGCACTTCACACGATGTATTCTAAAGGAAAACGAGCCATAATCAACACGATGGACGATAATTTTCAATTTCTTGACATATAATCATAACAGGACTGTGCGAAACTAAAATTAATTGTTAATTAGGATATTTAACAATGAAAGTAATATGTAAACAGTACATAACTTGATAATCAAATCGGTATGGCCCTTCGCAATTGTACTTATTGCAACAACTGGCCTCTCGTATAAAGGAGTTGAGTAACGAAGACCTCATCATACTGCTCCGTGACTCCTCACGCATGAAATATTCCATAAACTTTGTTGATTTTTATTCTATTGTGGACTAATACAATGTCGGAATATGCTTTGTTAACATTATATACACGAGGTAATATATCTGATAAAATCTTGTTCTTATGATATATCTATTAAAAATTACAAGAAGCTTAATATGAATAATTACGCAATTTTTTTTCAAACTTATTCATAATTTTATTATTAATAACGTTTGCGGTTTTCTAAGCGACTTCTGATAATATCTTTTTAATATACAAATTCTGTATTAAGACTAAACCACAATTTTATTACAGTTATTTGTCGGGTCATTGAAATTGGATGTTTTATTATTTATTATCTTATAGACGGTGCGTTTAACATAAAAGAAACAATTTGCTGTTGTTTCGAGTGACCGCGTTACATTCTAGAGCAAACCGCGGGTCCTGACATATTTGTCGCAAAAAAACATCGAAAAAAATCGCGTATACTAAGCGTCAATATAATTTAAAATAACTATTATTATCTTCGCCTGAATGCTATTTAATTAAATTAAAAGTTATATAAAAACATTTAAACTTTCACCTAACTTTCTATTGTCGTTTCATATGTGATAAAATTTAAGTGCATTTTCAGTTTTATGAGTTTCAATTGTTTTACAGCGATAAGTCACATTAAGTGAGAGTGCTTCATTGACTTAGACCTTATTACCTCATTTTGCTTTTCAATAATTTAATGTTCATATTATTTAAAAAGTATATGTTACATAGTTTAAGTGCTATTTAGTTTGTGACATTCATACACCTTTCTTTACGTTCTAAGGCACGCTATTTCAGCTTTTATCTAAATTATGACCCTTCTAACATAACATTAAATTTATTAAATGCACTACTGAAAATTTTAACGACAAGTTAAATACGATTTACTTGCAAAGGTAGCTTTATGTAATATGACATTGAACAGCTTAGCCTTGATAGTAAGCTATCTAAGCAGCTAAAAACCCTATTATTATTTTTTAAGGCTCATTGTTCTAACATTGCTCACATCCGTTCAAAGTTTTATTCGGAAAATGTTTCGTAAAATGTCATAAATAGCTTATCTATGATGTATTGCCTATTTTACTATGAACTATCTATTCTAAGATATATAATTTTTCAACAATTAAGCGTGTAATAAAACTTACTGGGTCTTGCTCACTTCCATCTGATTTAAGGGCTTCCCTGGTCTCATTCTGCAAAAAATAAAAAATAAATTACATTTCGAATACATACATACATATAAATACATATAAAAATAATTACATACAAATACATACATACATATACAATATACATACATATAAAAATAATTAAAAAGATTAAATTCATGTTATTAATATCATAACATAAAATATATATTTTAAAAAGGAAGATTTGAGTATAAAAGAGTTTCTAACAAATAATGAAATAAAATTATGAAATAAAGAACCAAATCTAGAAAACCGTGAGTACCTTATTCGCGGGGGGTCCAGTGGGATCTTCTCCCGAACCTTCGTGTAAGTCTCCAGGTAACGTAGACTCAGTAGACTGTTCTGTAGACTCAGCTGAGTCTAGCCGTGGATGTGGTAACACTGAGTATGCTGGCTGGTGAAGAAGAATGACGTTTTGATTATTACTAAGTAAGGAAAATAATTACAGCTTCGTAAAGGAGTATGTTCTGTTATAGGTTCAGACTCAAATTCAAGGTAAAGTTACATGCAATTCTGCCATTTTAATGTAAATTGAAATAGATATTTCGACAGATAAAATATGCAAAGACTTACGTGCATACAGAGAAGTCCAAGGACAATAATTGATCTGAAACAAATGTATAAAGAAATTAACGAATGCAAACATACTTTTCAAGATATTTTATGGCTTAAACTGACACCAAAACTAATTTCCACATATATAATAAATATATTTAAATAGTATAACAGTATCGGACGAAAATATTTGCGGAATTCGTGACAAATAAAGAATCTATATGTACCTCATCTCAAAGCTCGTGCCACGACTAAGTAATGACTTCGTTATAAATAAGTACAGGTCAAAAGATACGGCGGGGTAATGACAGGGCCGCGGAAGGCAATATAAGCGTCATTACACCGTACTGTGATCTATGAAATTGTTCCGGATCAGTAGCCGTTGTGAACAACGAAATTCAATTTTGAATCCACAATCACTAATGCATAATAATAATCTAATCTGATTATTACAATGGATTTGTAGAAAATTGTTCTTAAATCTAATATGTATCATGTTTACGATTTATTCGATCATATCCTAATTTCATTTTACCTCTTCTTCTTCTACCTGGCAATTTCCCAGCTTGAGCCAGGGTCTGCCTTACATGTTATGAATAGTTTGGGCTAATTGCTTTTACGACCGATCACCTTCCTGGCATCAGCACTCTTTGGGAATGTATTAATCAGTGATGTCTATATACTCTTAGAAAGTACATATGACTCGGAAAAATCACATTATTATTTGCCAGGATCGAACCCGCGCCCTCAAGCATGAGAGGCAGGCCTTTTAACCACTAGGCCACCACTGACTTTTTACCTACGATATATGTATATCTTGTAAAATTGTATATTCATTATTTTCTTAATGTTTCAAACGTATATTGAACTGAATTACTGAAACCAATCAGAACGCGTGTATTCATGATGCATAGTGTTCTATACGAGACAATAAGTAACAATACGTTTAAAATTTCAATCTATTTGTGATTTTTAAAGCATAAAAAAATTACGTAAAGGATATAAAAGAACTCCAAATATATGACATAAGTGATCTTTAGAAATAGATTTAACTAAATGTAGCTTGAATGTTTTTAAATAGTTGTACATGTTTAAATGAACTTTCTTTAAATTAAAGATTGTATATGTACTAACAATTGTCTATGTTACTTCAACAACTTAAAACTAAATTTTGAATTGGTAGTACATAAAGGGTATCAAATTATAAAAGAAATATGATTATAAGTTACTTAAAATGGGCTGTTAAATTTTAATATGAAGAAAAAAGGTCTTGAATACTTTATTAAATAAATCCAAGTCAGTGAACTGCAAAAATAAGTTACCTAAAAATCTTAGGAAAATCACTAGTATATTATATATTATTTGGAATATAATAACATATTTTGAACTTAAAGAATATATTTAAATAAACTTTGGTATTGTAACGTTATATATTTTATTATGACTGCACTTCATATATTCATAAATACATATATTTACTCTTTTTTAAATACCTCGTTATTTATATATTTAAGTTAAGTATCAAAATCTTCTTCACGACAATATTTACTGTCATTTGAATTATATTAATACATAATTTCTTTTATACATAATACATAATCGTGTAGCAAAGAAAGTAATTTTCTTTCAAACAACTGTATTAACTGGAAAATGAAAATACGGCATTTGTATTTAAAATCGCATTTCCTGTAAAGCGACCTTGTAGCGCTAAAAGCTCCTAACGGTTTTTGTTAAACGTAGTCGCGGGCGTGATGGCTGTCTTTTGTTGTATTACGTGATCTCTAAACAGGCTTTGTATTAACTTTGTATCGTAAAGGCTTAGTTTAAGATAAACGAGCAAAGAAATTAAAGAAAAGTTTGCATTTTTTGTAGTAATTTAGCTAAATGGTGTGTAATTGTAAAGAATTTTAGCTTGACTTTTTTTTGGTAAATTTAATTATAGAGAAATTTCTTTGTTCAAGAAAAGGTATCAAACTTTCGGTAAGACTATCCAATGATTTTTTTATAAGTATTTATGTTATTGTAGGGCTGGGTATATTTAAAACATAATGTAGACGCATTAAAAAAAAGATAGTATTATAAAAGATTTTAAAAATTAAAATCTTCACATTATATGATTAAATATTATTTCAAATGGAGTCATATTTCTACAAAATTATTAGCAACACTACAATATTTATGATTTTAAATAACTTGTGGTGGCTCTACAATACTTTTAAAAACATTTAATACATTTTGAATAACGCACATCTTCGCTACCAATGACTTAGAAACATAAGGACAAGAGATAGATTCATCAGATTAGATAATATTACAGGCATATATAAATAGTGTAAATTAAATAAATTCGGCAGACCTCGAGCCACTTCCTACAACATCTCCGGCCTCATTAACGTTTCCTCTTGCAACTAAGGCCAATAATTGATATAATAACTATATATTTCATAAAAATATTAAATTATAGTATTACAATTCTTATTAAATAAAATTTAACTTGATTTAATATAAGACGTCAATTTTCGATTTATTGATTTCTTATAGATTTAAAATTAAATGAATTTTAAATTTCGTGATAAATGTTAATATTTAAATTCAAATTAAAATCATCGGTAAATCGCGAATGCTCCGTTACTACACGCCTCGTCTCACAGAGACGCCACAATGACAACTCACAGTGTAAGAAACTCATGTAACAATTATTTATTACTAGAGTCAACATACAAGTCGTTACAAATTTAAACATTTAAAACATATACATATTTATATATTTGAAATAACGTTAAAAATATGTATATAAGCTATTATTTAGGTATTAGTAAAAAAAATAAATGAAAACATAACATTTATTACAAACTTAAAAAACAATGTGAATGTTGCCATTGCTTAAAAATGTTCCTATGTGTTTTTACTATTCAATTAAAATTATAGATATATAAATAAAATATACTTTAATTTTCTATAATAGACTTCATATATTAATCATTTCTACTCGAAAGTTACACATTTTCTTGTTTGTCTGAACCTTAAATTCGATCCAAGTACAGTCTATCTTGCTAACTTTTGAGCATTTGGAAAAAACTTTAAATAAGTCATGACGTTTATCATGTTAGACCTAAATTAATGTGAAATGTTATAGATTTAAACTGTCTTTTCGTAGAAAAAATATAGCTTATTATTTTTTAAATACCTGAAAAAAAATCCAAAAAATCAACAATCAATTGTTTTATTATCTATATATAAAAACTTTTTTTTATGTTACATATGTTCCTTAGAAACAATAAAACAACTTAAATAATGCTCAAGTCGCATGTAGTAATTAGAGATAATTTTATTAAAGTATTCGTGCGTGAAATACGATTTAAGGATCATGTTACGATTAACTAATGTTCTTATACAATTGTGAATATATGTAACAGATGTGGAAATACAAGATATACTACACAGACTTTTGATAGAAAAAAGATATTTTATGTATAAATTTTAGTCAAGAAATTCTTATTCAAGATCATTGACGTGAAATATTTTAAAAGTCTATCAATTTTATTAAGAAAAAATTAAATAATATCTTCTAAAATATTTTTTCTATGTACTTTAATATTCAATAAACATTTAGAACAATTTGTTTTCACATACCACGTATATGTAATTACTAAGATTTTAGTATAATTCTAACGCCGCGGTGAGAATCATTATCAAAAAGATTTTTATTTAGTTTTTCGTAACTAATCACAAACAGCGTTTACATCGATCAAGCGTAGCGGGGTCACAGAACTAGTACAAACATGATTTTGTACGCCAACTTTATGCCATTTAAATTCCCACTGAAAAAATTAACTTCACCATTCAATACATACTTTCGTATAATACAGACGGATTTTTAATCAAAATTAAAAATCCTAGATATTCATATTACTTAAATTAATTGAGTCTTGTTATCGAAAAACGCGTAATTCTAAAATAATATACACAGGGATTCAAATAAAGTTGAGATAAATTTTCAGTTCAGTTGTATCTAAACTTGATTTATGTTTTATTTTTATTGTAAACTTAATTTAAATCAAACAAAATTGTTATAAATTACTTGTGTATGAATTATTTTGCTATATTGATTACCTTATCTCTAACTGGCTGAGATTTATCATTTCAATATATTATTCTATTTGATGTTAATAATAATTTATATTAACTTAACTTATAATAAAAACGTTGATGGATATTTTATTTCATCTCGGAATACTATCAACGTCCATTTTCATCGCAATTTTCTTCCCAGTCTTAAGCTATTTCAAAGTGCTTTAGAATTAAGATGTAGATTACTCGTTCTCTGGTTGTTTGTAAGTGGAAAAGATTGAAAATGTATATATATTAACGTAACAAATTGATAGAAAACAGTAAATAATCCTGACCTATAATAGAGATAATATAAACAAATAAAATCCTTAAAATATGCATACAAATCTTGATAACATAATTCTTTGTACGTTTCAGCGCCTCTGTAATAGAACAAAACGTAGTGTTTTTAAATATATCAATTATATATACTCCACTTACCTCAAATTCAGCATTTTTCACAGCGCACTTAGCGTACACTTTTAAACTCTGTCATTAATCACACAACACATGCATGAAGCATAAATATGTAACACTAACTCGTACTGTGCAACATGCGCCCGCGCCGACGTTTCGTTTAGAAGTGGGGTCGGTCGCAGCCTCCGTAATACTTCGTCTGTGAAATGATTCCAATCGGTAGCCTTTTAAGATAAGGCCGGTGACACAGCAAGACTTACATTTGGAGCCGAAAATTTTCACAATAATGAATGGTCGAAAAGAGTATAATCTTTTCCTTTTTTCAATGAAGTTAATGACTTTCTAGAAAGATATTTAAATCCTTAAGAGTTGATTGATATTAGTGCGAATAGCTATTATTTTGCATTGAATAATATTGTCTCGTTTATATTCTTTTATATATTTATTTAAAATACATAAATACAACAAGAAAATAAGTTAATAATATAAATATAGGTACATTGAAATACATATTTTAAAGGGGGTATAACGAAAAAATTCTGTTCGTTTTATATACACACTTTTATTGTCACAAATACAATTTTATGAAAATAAAACAGTGATCTTCATCAAAACAATAAAAAGTCATATAAAAAAACAATTATATATCAATAACAAAAAAAAAACATGTTTTAATTGTTCGAGGACGGCCTTATTTATATTTTACTTTAAGTTTCAAATGTTTAGTCAACTTTAAAAAGCACAGTCCAGGTGGAAGTCAGTCATGCATCACACAAACAGCTTCTGACCGAAAAACAATTATAATATAATCATTACAAATAGCAACATTTATTAGCTCCAATTCATTTATAATTCGAGAAGATTTAAAAGTTTTTACTAATAAAATCACAAATCAATAACAATCTTAATGCATAATAAAAAATCTGTAACATCACAATTTACTTCAAATTTTATTCGATTGTGTAATATTAATAAAAGAATCCTAATATGCGCTCCATTTTAATTAAGAAATTGCCAGCAACTACTAATGATGTAATAGTCACTACAGCTATTGTTATTTTCATGGCCCTGAAAAGAAAATAATTGTGTTATTTATTAGAACTATAAACTTTCTTCCACTACTTCCTATATTTCTTTTATTTATCTTAATGTATATTCGCTCCCAAATTGGCTTGTAACTAAAATGGTGTTGGAATATTTTGCAAGCTTAGGTTTTTCTAACATATTTTGAATACTGAAGTGATAGGACCACCTGCTTATTGTACCTTATAAATTACGGGTAGGAAAACGGCTTATAAAGAACTATAGTAATTTTTATTCAACTTCGTTTCGTCATATATAGCAGGTGAGAACTAATTGTGGCTATAATTAAATAACTATAAATTATCTCAATTCGATTAGGTGGTTTAAACTTGATAACAACACTCTTGTCTTAATTTACGTAATTATATAAGGATTTATGAATTTGAAAACGTAAACAGAAGAAATCTGTTAACCAAAAGAGAATTTTAATATATAAGGCAAGCTATGAAATAAATCTTTAACCTTTGAATGTTTGGGTGGTAGAAAAATATCGAATATCCCACCTCAGTTAAACTGGCCGTTATATTCCAGAAGCTTCTCTTTTTATTTTGAAAAATAGCTTACAAAAAGCCTAACTACAACAACTAGTACCTAAAAATCCTTGTGACTACCGCTTCTACTTGCTTATAAGCAACAAATACATGGAACTAACCCATCAGCATTATGGAAGTAGAGGGCGCTTCTCAAAGTGTAATATATGACCTGCATGTAGCAGTAGATGAGGTAGTAGAGAGCCAGGGCCGTGGCTGTCACTGATAGTTGAATTAATTGTACCACTTCACCAACCACTCTCCATGACTTTTCGTTCGACTGCTGATAATAAGTTTTAAGTTAATAGAATTAAGAAGGTATATCAAAGCATTAGAAATAAATCATAAGATAATAATCCCAAATTATTCTGAAATACATATATCCTAAACTATGAGACGGTACTTTTGATTGTATTTATTATGTTATATCATGTTAGCTCTATAACGAGTCAAGTTAGTTATAATGTCTGACTAAAGAAGAAATTAAAAACAATAATATGAAACTATTTCATAATCAAAATAATTTTGTTTGGATTTAATGAGATCTTGATACTTTTGCGAGTATTCACTTAAATGAATCTAATATTATTCGGATTACTACGCGTGTTTTATTATTTTAAGAAATTACATACACTCGACGTTTCTGAGACGAAGACATCTCGTCTGCCCGTGATCACGGTTGCTTCAAAGTAACCGAAAAGTCGGGAATACTCCCGTAGTTATATTACATAGAACTTCTACTTTTTCAAATAATAAAATACGCGTAGTAATTAAGAGTTCTTAAAAAAGCCTATTCAAAGAAACTATGACATAATAGTAACAGAACGGTATAAATAAATCGTAATGTATACAGTCTTAATAAAATTGTTTCTTCGATTACGATTAAGATTACACTTATTTAAAAGAAGTTGTTGGTATGTGGTATATCCGTTGCGCTTACGGAAATCAAGCGGCCACAACTTAACCTAGAGAGATAAAATCTTACGTAAAACAAATAGATTAAACAAATATATATTTTTTTGTAATTAATTATACTGTTCTTGGACCTTCAATGTTAAATGTTACATTATTTGTGTTTTTGTTAATATTTTTACCTTTTTCAGAGCCTTTTCGTCGGAAACATCATAATCGTGTAGGGAGTCCATGCAAGAATTCGGCATGCCCATTCTCGTTTGATGTACGTTCGTACAATATGCAGATATGCAAGTGGTTCCCAGCTAAAACATATTTAAATTTCTTATTTGCGCTTATATCATGTCAAATTGATCTATATTACTATTTTAAAATTTATTTACTAATGATTGGATACGTATATTCATTTCTCCAGAAGCATTTTAAGTTCGAAAGTAATTGTTGTATGGAAACTATTTAAAGCACTTGTATTTACATTATTATTATGATTATTATTATTTTTATTATCTGGTGTGGGCGGAGGTGGGCCCGGGAAACAGTTGAGGATGTGTTTCAACTTGTCACTCGTCCGTAAACATCCACAACGACGTCTCCAAGATTCTGGTTCGGGTACTCTATCCATTGCATTGGTCTCCATAGCTCTGTCACTTAAATAAAAACTAGATAAAGCGGATTTGTTCCAACAAAAATCAATTTATTAGAACGGTTACTTATTAAGAAACAAAGTCAAATGAATTGAATAAAAAATTGTAGATTTTTTCGTTTTATTTATGACATTTTATAGGATAGAGATAAAATTATCAAAATTATTGAATAATTCTTAATTTCAAGCTTATGATTGTAAAGTTACTTAACTATTTATGAGCGGTAACAATAAAAATTATGTTTGTATAACTTACTTTATTTTATTATTAAACAATCTTATATCTTTGTTTTTGAAATGCAGTTATTAATTTAGTTTCATCGCAAGGAAATTTTTGTAATAAACATAAAATAAAACATACAAGGACATCACACAACAACACCTGAAGATTTGACTGCCAAAAATGTGACAAAAATTCTTTTAAAATTGCTATGTAAATTGTTCAAAAAGGTCGCTAATGCGGAGTTTATATTATAATTGTAAAGCTTTTAAATTGTATGTTAAATTTTATACCTAATCATAAACTCTTTCTATTTTGTCATTGGATAGTTGTGAAAAATATCTTTATGTTTTTTTATCTGGCTTTGATTTATATATTCGACGTTTTCCTCATAAAACCCTTTAAGAAAGATGATGAATTTCATTCTATCTAGTAGTCTATTATTCCATAATAAAGAGATTGTATATGTGTAGAATTGTAGTAATGATCGCAGAATATTTCCGAACGATTAATTATAATCAATGACAGTTTATGAACGTAGCTATACCTAATGTTGGAATGAATCATAGCTATTATTTGTCCAGCCAAGCCTTTGAGAATGTGAATTCCAGGTGAGTTATTATTGAAAAGTTTAGCATTAAAGCACTGAACCACTGAATTGTGAATGTCAACACTTCTCACGGTTGCCGCACATACGACAACGAGCGAATATACCGAAATGTAAGTTTACCGCTATTCGGTAACCGTTTGTAGCCGAAATATGAATAATCTAAAATCACGCATGCGGCGACTAATGTGTTTCGGATAATTGCTGTAAATTAGACACACTTTCATTGTATATCAGATGAACTTAGAACCTAATGGCACCTTAATTGCTTGATCTATCCGTTCCGTGGAAATATGTAGGTTTTCAAATAAGGCATTTATTTTTCATCTTACAATAAATAAGTACTTTTTAATACCAGACCTTATCAGTTTAGGTATAATTAAGCTAGTAAAAATCATCACATTGCAGGTCATTTTGCGGTGTCAATTGTGCTATATGAATTAACGCGCTGTTTTTCTCACGCCAGTGGATTGTTTAAATAAGTGCGTATTTAAAAGAAGTAACTGTTATGTAAAAAATAAAATGCTTATTTTAATACAAAAATAGTAACATATATATCTAGATTTCATCATTATCTATGTAAACGTATGTTTTCAATATATTTTTAAATACAATTAAAGATACCTAACTCTTCTTAATTTTATATCGAACCTTTTTGGTATATGACGTGTTGCTGAAAAGTTTCTTCCTTAATACTGATTTCATATTTTTTTATCTGTATCATAAATCACACGTACCTATGTTTTTTTAAGTCCCAGGTCGCCCTGTGTGATATAAGTCGTAAGTTAAACTCTGGCATGTTAAACTGCCATAGAATGTTATGGTTTTTACAACTAGATTGCTGTGAGCTCCACCTGACGCGTGTCGCGAATCGCTAGGGCGTTCACTTGAAGAAATGTCTATTATTATTGTGTCATTAGTCATTCTATCCAAGAAAATATCCTGACTTTACATCCGCATCCCGGTTATTCTATGAGTACAATTTTAAATTACGTTTAGAGAAATTTATCACAACAAAAAGTTTGATGTAATATTTATAATCTTATATCATACTTGTTTTAAATAACCTATAATTAAAGCAACTTTCTTTATAACTAAAATTAATTATTAGCAAATCAATAATAACAAAAATTTATATATGTTATCAATGACCGTTAAAAACTATTAACAAAATGAAAAACATATTCGACTTTAAATATAATTTTAAGATAATTTACATAATTTTTATTTCGTAACGGCAGTAAACAAAGATTACCACATAGTTTTATGACTGACCAAGGTAAAAATCAGTAGCATTTAGACAATAAGTTAGCTGCAAGGCTGTGTAAACACAATGGCGATTTTGGAAAAGGCAAGGTCGACCGTGTAGCGAAGAAACGCCCTTTACGAGCTATTACACGGGCCAGCGAACATGAAACTATTTCAACCCTAAATATACCTATATTAACCTATGAAGCTCGTGGTTTTTTATTATATTAGGAAAATGTTTTCCATATTAGGCAAAGGCAAAATAATCTTCTATATATATAAAAATGGATTGCTGTTCCTTAGTCTCGCTAAAACTCGAGAACGGCTGAACCGATTTGGCTAATTTTAGTCTTGAAATACTCCTGGAAGTCCAGGGAAGGTTTAAAAGGTGAGAAAAATTGGAATAATTGCCGGGAAAACCCTAAAAACAGCGCTTTTTTTATTTCCCATACAAACGGTTTTTTGTCATTAGATTTGACAACTAACAAATATGTCAATCATTTTGTCGCACTTCAGAACACGGAGATTTATGGCTTAAAGGTAAACACCAAAAAAATAAATAAGACATAATTTATTTCTTGATTGAGGCAGTACGAAGTCTGCCGGGTCAGCTAGTTATAAATAATTAAGCGTGTTTTAACTTCTTCTTTTTAATTATATCGCCCTACTGACTTCAGAATAACTTTATTCTTTATTATTATGTCGAATTACCGAAGATTTTGATTATGTATTTCATACTCTATTACTGAGATTGAAATTGTTTCTAGGCTTTTTGATCTAATTATTGTCAAATAAAATATATAACACGACTAGGATACAAAAACACAAACTAATTAAGTTATTGTTACTAATAACCAGAACTTCTTTTAATATAATATATAATATATATAAAGAAACGTCTTTTAATATATTAAATTGCAATTTATTGAAATGTCGAACATAATATATAAATTACGTCTGTAAGAATGTTTGTTAAAATTCAATCTTGCTGTGTTTTTTTTATTTAAATCTACTTGATTTACTTTTATTATAGTTACATGAAATATAATGTATTATGTAATGCTCTTCTATCATTTAATATTTTTCATATTAGGTACGTATTTATAATGATAGGTAGAAAGGTTTATGAAATCAAATAATGAATATATCGCCATGTATTTATTAAATAAACACGTTTACATCAACGCCGAAGCATACTAGTTACCAGACAGCATTCACACGTGACTTCAGCAAGCAGATCTTCAAAAACTTAATTCTATATAAGATTAACAAAAAACTATAAAAAAGATATCAACAGTGTAATGGCAATTATATAAAATCTCACTCAAAAACCGAACGAGGTACGAAAGGGGACATATTGTTGGATATAAAATTAAATTCTTATAACTTTAGTATGACTTTTTATAATGTACGTAAACAACGACAGTTTAATGAGATAAGACTTTCAAGTTTTCATTTAAATGAAACTATTAACTAATATTTTTGGATTACTACGCGTTATTATTTTGTATGTTATTAAAAATAATTAAATACGCGTACTAATTTGAAAATATTAGTTCCATTTATTAGACAGTTGCAATTTGGTTCCTTCAGAACATCCGATATAAAGCTTATCGCGGATAAAGAGAAACCATAGAACTGACGGTGTCTAGTTTATAGAAAATCGCACTAAAGTTAAACTGACATCTAAGACTATACAGAATTTCTGAACTTAACAGATTACTGAAAAATATAAGTACTATGTATGATTTCAAACTATTTCAGTATACATTCAATAACATTTATTTCATAACACACAATCCCCACACATAATATTCTAAATAAACGAACACCTATAGAAAAAAAATTAATACACACATACAAAAATTTAAAACTTACATAACATTGTGCTTCACCAGACAGACAGATGACATTTATATATTTATTGGCCTAACTATTTCAAAAATATATTCCATTCATATAAAGGACATGCACAAAACGTTTAATAGATGCTATTAAAATATCGCGTCCTCAGTGAAAGCACAAGCGTAGCGTTACTCCGTGACTATCTAGTTATAGATTTAATTTAAACAATCGACGGAATCAATTCATATATAATATAGATGAGGACATCACTAGTATAGCGGTTTTAAGACTTTTTTTTGTAGGATCTGGTTTTCTATTTGACAGTGACATAAATTACTTTGACATTTTAAAAAGGATTATTTGACAGTGTCTTAGGTATAATCTTCACAAAATATAGATATTTTTTGAGTACATACTTTTAATTCGTGTTAAGTACATATAAAATTAAGACATTGTAAAGAGAAATAAAAATAGAAGAAATAAAAAAGATAATTCAAATGTATGGCTGAATAGATTCAATACAATAGATTTTTAACAGTTTAATAAAACAATGTCAAACTACAATATGTCAATATTTGACATTTAGTTTTCAATCAAACCAAATCCTACTTAACACCACGAAAGACTAGACGATATTAATTTTTAACGAAGTACATCAGTGCTAGATAAATTTGTACATACGTGAACTATTCATATTATTATCACAAACTCCAATGCGTGAGATATAATACTTGTTGGGCCGAATAATTAATAAATAGTATATATTATTATGGATTTAATAAGACGGTATGCGAACGGCAGGAGCACGTGAATTGTATTTCGTTATAACATTAACAGCCAACAAGCGCGATCTATCACGACCATAGATACAAATAAATACATCGATTAGACTAGAATGACATTAAGACCATAGACAAAAAAAAATATTATTGCCTACTATATTGCATTTAAATAACTGCTCTTTTTATTGTGCTTGGGATTATCACAAATTAAATTTGGAATTAAATTCGTCAAATTTGACATTAGCTTTAGTAGATATAAATGAACGACATAAGCTACCAAACATATATGGAATGTTAATTGTAACATTTATTATATATTAACCTTAACAATGGAATTATACATCAGTCTCAGTTTTGCTGCTTGTGCGTCGACTGCGTCCCGACGAAGCGTTGTTAACCCAACAGGGTCCACTTAGGAGGAATTTCTTTACATTGTACTCCATTCGAGCCAAATCTTCAGGAGATATTTCCTTTTCGCCCTTAGTCTTTAAAACATCGCGTAGTTCTTTGCCCACGTCTATGGATATTTCGTGGTTATTCTGCGTGTTTTCACTTATTTCTGTGACGGTTTCGTCGCCTACTTCTACCGGAAAAATTGTCTCCTTCACCAATTTATTGACGATTTTAGTATTGGTGGTGTTATTTTTATTTGTTTTTTCTTGGTTCAAGCTTTGACTTGCTGCGTTATGAGCCCAATTGTTACGCGGTTCTCGTGAAAAGGACTTCGCGAACTTAGTGACTGGATGAGGCATGTTCAACGCCAATTCATTCAAAGTTTCTGTCAATCGGTTTATTTTACTCTCCCTTCTTAACATGCGATTTGCCAACGAGCAATCATCTTCTAAAGGATCGTTAAGATTGTTCTGTTGCTCTAAATTCTTCTCAACCCATTCAGCGACTCTCAATAATTGTTGTTTTTGTAACAGCGCAGCGCTGTCGTCGCTTGAAAGTGAGCTTGTGCTTTGTTCATTTGTAAACGCTTTCTTACTGTCGTTAGCCTTCAAATGTGTTTGTGTCAAATTCGGATAAACGTTGACAATATTCTGTATAGTTGATGATTTGACAGTTTCATTTTTCTCCAATTCTCCATCGATCGGTGGGAAATCTTTGGATATTTTAGTATTCTCAATGGAATGCAGTTGGGACATTTCGATTTTATTTAGAGTCCTTGGAAACGATCCCGTAACTTTGCTCTGTTCGTATTTATCGAAATTGAAAATTTTGATGTCCTTGTTGTCGGTGGGCGATAAGAAGTCTGGTTTTGTAGTGGTTTCACTACTGCTATTGTTGTTTTGTGAAAAGCTATTTTCTACGTTGAAATCATTGAGTAGATCAATATCGGAAGTGTTATTTTGGCTGCCTATCTGCGAGGTGTTTTTGTTTTCGGAAGTATTTGAGAAGTTGTGAGTCTTTTGCGGTTGCAACGGCGAGGAAGAAACATTTAGCAGCACTGGATTTATTGGAGTGCTTTTCACGGACGCGTTGGATTCTTTATTATTATTATCCACATGGACATCAATGAGAGTACTTTCGACCACTATATTATCATTTTTCAGGATCCTCTTAGTTTCTTCGTCGTTCTTTTCTAAGTCTATAAAATTATCTAATTCATTGAGATCGTTGAGATCTTTGAACAGTGAATTATCGTTACATTTGCTCTGACGTCGATAAAGAACTGGTGGGACGTCTGGTTCGGCGTTGTCCAACAAAATATTTTTAGATCCAGCTTGCATACGTAAATGACAGAATCTTGGCCCCGGACCTACATGGGTATTTGACTTGTGCGTACTAACTGTAGATTTGGCTACAGATGACGTAACACTACCAGCTCCCATAGAACCATGAGAGCTTTTCTTCAAATTCATATCTATTGGAATCTTATTGTTTGTTTCCTTAGAATTGGACACGTCCCTAACTAGCAAATCTTCATTGCCTACACTTTGGATGCTACTTTTGATACTAGATATTGAGGTTTTAGTACGATCGCAAAGTTTATGATGAACAGCCGGTTCGGTTGTAACACTGTTGGTACGAATTTTAAAATCATCTTCGACTTTATATAGAATATCATTCTTTCTGTTCACGTCTAGTTTTGTCATGCCTTCGTTTTTGATCGCGTCATTTATTATGTTATTTGGTTTCTTTATAGCCGGGTCTCGTATATCCGGCTTTACTGTAAGCTGAGGGATAATATACCCGGGGTTATAGGCTGGCTTTTCATTAACAATCTTCTCATTAACATGCCTTATAGCTGGCGGTGTGTTGCTTCTTATGCTCAAAGCTGAATGTAGCGACTTTATTTCAGCGTTACAGTTCAAACACAGTGTGTTACTTAAATCACCACTTTGTATAGTTTGTGTGGATACTGTGTAATAACTTTCATTGTAACAGAACGGCTTATTCTGAGATTTCGAGCAAGTGCAAGTATCACAATGTTTTGTGACCGAATCTTGAATACTGTCTTCAAGTATTTTCGACATGAGCGATGCTGATATATTGAATTCATATTCGCTAGCATCAAATGTATCGAGATCGTTGCTATTTTTGGTTTGATTTACAGGTTTAGGTGCTTTAGACATCACATACTGTGACACCCTCGCTTGTGTGTCAATAGGAAGCTATATGAAACAAAAGATATGTTACAATTCTATCTAACAACAATAACCATAATAATATTTAACGACTTACATTATCAAGTTTTTGTGATACAAAGTTGTCCGGTTTGCACTGCAACAACTGTATCGCAAGATTCATATCATTTTTGTATCTCTCCTGTAAATAAATAAATATTATAAGTATATGTAACATAATATTTCTTAGTTATAAAAACCTTTTATATCATACATTTTCTTTTTGCAGCATGCTGTAATTATGTTTAGATTCGGCCAATCTCACTGATAGCGTTGCTATATCTTTTGTCAATTGACTTTTCTCACTTTTCATTTTGTCGACCATTTGAAGCAATTTATCCTCAAGAACCTGATTCAACTTCTGTACCCTTTTATGTGAATCATATAATCTGAAATTATAAATGTCTTAATGGAAAGATTTCACTATTTCCATACAACAATCAAGTTAATTATACATATTAAAAATATATTTAATATTTAATTATCATTTCTCATACTGTATTAAAAGACAGTGAATCATGACCTGAGTTGAATATATGATATTTAACATATAACTTTTCTTTACAAAAAATATTATACCATCTATTAATTTCCAAAGTGTTTTTTTATTTGATGACATCCATTTTGCATTGAATCCTTCCGTTTAACCTTAATTAGGATTTCCTTAATGTAAAATAAAAAGTTAAAATGTGACTGTGGTATTAAATAAATTATTTGCAGCTCACCTTTCATACTTCTCAGTCCAGGTAGCAACCTGTTCTTCCAAATCATTAACTCTAGACGTACATTTGAAGTACTCGGTCTCTAGAGATACAAATTGTTCATCCCTGTCAGCGAGGTGTTGCCGTAAATGTTCCACCTCTTTGTGCAACTGTACCTCATCGGCACTACATTCCTACCGATTGTGTGCAAAAAAATTAAAACAAAAATAACAAACACCACCTATATGTTAACAGGAATATAAGGCAAACAAAAAAAAGAAAAGCAATGTGCATAAATTTTACTGTTTATAAACTTCCAATCCTACATGGTCTAATGTCTGAAGCATGATATTAAAATCTACTTGAGATAATTCACTAAACAATAATACTAAAATGTGATATTTTAATAGCAATATGAGTACTATTTGTTTCTTACAAATAAGGCTCCCCTTGATGAATTGATGGCTAGTTTCAGTAGTAAAAATTTTTCATAAATGTTAAATAATTATTGTACAAAAATGTAGAAAACAATTTAGAAAATAATATTGCATCATTCCAAGAGAATAGATTAAAGATAGTTCTAAATAAATAGTCATAGAACTAACACGAAAGTAATAAGATCATTCTTTGTAGAGATTGTATATCTAGACTACAAAAACATCGCCAGATTTTTACCTTACAAGGGGAATTCTTTATGATTTCGTCCATCACTTATGAAATAATTCTAAATCACATTTCACATTATGACAAGTCCAATTTTATATATAAACAGCCACGTCACACGCAAAAGTGATTATAAACAGCTATTGTTATCAATAAGCCACTGTTTAAAAAATAAAATAAAAATCAATCGGGACACATAATATGAATATTTACTTCAATTTAGAACTTTCTAAGACTCAACCATCTGAAAAGTGCAATTAATGTTCATATTTAAATCTAAAAACTTATTGAAATTCAATAAGAGTATGTATACGGAAAAAAATAAAAGTAACTATTGGAAATTCCAATTTTATAACACGACGCGAATTTCTCGCAGAAACGTAAATGACGATTGACATTATTGACGTTTTCCATAGATAATCTATCTGTGTTCTTGTTAAGTCAAATAAATATTTAGGAGATAAAGTAAAATACTTGAGAATGCTTGAGCAGTATTTATAAAAGACGTGAAATATATTTATTATAATTTATTTTATATAACAATAACAATAAACAACAAACAAATATTTTTAATAGACAATCCATAATTTTATAATCACTGAATGACATTATGATGTAGGTTCTTATATTCTATTAGAATTTACCTTTATAGTTTTAATTAAATCATAAGTATTTCCTAAAGACAAAAGCTTTCTAAACTCTAAATTTAATTACGATTTTTCACACGAGTTCTTTAAATGTGATATCACGGATTAGTTATAAAATATTTAAAATATGATTCAATTATTTTTTTACTGACCATCATATACATAAAAGGGACAAAGGGACAATAAACTTTAATAATATCCCATTTCATTTAAACAAAATATATTTAGAGAATATTGATATTTTTTTTTTAATTTTTAAGTTTTTCGTTTCAATGGTTTTAAAATGGTCCTTCTGCAATAAATATTAGCGTTCGGGTTTCCGTCGCTTTTGAGTTACCCTATCTATTTTCTCTCTAAACAGTATGAGTTGTGACAAAGCATAATACTTAATACAACACTTTTTTAACAAGTCAAAGAACGAAATCAAATACAAACCAACCTTTTTAAGCGTTTTTTCCTCTTTTATTTCTATAGCATACGGCGTAACATAAATCTTCACTTTGGGAACCCTTAAAATATATTTATTTAATTGCAATGACCCAAGATTAAAAAGCATCTTGAGAGTAAAAAGAATACTTCATAAAGTGATAACATTCGTAATTTTATTATTTGGAACACAGACTTTCGAAAACTTAAAAATTCCAGATGATATGTATATAAAACATTATTTTCTTAGAATTAAAGAGTTTTCAGCCTAGCTAGTCCTGGAAGTTCGCCATTTTAGAAAGCAGCTTCTAGTTTGATATAAAAAAAATAAAAATAAGCAGTAATATAAATTCTACTCAGAATTTTTGTTTGTCAAGTAATCACTTCATTCGTTATTTTTTTTTAATTATTGTCCTTTCCACAGGTCGTAGATTAGTACCTACTATTTTGTTCTATTTCTTTACGGGTAATACAAAGGAAATCTAAGTAAAGATTATAAATTAATCACTTCTTTATTTATTTATCCTAATTACAAGGACTATGGTCAAATCTTCGTAATAATACATTCGTCAAAACCATGAAAAATAATTTTAAGTAGAATAAGTTATAGTATATGTAAAAAATTTGTTTATCAAATGTTAAAAACACATAAGTCCTTCAAATAAAAATTTTAGGTTAAGCCCAAAATGCGGCATTTTTTTTTTAAACCCAAACCTGAGTTATAGAATATATACATTCTTTGCCGATATTTAATGATAAGAAAGATAAATATATACCTATAGTATAAATTATTTCACGCTTATTTAACATATTCACGTCAGAAATAACACGATAAAAATAAATTATTCTCAGACATTTCCCTTCAAAAAGTAGCTTCGGTCGGCAATACGGTGCATACTTCAGGCGTCACCACACGTCTGGTTCTGACGGTAGATCTATTTCGGGAACTCACACTAATTCTGATCACGCTCCTTTGTCTTATTAAAAGTATTATCGGCAATACGTATACGTTTTAATTTGTTTATTAAGTATAAAGATCCTCCAATATGGGGAATGTGTTCAGTGCATCGACTGACGCTGTAAACACTTCAACAGAACGTGAAAGAGACAGTGAATTGATGGAAGATATTAATACATTACATGATAACGATGAATCTGTGGAGGAACAATTCCACGATTCCATCAGTGATAACGAAGAAACTGTGAATAGAAGACGAGATGAAGATATGGATGAATTCATTAGGCAATTGGACACTAAACGTGAACAAAGAAGAGCAATATTAGACAGACATAGAACAGAAAAGAAGAATTTGGAAAAGCAATTAAGCGAAGAAAAGCAAACACATATAAATCTATGTGAGCAAAATAAAATGCTTAGAGAATTACTTGTGAAAAATAATATTGAAATTCCGGAAAAACTCGACTCTGCCGATGAGGATTCTTATATCGCAAGTTCTATTTCTGACATGAAGAAAGAAATCGAAAGCTTAAAATCAAACAACAACATATTACGTTGTGATCTTGCTAAATCTAACAACGCTCTACAATCAGCGTATTCAAATATCGCAGACTTAAGTGAACAGAATACTGAATCCATTAAGCAAGTAAAAGCTCTTAAAGAAGTAATAAATGTCAGTAAGACGATGATAAATCTTCGTGAGGAACAACTTAATGAAGTAAGTTTATTTTATATTCTTAATTAATAATATAAAACGATATAGAAGTATCTCATGAACTCTAATTAATTGGCAATGAAAAATAGACCATTCATTACGAATTAATGTAAATTATTAAGTTGTTATTCCAAATCAATTGGCTTTTTATCGTTAATTCCCAAATCTCTAGGTTTAATAATAAGCAATCCTATTTTAGGAAGAACTGTTATTTTTCTTTACTTCCAATTATAACAATTTTTACTGTCTATATACCTATAGCAGAAAATGTTCTAGATTCATATTTTATACATGTTCTTAAATATTTATTACCTAATTTATGCACATTAATATTTTTGTCTATTTGTACTGATTATAAAATCAAGACAGTCATAAATTTGTTCACTACGTTTAATCACAAAAATTGGCAGCTATTTCAATACCTATTAATGGAATGTTTTAAATCAAGGCGATTTTAACTCAAGTTTTAAAGCATATAATTTGCAGTCATATTAAAGAAAAATTTTATTTATTTATTTATCCGTATAAGGAGTGAGATCCCTAAGTTTCCGTAAATGTAAGTAATGTAATAAAGGCAACGACCTGCATACAAATTTTGTCCATCGGTCATAAACCGAAATGCACGGCGTTGGCACATTGCTTTGACTGAACGCCAAAACATGAGATCGCTTTGTTTAATAAATAGGACAATACATATTCAATAAATAATTCTTAATCAATCAATATATACATTAATCAAATTATTAACGTCAATTAAAAAGTTATGTCAAGAGTCTTTTGGCTAATGTCTGTGATTTCTTTTAAAGTGAAAGTTTACAAACATAATTTTTTTTTTTTTTTATAGCTAAAAAATAAACTCAGCGAAATAGAACAATCCTTGGCTGATAGAGAGACGAGTGTGCTTTCTACTGATTTACGAAAAGAATACGAAAGGCAATTGCAAAATATACGCACATTACGTGGTCTGTATGAAGAACGAGCCCGATTGGCTGAAGTTACAAGACAAGCACTTGTAAGAGAAAATGAAGAACACAAAGTACTTTTAGAAGTCGAAATTAATAAGTGAGTTAAATAAACAATAAGTTAAAACATATATAATCAATTTAATCTCAACAAATTCTATAAAATTGTGCTCTTTTCGTTGTAGATCTAAAAACCTAACAAGTAAAGTTGAAAAGCTGGAATCTGAAGTAGCTACGTTAGGAGAGACAATCGAAGATAAAAATAATATAATAGCATCTTGTCAAGAAGAAACAAGAGGTATTAAAGCTGAAATGTTAGCTGTTAATAAGGTATATACGTTAACAAACCTTTATTATCAAATACAAATCTTAAAAGAATTATTTCTTTTAATGGAAAAATTTACAGTTGTTTTCACAGGTACTTTTAGGCTACAAGAATAAACAAGATTTAGATAAACTAATTTCTCGCCTTGAAGAAAATCATGGTATCCTTACGCATATGGCTGGAAAAGAGAACAGTTCAGAATTATCATCAGAGCTGCCAAAACTCCTGTTGGAAATTGTGAGCCAAATTGAAGAAAGTGATAATAAAAGTGTTGGCGAAATTTCCGAAGAAGGAGGTGAATTCCCAGTGTATTTTCATTATTTTGCTTATATTCTAACTAAAGTGCCTTATAAAATTTACCCGATTAAACAGATTTAGTGCTAAATTGGAAAAAACACCTTTCTAAATATTATTTTTTTTGTTTAAGATGTAATTTCTTCTCTCAATACTACACCTGAGGAAATAGTTCAAAACCTTCCAAAAGTCTGGCGAGTATTATCTGAATTATTAAGTCACCAAAGTGAAGCAGACAGCAATACTTCAGAGAAGGTGACTACGTGTTACAAGTCGGTACAAACGAAGTCGGGTCCCGTACTTGTGCCAAGCGTTAGTCAAACTTATATAAGATTAAAGGTAATTGTTTCTCAAAATCTATGACTCACTACATTAATGCTTTAAGATAACAAAAATAAGTTCATGATCAACAATTTGTATTAAAATAAAAATAGAATATTTGTTACGACTTTTGAAATACAGCCAATTTTGCTTACGATCTTCTGCAATGTATTTTTACAGTGAATTAACATTGTGCAATTCCTTTATACAGGATTTGATACTCGAAAAGCTGGCGTTGATTAAAGAAGTTAACAGAATGAAGCAATTAAATACACATCTAGAGTCACGTTTGGGTGAACAGGAGAAAAGGTTGTGTCTCGTTACTAATGAGCTTAGTAAAACTTGGCATGTTGTTGGAAGACTGCGACGTCATCATCATCAGTTGCACACACATGAAAAAATTCTAAAATATGAATTGCAACAAAAAAGAAAATTACTTAACGAACTGAAAGAAGAACTCGAATACTGTCGTGAAAAATGGGAACAGGCGCGCGAAAAGAACACGCAGTCTGAAAAAGATTGGAGGAAACTACGTACGGAATTCTCAAACAGAAAACTAAAACCTGACCTACAGTCGTTAACTAACTCTGCTGAAAGTGGATACAGTGACGAACGACCATCCGATGAATCATCAGAGTCAAACGATGAAAGTGAATACGCGGAACCGAAAGTAAAATGTAAGAAGAAATTTAAGAAATCATTCGAAACAATAATCGATTCGAGTGCAGATTTTAATCTAGCAGAAAGAGAAGATCCGGTAAGTGATTTGCTTGATGTAGCAGAGTTACCTCTCGATACACACGATGAAAACATCGATTGCGAAGCATCAGATTCAATGAACAGCGAGAGTTTATGTAAAGAGAAACTATGCGATGAAACAGAAGATGAAATTCCTGATATAGTTAACGAATCTTGTTTAAAGTTAACAAATGATATTGATAGCGACAAAAAAGATACTGCATTAACTTCAGAACTGTCTATTAATATTGATGGAGCAATTGATCCCGCGCCAAATATACATGATATAGAAAAACATCAACAAATCGATCAGAATAGAGTGAATATTGTTGAAGAAAGCCATTTAGTGGATAAGGTTATTGATGTTGAAGATGATATGATTAATATAAATCTACCCTCGACGTCTCAAAACGTAGATTTCCACAATAATGATAACGAAAGAACACTATCAGTTTCTACACAAAATATTGTAGATACTTCTGAATTAGAACAACCCACAGAAAACGGTCAAGTTGATTTTAAAGCTATTTTAGAAAATGTAAGAAAACAAAACGAGAGATTAGAAATAAAAGATAAACGTCTTAGTAATTTAGAACAAGGATGTTCTGAAGTGTTGGAAAACATGTCAAACACTCTCACACTTGGTGATGAAATGATTGCTAAATTAGATAACCTACACAATCCCAACAAAGTGGAAGAAGAATACAATACATTGACAAACGAATCAAACAAAATTGATATGGATTCAGATACAGAGAGCAAACCGTCTACAAGTAACGAAGAACCTTCGTCATCACGAGAAATAGATCACGAAGCACGCTTCGCAGCACGTGACCTTCGACTGAAAAGATTGGAAGAACAAACAAAATCACTGGTAAAGAAAGTCAACAAAACAGCTACAAAAGGCGTTAAAATAAATTACAAATTAGAAGAACTACATAACATATATGGGTCTGAACACTCGCGATCCGGCACGCCCTCAGAAGATACCGAAGATATATCGCAAAATGACGAAAACTCAAACGAATAATATTCGTATATAAAATATTGTTAATGCATGCTGACAATAAAATAAATGATAGAACATTTTAATAATTACTCTTATCTTTATTTGATAAATCAAAACACAGACAGAAAATCAGGTACTTTTCTCGATATAGTTTTTAAAACTAAATGTAGATGATAAAAAATATATGAAAATAAAAAAATATGGCGCCAATGGTAACTTATTGAAGTATATACATCACAACACAATAAAATTATATAAATTGTCATTTCATTTGAACATATTAAATTACTATTACAAGTATATTATTTTAACTCTTATCCTCTTTAGTTTTTTCACTGGTGCTAAGACTATCTTCAAGTACGGCGACCACAATATGTTGAACTCTGTCAGCGTCTTTTCCCGGTGGAACGCTATACAATCGATAGGCCCAAATAGAGAGCAAAAGCATTTCCAGCATCATAACGATACTCTGTATCACTGAAACAATAAAAATTTCAGATAAAAAACTTGTAAAACTTCAAATATTTTTCGTATTTCATGTCATTTGCATATCAAAGCCTACTGCTGAGCATAGGCCTCTTCTCATATGGAGAAGGTTTTAGCATTAATCACCACGCTTGCTCAAGACGGGTTGGTAATATCAAACTTATAATTGCGAAATTATAAGTCCAGGTTTCCTCACGATATTTTCCTTCACCGCCTGTCAGCCTAAATACTCTTAGAAAGTACATATTTAACTTACAATTAACAAATACGGATGGATGTAATGCAGTTAGACAGGGTAGTTTAACCATTCCTGGCAACATTTTCGTTATGCCCCACTGTAGTTTGACTATAATTAAGACCAGTTGAAGGGCTAGGAACCTAGGTTTAGGTTTAGCTCCTACGGCCTCCGCTGTCTTAATGCACATGATGACCCCCCATACTCCGGACAGAATCGACGCCGCTATGAACGGGATTATATAGATGAGACTATTCAAATATAGCATCTGGAAAAAAGAATATAGCATTTTAGAAACCTTTGTTTAGCCATCTCATTACAATAAATATTTAGATTTATAAGATACTAACAAATTTAAAATCAGAACACTTATGTGCTTCTATAATATTACACATTACAATTCTAACCCAAAAATAACTTTTATAAAATTAATGAATTCAAATAGACAGGCTTAAAACATTACATGTGTTTAATAATTTAACATTTACTCATAGACACAATATATTGAATCTACATATTATGTTTGTAACATTGAAATATACCTTCTTTATTACATGCATGTTAAAATATATTTATATAGGGTACATGCACCTAAATATCATTTTTACAATTATTGTCCGTCCGTCTATTTGTTCCGACTAATCTCTGAAATGCCTGGACCGATTTTGACGGAACTTTTATTTGCAGGTAGCTGATGTAATAAGGAGTAATTTAAGCTACCTTTATGCTGATCTCGAATCTCAATAAAAATTAATCGTTATCAAATTGGAGTGGGAGTCGAGGCGATGCGGTGCTTAAATTTTTTTTCTTTGTTACGAGAAGGTGTCAGATTTAGGGCGTTATTTGTGAATCCACAATAACTTTGTTTTATTTTGTTAATAATAATAGTAATAAAACACGTCTTTGTCCCTCTATAGGACTGTTGCTCATTTAACGGTGCTGGTGATCTAGCGATATGTTAAGATACTTTTAATAGAATTTTTCTTAAGTGATACAGAAGTCCATAAGGCAACACACGAGTTATATTTAATTTAAGAACTTTATAAAAGTTTATAAATTTTAACTAAATATTTACTATTCAAAAATGTACAAAACGACATTATTATTCAGGCAATATTGAGTAATGAGCCACCTTTATATGTATGCTATTTTGCTATTAAAATAGATCTCTTTCCTTTACAACTAAAACCTCATTGATGTCTTGATATAACTTGTCATTTGTTCATAAGAAAATTACTTTATCCATATATCGAATTTTTCTTGAAATTTTACAACAAAAAAATATAAAAATATTATCTTATTTTTTCCAAGTATAAAACGTTCCGCACATCACAGACATTGCTATTTAATTTTAGTCCCAAACAAGCTTTTGTATTCAGTTCTCTCCTACATAGTTTATTACTAGAATGTTCTATTTCCATTCTGGTATCAATTACGAGGGGAGGTCAAAAAGTTCGCGGAATGGAGGGGATGGAGGGGGTTGATTTACTCGTCCAGGTAGTAACTTGTTCAACACCTCATTAATAGTATATATACCAAGTTTGAACCAAATCGGGTCATTAACTTTTGAGTTGTTGACCTGCAAACAAGTGAATCGGGAAGAAGTCAGTGAGTATGGAGAAAATTGAACACCACGCCGTTATTAAGTTCCTCACCAAGCAAGGAAAATCCGCTCAGATAATTTTTGAAGAGCTGTTATCAGTTTACGCGGACTCTGCCCCTGGTAAAACCATGGTTTACAAGTGGCATGGACTTTTTAAACAAGGAAGAGAGTCCTTGAAGATGACGCCCGCTCCGGACGACCGATTGAGGCCACCACACCGAAAATCGTCGCAAAAGTAGAAAAACTTATATTGGAAGATGCCTGGTTGAAGAAGAAACGGCTTGGAGCAATGGTTAGAGTATCTGAAAAAAGCATTTTTAATATCCTACATCATCATCTTGGGATGACTAAGGTCAGTGCAAGATGGATTCCAAGAATGCTCACGCCACTTCAAAAGAGCGATCGTGTCGAGTGTTCTCGCCTGTTTTTGAAGCTCTGTGGAGAGAATAAGGACGAAGTTATGGACCGGATTTTTACTGGTGACGAAACCTAGGTTCACCACTATGAACCTGAATCGAAGCAAGAATCGATACAGTGGCATAAAAAAGGCACAGCTCCTCCAAAGAAGTTTAAAGTGTCACAATCGGCCGGAAAGATCATGGCGACTGTCTTTTGGAATACAGAAGGTATTTTGCTGATCAATTATAAAGATCGTGGTGTGACTATAACGGGACAGTACTACGCTTCTTTATTAGATAGATTGAAAAAAGCTATCAAGGAAAAAAGAAGAGGAAAGCTGTCAAAAGGTGTGCTCCTTTTGCACGACAACGCAACAGTCCACACGTGCCATGTTGCGACGGCTGCCATTCACCGATGCGGACTCGAAAAACTACACCACCCACCTTACAGTCTAGACTTAGTCCCCAGCGACTATTATTTGTTTTCAAAAATGAAAAAAAAGCTGCGGTGAAAAATATTTGAGAAGTCAAGTCCGCAATTTCGGCCTATTTTGATAGCCAAGATAAATAATTTTTTTCGAATGTATTAATAAATTATTTGTGAGATCCGAAAAATGTATTAAGGTTAAGGGAAACTATATTGAAAAGGAAAAATAGTTTCGTGTTAAATTTCAACCCCCTTCCCGCTCATTCCGCGAACTTATTGACCTCCCCTCGTACATACTCACAATTAATAACCGAGCCGTAAAATCCCTAAGCGTTATTCCTGAGTATAAACAATAAACTTTTGATTTTGCCATTAATTAATATTTTAATTAAAATTTCCAACTGCTTAAAGGATTATCCCAAAAGAAGTACAGATCGACATATTATAATAATATATAATTATACTAGTCTTATTTTTGCCGCTATTTCTCATTTACATTTCGAGTTCATATGTTTACATTCAAAATCGAGAAAATTTTGTAATCATTATTTTTTAAATATATTGAGGAATCAATCTCAATTCTATAGAGGAATAAATAAGAGATATATCGATTTCGATTAAATCGATATAATATTATGTAAACCACCACAGATTTTTTTTTATTACATGATTTAAATGTTTTCCCTTTTGTTCAAGCTCACAGTGCTGCCAGTATAAATTGTTATTTAGTAATTTTTTAAATCAGCATTGATATTGCCCTTTCTGATTTTTTTTATAAATTTACATATGTACTTTTATGATCATAAAGATTTCAGAGAAGATTTCATATGTAAAACTTTAAGTAGGAACCTACCAAATCTTCGGCCCAAAGTATCAGGATAATGACGTAAATAATAGCTTGGATGACAGGCATCTGAAGCACAAGATACCTCAACCACGTCAAACTCTTCCTGGAACAGAAAACAAAAGAACTAAGATATATACATTCTTAAGCATAACAATAATAATGTAAGTACATAAGGTTTTAATTTTTTTATGTTACATACTTTTGAGATAATACCGCGCGATAGCTACTAATTCCAATATGTATATTAAGTTTTCAATTAAAAATTAATTGGTCTGCAATAAAGCGCTAAATACTTAATAACAGTGGGTGCAGGAAAACACGTCAATTTGTCAAAGAAATTAGCTTTAATTACAACACTTTCATTACATTTCTATCATAATATTGTTGAAAGTAATTTGTTCTAATCGTTTTCAAACTTCACTATCCTAGTTATAAAAGGCTCAATTATTTTTAAATTAACAGAAAAGTAAACTAACCCAATTAATTACGAGTCATCTTTAATCATTCGTACATATTATAAACCTTTTAAAATTATGAACTATTTTCCTTGCCATTATTTTTATAGTAATAAGTAAGTAATTTAAGGAATTAATTAAATATTAATTGCTTACTTTTGTACTTGAGGGCGTGGCAGAATACAACAAGGCCAGCAACAGCATGGCAACACTCTTGTCTCCAAGCGAGATCCTTCGGAACGTCTTAAATATAATAATAAATCATCAGTACAGGAAGTATTTTATTACTAAAATAACATAAAAATAACTATAATATAAATTAATTTATTTTTCGAAGTGAAATTTCCAATGCGAATTCCAACAAGGTTGCGTTAAACGTTTAACGCTCCTGGGAGAAATGAATAGAAAGAGACGGAGCGAGATTAAACAGGTAGGTCAATGATGAATTATAAACAATGCTTATAAAGTCTGTCTTAAATAAACAATATGAGTTCACTAAAAATTTATTTCTATCACTTCCTATTTTCGTTTCAACATTACGAAGTTTCACTTCACGCACTATGTTTTAATTTAAATATATTTTCTTTAAAAGTAGTTTCATTTAGATATAAAGTTTGAACGTAAATTAAATGCCACAATGCAGTAATTACAAACATTACCTAACGAGTTGGTTAACCCCACCGCACTCAGATATAACCATGAAGTAGAAGTGGTACATGGCCACCATTACTACCTCTTGTGAGATCGCTTCGGCCAGAACACAGGCTCGTGGTACCACCGTCATAAGAAAAGCGGCTGATGCCACCAACTATAATAATTACATGTAAAATACAGTAAAATAAAAGGCTGAACAAAAAGAATATAGAAATAAAAATTCTATAAGTTAAGATACAATGAAAAATTCGTCAAGATGAAGTATTAAACTAATAAAATATGTTGATGAGTATAGTATAGTTGTTGTATATGTATACACTTATTAATGGTTTGTATTGTCAAATTACATACAAATCGTTTCAAGTATTTTCATTCATAAACTTCTCACACGCATTTTAGTACGCACGTAAGTCTATCAGTGAATAAGTCGAAACGCCTATTTGGTAGTGTGCCTATCAGTAATAAGGATATTTTGCTATGAATTTATTATGTATTTCGTATTCTAATAATCAGACAAATTAAAATGTATAATTCAAATCTAGTCTACTCTAGATTTAATATTATCATTCCTACTGTAAAATTACCCACTTAAATGAAACTAATATTTTCGGATTTACTACGCGATTTTTTATTTTTGATTATAAACAACATACTCCCGACGTTTCGGCTACTTTACAGCAACCGTGATCACGGGCAGACGAGATGTGATACCAACTTGATATTAAAAGCAATATTGTGGTAGAGCCGATCAAATAATTTGATATTTTTAATATTATTTTACTGACACTAACTAAAATCGCAATCATTACTAAGAATTTCAAGCCAATTTTAATTTAATTTGATTAAATTCCCAATCACTTAAGATTATTATGAAGTATCTTTAAATCAATCCAAATACCAAGATTACCTACCTACTTTAGAAACAAAACTCAAAATTACCTTCTACTGTCAACAAATTATTTGACACAAAAAGGGTAATTAGTTTTTTTTTAAACCATCAGTGAAAGTTAAAGGTCAAGACTTCACAATACTTGAGACAGAACTCCAAGTAAATAACGTATGCAACAATTGTTATGTAATATATATAATTGGTATATATCTATAAAGTCATTCAAGGAATATTATTATATTAATCTTCCCATTTAAAAATACTTTTTTTATAGTATGTATGTAAAAAAGAGTACTCATCTCTTAACGGAAATAGGTACTTCAATTTAACTGTCGATAATTTAATTATATATAATAACTCATAATAAATACTTTTGAAATAAAAAATATTTATTTATCGATAGAATAGTAATGGTTATAATAAAAAAGACGAATAATTTGTGAATACTTTCAGATAGACTCAGTCGAATATACATAATACTGCCTACTTATATTTGTATGCTAAATAAAAATAATTTATCTAAAGATAATTCATTATTATGCGTCAGTGGTGGCCTAGTGGTTAAAAGGCCGCCTCTCATTCACGAGGGCGCGGGTTCGATCCTGGCGGGTACCAATATGATATTTCATTGTCATATGTAATTTCTAAGAGTGTTTAGATATCACTGATTAATGCTTTCCCAAAAGGGGGTTGATGTCAGGTAGGCGGCCGGTCGTAAAAACAAATAGCCAAAACCATTCACAAAATGTAAGGCAGACCCTGGTTAAAGCTAGGAAATTGCCAAGTAGAAGAAGATAATTAATTATTATGAAATTTAAAAAAAATCAAACAAGTTGAATCTTTACAGACATCGCTTGTGTGTAATATAATTAGAGCGTGGAATTATAAAACATAATACACTTGTATTGTATCAACTTCGACATGCTTGAAGGCTAAAAGACTGGAAGCGAATTAAAAAAAAATTATAACCATAAACTCATTGTGGGGCGGTCACTGAAATGACGTGTCAATAATGGGTTCATTTTATATTTAAGGTAAAACTCCCTATAGAATACAATTTAATATACCTATTGTTGACGTTGTAAGTCTATTATAGTCGAGTTCTCAAGAAGTTGCGAAACAACTTGATGTCGATTTGTGTAACACCACTCACTTAAACATTGCAGGATGAGTGTTCAACGCAGAACGCTTAGTACAGATATTAGAATTTCATACATTCCATGCATTTATTTCGTTATAGAAGCTTTCGAAGCAGCGCTTCGTAAATAATAATATATAATTAAGTTTTATAGTAAAATTTTGTATCTCAAAAAAGGGTTTAAAATTTATTACGTAAATGTAATGTTAGATACTAATTTTTCAGTTTTAATTTCTATCAACATTGACATGTAAAAATTGTTTAGTGACTAAAGTAATGCTATTTATATATAAGTCGCTTAACATTAGAAAAATGGTAAAAGTCCAATTAAGCGGAACTTCCGAAGTAGCTTATGATTGGAAATGAAAACGACAAATTTCTAAGTCACTTACATATCAATTTATAATACTTAAAAGCAGTTTAAGTAGTCTGTATAGTCTATAGGTAGATTAAATATTACAAGTGTTAAAGATTCTAATCATTCAGCCAAACTTATTGATTTTTTTTTAAACCCTCCGTGTATGTATGAAAAAAAAAAAAAATTTCAACCTAAAAAAATTAAGTTTTTTTTAATAAATTAGATAAACTCTTAAGTAAACTTACCGGATATACAGCCAGGACGATAGCTGCGCTGGTTTTTGAGTCTTTCCAATGTCGTAAAGCAGATCTTAACGTTACCACGTACAATACGCATATTGTCAAAACAACCAACAAACCAAGCGACCAAATAACATATGCGTTTGACTTGAGAACTGCAAAATGAGGTTTTATATAAATAAACATTTAAATTAACGAAGAAATTTTACCATAAACATTTAAATTAACGAAGAAAATTTACCATAAACTTAATTAATTAATGAAGAAAATTTTACATAAATCAATGATTTTTCTTATCAATGGGTTTGTAACGCAAATGCTTATTTAATCTATACTAATATTATAAAGCTGAAGAGTTTGTTTGTTTGTTTGTTTGTTTGTTTGAAAGCGCTAATCTCCGAAACTACTGGTTCGAATTGAATAATTCTTTTTGTGTTTTATAGTCCAGTTATCGAGGAAGGCTGTGGGCTATATAACATCACGCTACGACCAATAGGAGCAAAGATATAGTGGGAAATGTGTAAAAAACGGGAGAAATTATTTCATCTTTGAAGCCTTCCGTTGCGTGCGCCGTGAAAACGGTTCAAGATATACAAAAAATATGTATTAAAGAATAATAGCTCTTTTAATAATCTAAAAAACAGTCCGCGACAGTATATGTCTATCTTTTAAGATTAACTCACAAAAATCGTTTTTATGGTACCTAATTTGGTCGAAATAATTTTATAAAATCTTTATTTAAATAAACAAATAAATATGTTGTTGGTTAAGAGTACTTCATTGTGAATTAAAAAAAAAACATAGGTTTTATCCTAAAAACTCTACGAGAACGCGACCATTCCGAAAACCCCGCAAGAACGGGAACTATGTGGGACGAACCAAAAATCTGTCGGAAGTCACTACTCCACGCGGACGGAGTCGCAGCAAAAGCTAGTTAGATATAATTGGATTGAAGTCGAATATTAGATAAGTATAGAATATCTGCTACAAAGAGCATGATTATTATTCCAAAAGATTTTCTCACGATTAAATAGTGTTCAATAGCGTTGCATGTTAGAAGATAATATAGGACGACAAAAAAAAACTTTTCAAACAATAATGTACTTTATTCCTTGAACATCTACTAGTGTTGCAAGACCGCATTATACGAGTATCTCTGCTTTTAATTAGCAATGGCAAGAATTACTTGAACTGTTTAATCAATTTCAAGGTGACATTTATGAAGTGATGAGAACATTTGATTTAATTACAAATTTAGATTAAAATTATTCATTTCAATTCGTCAATTATTTAATTGTTTAAATTAAATTCATTTAAATGAAACTAATATTTGTCAAACATCTCGTCTGCCCGTGATTACGGTTGCTATAAAGTAACCGAAACGTCGGGAGTATGTAGTTTTTGATTTTAAAAAAATCGCAAAGTACATCCGAAAAATATAAGTTTCATTTAGTTGTTACATTTTATGTTTGTTGTTGTTATTTTAATGAGTATTATATAATATGTATCTAGCATTAACCTCTCGAGTCTTGGCTGCAAATCAAAGATATTTGAGTATATATTTACATCATAATTCCTATGAAGACAAGTATAAAGGTTAAGAGATAGTAAAGTAACATTTTAAAAGGTTTAATTAGACATTACGTTACATAATAAAACTTCGAGTTTCGCTCCTAAAATGATTGACAATTATTTTTTTTTATTTTTACATCGATCTGGCAACCAGATGTGTTATTGTCTTAATATATTATAATTTGATTGATTTTTCTGATAGAAATATAAACGAAATTAGTGAATTTATATAATATTATCTGTGATGGGATTTTTATTAAAAAAAATATGATTAAAAAGAATGAACTATATTAATAACATTAATAATAATTAATCATTCAGTTGATTGAAGTATAATCCCACACTTATATTTTATTGCAATATTTTCCGTGCGGATTCCAATAATATTAATAAGGATATTTTTTATATAATTGTTATATATCACATTAACTTCTTTTAGAAATAATATTATTACACTAAAAACATATGGAAGACGAGTTATTTAAAAAAATGACTTCCGGAACACGAAATAGGAAATACCGGAATATAAGTTCGGTGAAGAAAATAACTGCCTTGCGCAGGTCATGGTAGTTCTTTGGCATTACCATATAAAACACGTATAATTTATATTTTATGACTCTTCTTTAATTCATAAAACTTTCTTATTAGTTCAACCCATATACTTAAACATAAATTTAAATGAAAAAAAACTATAAGCATAATTATTTTTGATCTTCATTAATCATTGATATTTTAAAATCAAGAAAGTGTATAAACATGGCTAAATTTCACAATAACTAAATACCTGCGGTATATGAAGCAAAATCCGGCTGCAAGCTATATGTATGACACAATAGTGTTGTGTTTATCGGATTATTAATTTCTTGTGGTATATCAGAAATATGTCTAGCTGTGAGCACCCTTGGTCCATTACTCGCTTCACTTAATAAATCCATTGTTATTATTATTAATAAAACACTTTACAAATTATCACCATTCTAACATACAGCCGTCTGATCGGCCGCGTGTGTTCGACTGACGCTCGCTCACTTTCTTTCGACATTATGGTACGTAACGAATAGTGTTGTACAATATCCCGCTACGTCATGGCGTCATAGCGGTTTACAACTTTAAACTATAAAAAACTTTATAAGCTATTTTATTATAATAAAATTCATTAAAAAAATAATTTCAATTAATATTATTTATTATTAATTTAATCAACATGTATTTAAAAGGGGAAAAGAGTAATATAATGCTATCGATTTCTTGAATAATAACACAACTCTATTACTTTTTGCAACAAATCTGTATATATGAAGTAAAAGAGAGAGTTACCGACTAACATACTTAACGCTTTGATAATTCATAGTTAATTTTGTTAGCATGGATGTTTGTTTTATTATATTGGGTAATGCTCAAACTTGTATTTGAACAAATGCTAGATAAGTGTATTGCAAATTGTAATTGATGAGGACTCCAATCCTTAAAATTTCATATAAATAATAATTATCCAATATAAAAATATCTGCAATTCATTACTTTTGCTGAAATCTATCTAGAGAATAGTATGTTATGGATAAATAAAAAAACTCCGAACGCATTCATTATTATCACTCCACGATTATGCTAGCAGGTATGGAACACTTAGTCGTGTAATCCACACCAAATATGTTATGTTTACATTAGTTTAGAGGACTTCATACCTGACATTACCACACTCTTTAAGTGCTGGATCTATATTAACCAAACATACCTTTAAACTACTGCAAGGAAAACGCATCGACATTCATGGATTCATTTGAGAATTGATGCAATAGATAGACACAAACACACTGACGGAGTCACAAATAAACAAGATGTTTAGAGAAACAATACTTTATATAAAATAACTGCAAATAAATTAGATAAAAAAATAAAAATTAAAAGAGCAAAACATCTAAAACTATGAATATGAAGTTGGTATGTATTCATGATTGAAAACATCATTATATAATCTTTTAATCATACTCTTAAGAGATAAAATATTATTTTCGAGAAAGTTCGTCGATAATTCAATTAGCCATTGTTAATAAACCCAAATCATTATTAGGTATTATTTAAATAATAGTTTAATATAACCAAAAATTTAAAAGATATTCCAACATTGAATACAATAGATTCAGACAAATATAAAGTTGTAATTTCTTTTATTTATTTTATAGAATAGAAAAAATAAAATAAAACGTGTAAGTTGTTAGTATTTATTTTAATAACGCAAACCAAAAAGATGTCTTTCTTTCCGCCACATATTTCTTAAGAACTTTTGAGAACATAATTGTAAATCCATAATATATATGTACATTTTTATATAATTATGCTTGCAACATATAATATTGTAAAACAGCGTTAAGGGTAGAACTTCTACAATTAATCACTCATTTATTTCTAATTATTATAAATTTTAAGCTAGTTTATCCCGATACGATATTAATTAAAAAATCCTAGCCTTAATATATCATAATTCTTATAAAAAAATAATATTAAAATAGTTAAACTTGAAACTAAAATCAGTTCCTTACCTTAAGACAAGTTCGTTTCATTTCTTCATAAACTTTTGGTATTGCTTATTTCGTTCATATACGATTAAATACTAGAAACGCTATATTTATAGTTCAAGATAACGATCTCATGGTAAGCGTATAGAAGTTTTATTTGATGACGTCATCATCGTGTGACCCCATCGTCCTTATGATGTCGTATCACGAACGAGTATGGTTTTAATAAAATTATAAAGGAAATACATGTGCTAAAGGTCGTGGAAGTGATTAATATAATATATTAAATATATATTTGTATATGTTATTTTGAAATCATGGACTCTGAAGTAGGTACTATTAACATATAGTATGTATTGAAGTCCATGATTACAAAATAACGATGTTTTCACAAATGCTTGATACTTAATATCTGTCTTCCGGCTAGTTCCAGTTTATTTTTGGATAGCTGGAATAGACAAGTGCTTGGAGTGGATAAGATTAAATAAGGCAATATATTGTGAATGAAATTATGTCTATGTGTCTGAGCTGTTTTGGGAATTTGGCCTGTTTTGAGGTAAAACATGAAATCACGGAAAAATGTCTTTAATTATTGTAAATAATTTGTCATTGCTTATGATTTATATGATATGTCCACGTAACAGTTATAGGGCTAGAATACATTTCGTACCTACCTTTTGACAAAGAAATCTCGTGGAAACATCGTAATCTATAAAAATATATGTTTAACTACATACGGACATACAGACACTGTATGTTTTCTAAAGTTAATTTTCATAAGTAAATAAATAATGATGTTGAATAAATCTCTAATTAATAATTATTGGATTTAACTAATCCCTTCTTATTTACAAAGTATATTAGTTATATTAAACTGAACATACATTAAGAGGAGTTAACAAAATTTATAGTAAATATTGAATACATACATGTACATAAAATGTTCTTGTGGGTATGATTATTGCAAAACAATTCAATTATCACACAGTAAACAATCAATAAAAATTATGAAACAGGAAAGAAAACTTGTTTCACAAAGACGGCTCTGCATTATGATTAACACGAATCACCACTAATGATATTTTTAGGCAAATTTTATCTTCAAATTAAAGATTAAGAAAATGTTTCGTACCAATTTTTAAAGTACATAACCTTGCCAATATTAAACATCTAAACAATTCTCTAAAACTTATCAGGAATACTTACAAACAAACTTTACGAATTACGACAAAAAAAATATAACCATAAGATCAAAAAGTCTTATATAAAATAAAATGATAACACCAAAAGAATTTTTTTTTTATAGGTGGTAGATTTTTTTTTATAGGTGGTAGAGCCTAGCTGTGGTCAAGTTACTATCTCGAAGATGAGCTGGCTCGACCGGGGAAGTACCACCCTCTCACAGAATATCGGCGTGAAGAAGTCTTTAATGGCTGTGTTGTTTCGTCCAATGAGTAAAAGAGCCGATTGCCCTTTCCCTTTTCCCTCCCTTTTCCACTTTTTCGTCCCCTCTACCCTAATCAACAGATCCGCAAATTACTTTTGCAAATGTCTACGGGCGACGGTACTACCTCGATCAGGTCGGTTAGCATAAAAAAGTGATTACTCTTAAATTATTTCTCTTTTATAGCCAGCAAAATTATATGAGCGTAATTGTCAATATATACATATTTAAGAAGTAAGTAGTTAAATTTTTACTTGCTTTTTTTACTATCATTAAAGACCTGTGTACCGTAAGGAGAACATTTTAAAATTAACAAACTTTTATGTCATACATATAAAAGGTCATGGTTTCTTTGATTTTTTTTAAATTAAATGCTTGACTTTGATATAATTTTAAACAAATAATTGGCTTATCCCCCATTAAACTGTTTCGATTGGCCGTAAATTTAATAAGAATTCAAAGTTGAAACCCGCCATAGTAAATTCCTTTTAAGCATCATTAAAAATCCATATTTATTATTTATAGTTCTCATATAAGATCAAGAGCGGATATTCGAAGAGCATTTTTATATAGTTTATACAAGTCATTGTAAAGAATTATGATCATCGTAATAATAATATCTATAATAAAGATACATTATTCATATTTATCAACATTATCAAGTCCTTCTGCTCAGTTTCTTGAAATGAGATTTGGTTATCAAAAACGTAATCCTATGCTGAATACTTGGCTCACGTCACTTCAATGTTTAGAATTAAACATAAATTCAAATGAGCCGAAACCCGACATCTGCTTTTATTTCTGTATCACAGCTGTTCTCAGACAAATAATTTATCGAACATAAAATGGTAAATTGCTATGCATTCGACATGAAAATCTTTCAATTCTATTGAAAACAAAATCTATAGCAGCCTGAAATTAGAGATACAAATCGAGTGAAATCGTGCAATAGGTACATAATATGTAAAATCTAACCACGGTAAGTATAACTTGAGCATGGTTTATCAAATTCAATAACAAAAATTGTAAGGAGATTTTCTGGTAATGCCGTTTTGGGTGTTTCATGAATCATACATTCATGGTATATTTAAAAAATTGAAGTAACATATAGTACAATTGATATACTGTAGCAATATTTAAAGTTTTTTTCACTTTACATACGGTCAGGGTGTTACTTGTACGTTATAACTTTATCGTTATTCCTTACATCGAAAATTTATGATTTATTCAAATTAATATGACAATGACATTGATAATGAGATCTGTTTCTTCAAAGAAAAAAAAACTATAGATAAAATTTACAATATTTCTTCAAATATATAGTCACTGATTTTATATTATCTGTGGACTTTTATAAAAAATCACGAATTCATACAAAACAAGCAGTCCTTCGAAGTCATCAATATAACTCACTACATAACAACGTCCATTGGCGATGTCAAGTGATCTAGATTCTAGAGCAGTGTAGGAGGTAACTCTACAAATATGTTGGCGTTTATATTACGTAAGGAATATTAAATTTATTATAAATAATTCTTAAACATTATGAAGTAAAATTCAAATAAAACTTAATAAATAAATATAGATACTTGGTATATAAATTTGTATTCATACTTAACTTCATGATACTGGTCTTTTTACAACGATTTTATAAATTATTATAAACTATATATAAGTAGATTATTAAAGACTGTATACTTTTTGTGAAATTTAAAGGAGGTTTTAAAATTTTGCCTATTTTATTTGAATATGATTAACTCACTCATCTCAATGTGATGTACTATCAAAATATATTTGATGTTTTGCTGCAACTAAAATTCTTATAGGCGCTATCTATTAAAATGACGAATTTTTGTAGGAGCCACAAACTTCGTATTTGAAAATCCTTCTATATAAAATACTATACAAGGTTATACTGCTCCTTATATCATGTCGCGGTAACTCTCCTGAGTGTTGCATATTATGATTTCCAACGAATAGTGGCCACATAAGCCACGTGGCAGCCATAGAATACGCGTGGCAACTCCGACCACATTCGTTTGAAATCTGCTATAATGTGGCTTTGATCGGTAGACTATCTTAAAGAGAGCTTTTGTGACACACAAACCTCATGACCTACAAACGAATACTTCCAAACGACTCTATATTCTTATATAAACAAATATATGTTACATAAACAAGTTACATAAATAGAGAAATACATATCATATATACAATATTCTATGTCACTTTTCAAAGGAAGCTTAATAAAATTTTGAAACATCATTTTTGTATGGAATAATTGTTTGTCACAAATGAGTAATTTATTTAGAATGAATTTTAAGGTGGTATAACTATAGCCTAGCTGTGGGGAGTTACTACTGCCCGAATATGGGCTGGATACTGGGTAAACCGAGGAAGTACCACCCTCTCACATAAGATCAGCGTGAAGTAGTATTTAACGGTTGAGTTTCATACGATGTAAATATGATTTAATGGCTGCCTTTCCCTGTTAGAACCCTTTCCTTCCATTTCCCTATTCCCAACTTTCCCTCTTGCTCAATAAGCGAGATTGACAATGCATGTCCACGGATGTCCATGAGCAACGGTGACTAAATATGTTCATCAAGTAGGCCGTCTGCTCGTTTGCCACCATTCTCATAAAAAAGAAGCTAAAGCATTCCACAAGTTTAAAGCTCGACTGTTAAAAAAATCATATAATATATTGTATACGACAAAGGTCGGCCGAATTATGTTTTCTCAATCAAACAGTTAAGTATCGCATAAGAATCATTATATCGTAATCATATCTGAAAATAATGACATTTTAATAATACTACTGTGCCGAAATTTTTGTAATTTTGTTTTGGTTACATAATTATAATTTTGACGAGAAACAATTACTTTTATTGCAAGTACTAAAAATCTAAAAATAAATGATAAAACACATATATAAAAATATCAAAAATTTTTCGACAAAAGTATTACGTTTTAAAGGTAATATAAAATTTTGTTGAATCATTTTAAATTTGCATGTATAGTTTGGCAACTCAGCGTCGAAAAGAGAAAGCAGGCGATGTCAATGTCAACCGCTTGTACAGGAAATGTGTACTGTCATTAACTAAGTATTATTATTTATTATGTATAATCCATTCAGATGAGGTAAACAAAGTCGAAAAGTAATTTCATCTTTATTTTTAAATAATTTCAATAAATATATTATGTGTACATCTCGTTTCAATCTTTTATAAAAAGCTATTGAGTATAGCAAAATAGGTAAATATGACAGTCAGTTTTAGATAATTTTTTAAAATTATTATGCATTTCAATAATTAAAAACACTTCACTTAGTAAAAAGTGTAATTTATATTATGCCCTGCAAATAAAAGGAACCTTTCTGGTTTTTTTTACCGGTCGAAATCTTATCCAGAGAATCAAAATAGCAACGAACAAAACACTATTATTATTACATAGTTACATCCAGGTAGACAAACTACCTGGCTTCAAAACAATGTTTGTTTTATAAAAGCTTTTATAGAAATTAAAAGAATGTTTTTTCAAAGTGAAGTGTAATATACTTATAAAGTATTAGAAGTTTTAATGTTATTGAATGATTATTTTCAAAGATAACTGGAATGAAATAAAAACATCTGATTAATGAACGTATTGATTATGAAATTCAATTTTAAATAGATGTTCTATACGCAAACCTCCATATATATGTTTTTTTTTTATTAAATGAAGAAATCGAAAACATAATATGATAAAACTGACAGATTGTGAGATTATTTAAACTCTTTTATTGATGTTATTTGAAAATAGGAATATGTAATGTTCGTATCTATAAACGTAACATAAGCAGTGGTCGTGACCTAATTGCAAAGTTGACATGTCTTAAGAAGACAGAATAATAGTTTTATAAATTATAGAACGTTCAATATCCAAGAATGCACACGAAAATGAAAATTATCATTTAAAAACTTATATACAAATTACCAAAATGCTTTGATAACATTACACATTTACAAAAAAACTATGATAAAAACGATATCAAGTAAAATGCTACAAAATACGTCTTTCGATAATTTAAGCAACATAATATAAAACCTAATAAGTTTGTGGTACAAAACCTAATATATTTTAACTACCAAAACATACCATTATTTCTTTCTGGAAAATAACGCCAGCTCTGGGTGAGTTATGGACCTCAAGTACACACGAATAAACTATTCACCGCTAGATGGCGCTTTCAACATAAATCAGTTTCAGTAAAAAAAAATACGGACAAACGCGACGGGTTTTAAAATAAACCGATATTCTTATCTTTAATTTTCAAGGTCAGACACACGGAAGTTATAATCAAACATACTAGATTAATTTAAAATAGGTAGCTTTTATTCTCATATTTTATAGCGTTTAGGTTAAATTACATTTTCAAATGGTTGCGTAATACTGAAGATTGGAACAATTCTCTTTATTATAAAGAATTACATTATAGATCATTTAAAAATTAATATAATCATATTGATGATATATAAATGTTTATGTTTTTATAGGTTTATTTACTGTTTGTGACAAACATATGCTTCTCCAACGGTTGCGCTGTTTAAAAGTCGATGACATGTCTACTTGACCATAACAAATGATATAAGACGTCTAATTCACGATTTTTCATTCAAGACCATACGAATCTATAAAATTTTCCGCCTCTTTAAATAAAATTTCGTATTATCTGCATTGTTTAAAATTTTTATTACTTTTTTATCTCTGTCTTTATTTATTTATGCGTAAATCATTTGTGTATGTTTCAAGTGTTCAATGATACACATAACATCATTGTTAGTAAATGAAGCCATTTAAATCTTACTTTGTTGTGGATTATCATTATCATAAGCTAGCTCTACTTATTTTAGAAGTTACTCAATGAAATATTTTATTTATAATAGATATATATATACTTACATTAGGTATTACAAGAAACCGTAGTTCTTATTTAGGTCATATATTGGTCATATTTAATGATTCAATGGAACTGAATAAGGTTTAGTTCAATTGTAACGTTGTATGTATTTATTTTTTGTTCAACTTAACGATTATAATTATTCAAACCAAGTAGACGTATTTAGCCAACGTACGGCGAACTCGATAAACTCAGGAAAAAACCGCATAAAAAGAGAGGGCAATGGCCGTTTTTAGTTTTGGTTCAGCGATACAGCCAACTCACAACTACATACAAACAACTGACCTAAGTAAAACGTTATTTTGATCACAATGCCTACACCGTATGGCTCATTTTTATTCGCACAAATTATTCCTTTCTAGAACATTTTGAAATTAAATACAAATGAGCTAATGGCCTGACTTATTGAGCACCATATAAATATTCTTTAGCTATCTATAGTATTCATACCACACACGCCATGTACATTCTCAGACAATTTCGGTAAAACAATTAAAAAAGGCGCATGTATAACTGAAAGTGACAATAATCGAAGATTAGTTTTATAAATAATAAGAATTAAATCAATAACAAAAGATATAGATACTATTAGTCCAAAATAATAGGAACTTAAAGTAAAAATTGCAAGGTTTCGCGTTATTGCGTCATACGCTTTCAAAATTATTTGTAATCAATGAACTTTAGGACGTTTATTTCATTGTTATATAAAAATTATACAGAAGAAATTTTTAACGAAGGTTATGCAAGACAGACACTGACATCGATTATACATCCATATAGGTCAGGCCCCATTGTATTCAGCCGTGACCGTATTAAAAGCAAGACGATGAATAGAAAAATAAACTGAATATTTACCCCGCAAATTTATCTAATCGAATTGTTGGAAGATTTCATCGTCGCATGTGTACTGGTCAAGTGGATCGACAAGTTGAACCACTAACACAAAGATAACACCGTTCATATTACAGGCGTGTCGGTTCTAGTGTTTATTTACGTCCATCGTATTGTTTGTATACAGCCCGGCACGACTGCGCATCTGACTACGTCACTCCCCTCCCCCCTCAGCCCCGCAGAGACCCGCAAATCCTATAGCAGGTCGAGACGGCTCACTCGCTCATTCATTCCACATACGCTAACGTAGCTGCGCGTCCCCGGTGATACTTGTGATTACTAGTAATAGTACATAATAGCTCTCAACGCTATGTTGAAAGAGACCTCTAGATATGAAAATCGTAACACTAATCAGGAGGAGGGAAGAATAACATCGAATAGATTACCCGCTATAGAAGAATTGACTCTAGGTTTAAAGCAAAAGCTTCACCTGCAAGCCCGGGCAAGAGCTGCACCTTACTATATTAGAAAGCAAGAACCAGTTGATCTCGTGGAAAGGTTATTGGAGCAGCGCGCCCTTGTCGCCGAGGCTGTCCGAAGATTAAAAGAAAAGAAACAATCGTGTCACGAGATATCTGTAGATTCCTAATTTATTTATGTTATAGATAAAAAAAACAAACATTTTAGTTGTGAAAGTGTGAATTGTGTTGTGAAATCGCTTGTGAGTAAGAAACGTGTCGGGTTACAATGGTGCTATATGCGGAAAGCATGCGAGAGCGAGATGGCCAGCTATGACGTGTCACGCGCGGTACAAATCACGAGAACCAACCAAAATGGCCGCCGGTACTCTACAATCATAATATTTATTCTTCATATAATAGTGACCTTTACTGATCAAAGTACTGAATGACGTAACTGAGTTTTAACTTTTAGTATTGATATGCCTTCCATAATATTATATATTTTGTTAATAGTTACGTTTCTTAACAAGACTTGTGCTGAGACATTTCCAAATACCAAGTTCTTTAAATTTCGTTATAATAAAATATCATAATCGAGAGCTTTAACTTTGTTTATGTCCTAAGACTTCTCAGTTGTAATGATTCCTGTAAGGTTTATCTCAATTTTAATATAAGGTCAATAGTTTTAAAGTTATTACGTTCATAATGAGAATAAGTAACAATTTGTTCGCTGAATACAATCGGGACAACTTTCGAACGAGATTGTAAACATAACAGTAATGGAACGCTTCGTACAGTTATTTCCTCGCATGTTAAATATAAGTTAAAATGTATCGCACTACTAAAGCGACAGGTGGATGTTAAATCAGGCGTACGATAATTGTTAGTCTGAAGAGCATACTGCTGACTTAGGCAATTTGTAGGCAATACTTATAATAATTAATGTATCTTGTTCTCTAGTACATCAATAATACAATGTACAATCGTACCAAATCGGGTATAAAAATCAATGTTATATTACTGTGTGCATGTTTTAGTGCATTTTGTGATTTTAGATAGTTTAATTTATCGATCTTGTGATTTAGATAAGATTAAAATATTTATCTAATAAATGGAATTAAATTATAAATAAAATTTAGTTTAATTTATTATTCCTACTAATACTTGACACTGAACCACATTTTAGTCACAATATTTTATTTATTAAAATATGATGTAATTTGTTAATGTTTAGAAAACAACAAAGTAATTGTAATTAATTAATTATTTATTTTTAAACATATTATGGCCATTTACAAGAATAAATTACTTAAATAGTTGAAGTAATTCATAAGCTTATGTTTTTGTTTGGTTGGAATATAATCAGCACGTGGTTTTTATACTAAATGTTATGAGTCACAGTGCCGCCCTCTCTGGGCGAGTAGATACATGACTCGAGGGGTAATGACTTCATATTATATATTCTTTTCATTACGTGTTTGCAAACATTTTGCTGAGTTCAATCACATTAAGAAGACCAAAATATTTACAATGTTAAGTTCCTTTACCGTGTCTAAGTCAATCTTTATTACAAAGGAAATGATAACCATAATAAAATATATATACTGATAACTAATAAATTGTGTTGTTTTTAAAAGTGAAATATCGTTATAAAAAAAATAATCAATTGATTGTCTTTTATCAAGTGCTAGATAGATTCGAAATTTTAAACGAGCAATGTAAATAATTAAATATTATATGCTTAAATTCCTTTACGGCTGATTCATTATTTTTATTATTAAAAAACGTCACGTAATTAGTCAATGATTATTTCGTGCATTATGTTATTGCTTTTGGAATACATGGATACTTTTTTTCTCAATTGACATTTGCCCTAACTTTATTTGACGTCAATGTAATGTTTTAATGGCTGCTTAATTATTTACATGCTGTTCAAAACAAAATGTTAGTGTAATGCTCTACATTCATTCATTGAATGATTTTATCAACAATAATAAACATTTTATCTATGGATGTAAATAATACTGAACTGGGTACATGTTTTTATTTCTTTGTAATTAATAGCTCGCTTTAAAAACGTATGAATAAAAATCTACACCTTATTTTGTATTCATTATTACTTTATAAATATTTATGATTTCCATTTCAACGATTTCTATGAATAATATCCAAAAAGGAGACGAACTTCATTCTACAGCCGTATCTTTTTTTTTGACATTTGACTTATTTAGATAAACTTTTTTACGCAATCCTTCTTTACTTGCTATTACAGATCTACTACAACTCTATTACTAGAATTTTGCAACGCAACCAACCCGTTTAACTAGTTTGTTACATAAATGTTTATGAACACACATGGCTGAAAATTATAATTTAAGTAATACAATAATTATTTAAAGTAGAAATTAGCAAAGAATTATTTTCGTTTAGTGTGTCATAAAAAATGAAGAAAGAATAAAACCTTTTAAAACTTTAAGTGTTGACTAAAAAAAGAAATTAAGACTTAATATAATTTATTACTTAACATTACTTAGCATCGTAGACATGAGTTGCAAATTATTGTGCCGACACCGGATTTAAAATTATTATTATTTAAAATATAGTTTACTATGTACTTGTGACACACATATTTTTAAATTAGATCTCTTAATAGCTTGACCATAGCTCATATTAATATTAACAATAACGTAAATGATAGTCAAAAATATAGTCAAGTAAGGGAAAATTATATTTGTAAATAATGTTTAGTCAGACGACATTAAATAATAAATCGCTTGCAAAATAATAACCAGAAATACGAACGTAAACATGTTACGTATGTATACCTAAACACTAAACAAGTTTTATATTAAGTATAGCTATTGTACTAATATATTTATATTATTTTTTTCAACCTATGCTTTAAACATGAACATTTATTCCGTTAATTTTATCTTTTACAAATAAAATAAAATTTTAGAAAGCTATCGGAAATTTAAACATCGTGAGGAAACCTGGACTTACAATTTCACAATTATAAGTTTGAAATCACAAACCCGACTTGACCAAGTGTGGTGATTTATGCTCAAAACTTCTCCATGTGAGAAGAGGCCTTTGCTCAGCAGTGGGCTCTGATAGGTCGATGACGATCTGAAAATTATTATTTTTTTAAACTAAAGATCGTGGCGTTTATCTATCGAATTTTAATGTGAATTAATTTTCAGAATATTTACCATGGTCGGCATTTTTATTTGTAGGTATTTAATATATATTAAGTCATTACCTTATTCAACGTTCTAAGTAAAAGTTATCCAATATCTATGTAGACCACATGGTCTTAAATGTGATCATAAGCGGTCCGCTTACATAAGAGTTGAATCTTACAAGTTATAACTATACAATAAAGGTGATGTTATCAAATTTACAACTAATGACTACATAAGTACAAGAAATTAAGAAATATCCTGTCTTTTCCTAATTCCTATTATATACAGAGAAGCATGAAAATATATTTTCATGAGGAAATCCTCAAAACAGTTTTGTTTCATATTATTGCTACCCCAAATTATTTTATAATATATACCTATCCGTAGAAAAACTTCATGTTCTTTTAGCTATTATTATTTCATGTAAGACTGTATAGGAATCTTATTTCTTAGAAAATATAGCGATAGATATATAATGATAGTTATAATTCCTTGAACTAATCATAGAATGTCCTTGTTATTGTTTTTTACACATCGCCTATAATGTATTCTCAATTATGCGAGTACATTCAAGCAAATACAAATCTATTTCTGGTCAAACTAAAAATAGGTCAAACTAAAAATAGGACGACTACTATAAGATAAAATAAATATACCTCTCAATAATTTATTTATAATAAAATGTTTATTTGTCTCTTTGAGATTACGCAATCAAGATTACACCATATATAAGGTACTGTCCAATTGACTATACCAACGCCTTAATAACTTTATTAAATAACGTACAAGGTGAATGTTCTACTTTTAAGAAGTTATGGCTATTTTATTTAAATAGGAGTCACAATTTTCTTAATCGGCTGTTGACTGTTTGATATTTATATCATTACATGTTTTTGAAATTTATCTCCATGAATACCATAATTATATTATAAGTATATGGTAACCAAATTTATTTATATTAATTTCAAATAACCAGATAATAAAGAATATATAATATTACCAACGCCATGACATTTTAAAGATGACGTTTGACTTTGTTTACATTTTTTTGTGATATTTATCTATGACACAGGTAAAGTATTTGTGAATGTGTTGATTTTATAAAATTTTCAGACTTCGGCAATACATTTACAAAGGCCATCAACATATTCATTTCACCATTTTATATATACTGTATTGAATTTATGAAAAGTGGTAAACAAGTGTTAACTGTTAATTTTATAATTGCGTAAACAGACGGATAAAATTTACTTCATTAAATGTGATGTCTAATAAGAAACCTTTCGAAACTACACAAATTACTCCTGTTTGATGATGGCAATAACGAACATACATATATAAACGTAGGTGAATTTTAATCAATTATCGGTCCGCTCTTGAGATTCGATTGCATAGATGCGTAGACTTGCATAGTAGCAAGACACATTCATATCTATAACGTTGTGGATTTGTACTCTATCATCGAAACACCCAAGTTATCAGACGTAGCTGTATTAGAGGTATTATTTATCAGTAATCTACAATAAACGGTGTTATTAAGATAGCAATCAAAATTGGTGTTAAGAAGATAACATTATAATGTAATTTATGTAGTCAGTTGCCAATTTTAATCAGTGTTTGTTGTAAGGTTCAACATGGCTGGTGTGTGGTCTATGGGTCCTGGTACCTATGAAGTTCCATTGTCCTTATTCGCTAAGAACAGAGATAGACTTGCAGAAAAATTGAAGAGTGGCCAAGTAGTTGTTCTGCAAGGAGGAGATGATATAAATCACTATGATACTGACATCCAATACATTTTTAGACAGGTATAATTATTAAATGAAAAAGTTATTTTTTATTATGATATTTTATGTCCTGTTCAATTTAACTCTTATGTTTCCTGCTCTCTAATTATCATAAAAATGTAGCAAAAACATATATTTGTTAGTAAAATGAAGATTTGTGAAATGTGCTATTGCTCGATCAGTTTTATAATATTCTTTATTGTACAAAGATGTATTTAATTTTAGTATTCACTATTGAAAATCTTACATTTCATATATCGACCTTTGATATAATATATGTTTTTGTATTTTAAATTCATAACAATTTTTCAGGAAGCATATTTTACATGGGTTTGTGGTGTTCGAGAGCCGGGCTGCTATTTTGCTCTTGATGTGAAAACCAAGAAGAGCATTGTATTTGTGCCCCGTCTGCCAGATGAGTATGAAATTTGGATGGGGAAACTACTCAGTTGTCAAGATTACACAAATATGTATGGGGTCAATGAAGTTCGTTTTGTTGACGAGGTACAAGATTATTCTATTAATTTATCTTATAATTGAAACTAATATTTTCGGATTTACTACGCGATTTTTTATTTTCGACTATAAACTACAAACTCCCGACGTTTCGGCTACTTTACAGCAACCGTGATCACAGGCAGACGAGTGATGTAGTAAACCCGAAAATATTAGTTTCATTTAAATGAATACTCGCGAAAATCTTAGATCTCATTCAATTATAATATGTAATTAATAACATTCAATATATAAAACCTAAATAAGGTTACCTGTTAGGGCATAATGGGATAAACTGAGACAGGTAAATTATTACAAAGAAAAAACAATAACAGAAAATAGGTTTAATGTAAAATATTGCAGTATGTTAATTGGTCATGTATATCACTATTTGTTACAAATAATCATGCATTCATTAAAAAAATTACATATTTCACAGGTTTAAATTTTTTTCATTTGTTGTGGAAAAATCCATTGTAACTACTGATATGATTTATCCATCAATAATTTATGTTTACATAACATATCTCAGATTAGTTTTTCTTCATGTATATTGATAAATTTATTAGTCTTTGTTTCATTATTTTTCAACTATTTGTTGTACATATTTTATGTTACAAACCTATCTATACTTATAGTATAAAAAGGAAGTAATTGTAATTTTGTGTGTATGTTTGTAATAAACAAACTCATAAACTGTAATGAAGATTGCAAAAATTGTTTCACTATGGGATAGTTACATTCACCTTTAGTAACATAGGCTATAGTTATTACTTGAAAAGGTTGTGGTTCTTAAAAAAAGATAAAAATAAAGAAAATATATAAATAAGAGATAAAAATATGTCAAAAGTCTAATATACACCCATATTATGCACAGACAGGCCAGTAGCAATATATTTTTTACATGTTTTTTTAGCCATGTAATAAAAATAAATAAATAAATATTATAAACATAGTTTGTTTCATCTATTCAATTCTTTTACAGATCTGTGAAGTATTAAAATCACTCAACCCTGACACTTTGCTGACACTTGTAAGTATTTAGTACAAAAAATATGCATTTTTTTAAAATATGATCTTGAAAATTTAACATTGTTATTTCCAGAGTGGTCCCAACACTGATAGTGGATTAACTGCTGCAGAAGCTGTGTTTGAAGGAATTGATGAGTAATTAATTATTTTTTATATATTAAATATTTTCTTTTAATTTTCTCCATGTGATAGGCTTTTGCTTAGTAGTGGGCTCTGATAGGCTGATGATGATGATTAAATATTTTATTAATATAATTTTATTTATTAATTATTTGAATTTTTTATTTTGTTTGCTTTAAAGTTTTTTTTTTAATGAAATTAATATTTTTCGGATGTTTATGCGATTTTATTTTTGATAAAAAACTACATACTGCTGGCGTTTCGGCTACTTTACAGCAACAGTGATCACGGTTTTATCAAAAATAAAGCAGCGTAGTACATCCGAAAAAAATTAGTTTCATTAAAATAAATAATACTCGCAAAAATCTTAGATCTCATTTTGTTTGTTTTTTTTTCAGATTTAAAGTGGACAATGAAACACTATTTCCAATTATTGCTGAACTGTAAGTATAACATGAGAAACTAATATAAGAATTCATTTTATACCAACTTTCCGCCCGCAGCTTCGCCCGCGTGGAGTTCGTTTATATAGCGTTTCCAAGACAATTTTTCAAAAGTCTGGGATAAAAACTATCCTATGTTGTTTTTCAAGGTCAACTCCATCTCTGTACCAAATTTCATTAAAATCAGTGGTTTAGGTGAGAAAGCGTAACGACAGAAAGAGTTACTTTCGCATTTATAATATTAGTAGGGATTATTCTGATAGTGTTATCTCGTATTATAATAATTCTTATGACTTAACTGTTATGGAGTTTGAAATCAGTTCTTTTATCGGTTGATATGTTATGCAAAATGATAACATTGTTATATGTATTTTTATTAATTTAACTGGTAACTTTTGGTTTCAGGCGCGTCATCAAAACTCCAGAGGAGATTGAAGTAATGCGTTACATATGCAAAGTATCCTCTGATGCTCATAAACAGGTATACATATACATATGCTATTCCGGAAATCCGCGGTGTTGCCCGCGGATTTCCGGGATGTAAAGTAGCCTATGTGTTATTCCTGGACGTCAGCTGCCTGTATACAAAATTTTATTAAAATCGGTTCAGCCGCTTGAGCGTGAAGAAGTAACAAACATAAACACACTCACAAACTTTCGCAATTATAATATTAGTAGGATTTTATTTTGGTTTTAAGAAAATTTTGCCAGAGGTTATTGCCATTCTCCAAATAGTGGAGATTTCTTATGCGAAATTTAATGCAATGGAGGCCTTGATATCTAAATTCATAGCTCAGAACCATGAAAAACAATCATTATATATTTTGTTATTTTGCAAAGTCTATATACAGGGTGACTGGTGAATTACTATCAATATTTAAGGAGAATACTCAGTACATGATTCTCATTCGAATTATGTAAAAAAATAGGTACTTAATTTTTGAACAAATTTCCGTATAAATAAATAAAGTGTGGACACGTTCCAAGTGTTCCAAGTGGAGTTCCAAGTGGACGCGTGCGGCGGCGTGCTGATACAACACCACGCCGCCGCACGCGTTTGTGTGTGTGTGTATACCTAATCTGTAGGGTGTTCACACGATGCGTAATTAATTACATAACTTTTGGTTAACTTTACTTAGAAGTTTGTTAATATTTATGTTTTATTAATTTTTATTTTGTCATATATGATCGTCAAATATCACGTCCTCAAATATCGATAGTAATTCACCAGTCACCCTGTATAAAAGCATTGCTATCCAACCGTATAGTATATAAAAATATATATTCCAGGTGATGTTATACGCAAAGCCGGGTCTTATGGAGTATCAATGTGAGTCAGTGTTCCTTGATCATTGTTACCGTGTGGGCGGATGTCGCCATGTCTCCTACACATGTATTTGCGGCTCGGGAGACAATTCTGCTATTCTGCACTATGGACACGCAGCAGCACCTAATAATAAAATGATCAAGGATGGGGATATATGGTTAGTATGAAGTATTATATATGACCAGCAATTTAAGGACTATCTTAGCAACAATGAATGCCTTTTGAGTGTTCAAATTAAAGTGTCATGAAATTATGGTTAGTAGAGGTGATAAGACGTATATTTCATGGGACTAATTGAAATAAAATCTTGATTTCTATTTTCATACTTAAACTAACCAAATTGTGTTAAATATATAATTACTAGCTGCGCCCCGTGGTGATACCCGCGAATTTCCGGCATTTCCAGGATGTAAAGTAGCCTATGTGTTATTCCTGGACGTCAGCTTCCTGTATACAACATTTAATCGAAATCGTTTCAGCCGTTTGAGCGTGAAGAAGTAACAAACTTACACACACACAAACTTTCGCAATTATAATATTAGTAGGATTTATCTCATTCCTAAAAACGAAATAGACTGAGATAGGAAATCTAATTAAAAATTTTACTTATTAATAAGATTATATAGCTTAAGTGTTTAGTAAATATGAAATAAAAAATATTCGCAGTTTATTCGACATGGGCGGTAATTACGCTGGCTACGCCGCAGACATTACATGCTCTTTTCCTGCAAATGGAAAATTCACTGAAGATCAGAAGCTCATATATGAAGCTGTGTTGGCTGGAAGAGATGCTGTTATTAGGTAACCCTACTATATATAAGTTTACAATAATCACACAATATCTGAACTACTAAAAAATATAACTAAATAGTAGTAAATTATAATAAAATGCTTCAGTAAAAGATTTATTTAATATTACAGACAGGGAAAACCAGGAGTTAAATGGACAGACATGCATCTAGCTGCAAATAGAGCTATGTTAGAACATCTCAAGAAAGGTGGACTTTTGAAAGGAGAGGTGGAGAAAATGATTGCGGTAAATACAAAGAAATGTTTTGTTAAAAAATCAACACAAAGCCATATAATAATCTGATTGGCATAGAATTACACATATAATATATTTTGTGTTAAAATACTTTCAGTTACAAAGTTAATTATTATTGAGCATTGTACCAGTATTCTTCTTCTTCTACCTGGCAATTTCCCAGCTATAGCCAAGGTCTGCCTTACATGTTGTGAATAGTTTTGGCTATTGTTTTTTACGACCGGCCGCCTGCCTGACATCAACCCTCTTTGGGAATGCATTAATCAGTGATGTCTAAATACACTTAGAAAGTACATATGACTCGGAAAAATCACATTGGTACTTGCCCGGGCCAGGATCGAACCCGCGCCCTCTTGCATGAGAGGCGGGCCTTTTAACCACTAGGCCACCACTGACTATTGTACCAGTATTATTGGAATAATATGTTATATATGGATATATAACTTTCTATTATTAAAAGTTAATTTCATCCGGATGTTCATAATAAGTAATATTCCATATAAATGAAACTAATATTTTTCGGATTATAGTAGATGACTTTATTTTTGTAAAAAAAACGACATATTTCCAATGTTTCGGCTACTTTTCATCAACCGTGATTACGAAAACGTGATGTGAATGTCTGTCATTTGGTCATGTTATTCATTTAAATGAAATATTACTTAAGAATAATCTTATATCTCATTAATATTCCATAGTTTGGTGTGAACGGCATCCTTCAACCTCATGGGCTCGGTCACTTATTGGGTCTTGATGTGCATGATGTAGGAGGTTATCTCAAACACTGCCCTCCAAGACCCAGCGGACCTCTTGGAAGATTAAGAACTGCTCGGGTATTGGAATCTGGAATGGTCCTTACTATTGAACCCGGATGTTACTTCATACCAAAGGTAAATAAATACTCTAATAACTAATTGTTTAATATTTCAGTATTGTTCTACTCACTACTTGTAATTTCCCAGAAGTTAAAAGAATCCAATTGTTTAATTCTAAAGGATATGTTTTCTGGTGACTATTTGTTATGTCCCAGAAATTTAAGCATAAAAATTTCATACCAATGGTGACTAAATACTCTATTTGTTTAATACTTTAGTATTGTTCTAATCACTATTTGTAATATACAGAAGTTCTAGCATAAAAATATTAACACAATATTGTGTAATCATTTTATGTGAAGCAAACTGTGTATGTGATTATGCTGCAATTTTATATACTGTTTAGTGTAAATTTTCTATTGTATTGCTAAATGATGCAATTATTAAAACATTTTGATATCAATAGCTATATTACCAAAACCCGATTTATAAATATTCCAAGGAGACTCCACATTATATGCACTTTATAAATCAAAGAGCCTAAGATTTTGCAATTTATATTTACAGTTATTAGCTGCAGCTAAACGAAGCCCGAAAGTATCGCAGTTCTTCGATTGGGATGTAATGGAGAGATTCAGAGGCTTTGGCGGAGTTCGCATAGAAGATGACGTACTCATCACAGATAATGGCGTCGAAAATCTCACATTCGTGCCAAGAACGTATGTAGAATTCTAAATAATTGAAAAATTAATACCTTATGAAACAAAATTAATATACACTTATCAAAAGTCCACTACTTATGCTTAAAAATTATTATTATTTTTTATTTTACAGTGTTGCGGAAATAGAAGAGTTCATGGCTAATGGTGCAAACTTCAAGTAATTCCATATAATCTTGTATTCCACATATTCATACCAAATCATTGTATTACATGTATACCTATTATACTAAAGGGTTTTAATATATTCTTACAAGACTCTAGAAATAAGCATACTGTATTCATAATCTTTAATAAACTATTTATTACAACATGTTTTTATATTACATAATCTAACAACTAACTAAACAAAAACTGATTCATATCTAAATTAATATCACAAATGTATAAATATCACTCTTAAACTGCTCAATCCATATAAACAATTAATGAATACCCAAAAATCAAATAATATTTTACATGTATCGCAAATATTTTTTTAACATTTGAGGTATTTGGATTTTATCCAAAATATTTAAAAATTCATTTGTGGTTTTATAACCTGTGTTTGCTATTAACAATCTAATTTTTTGTCTACACAGATGTGTCAATGGCAACACTGTGAATGGCAAATTTTCAGCACTGGTCACACTAGCGCCAATCATTGATAAAAGTTCATTTTTTACCTGAAATGAGATATAAGGGTTTATTTAAAACAAAAATATAAAATATGAATACTTTATAATGACTGATCTAATTTAATATGATATATCCTTGAAATTATGATAAACAATGTGGTTGATATTATGAAGGCAATAGACTAAATATGTTTTTTTTTCCTGAAGTAATTGATGTATACTTAATACTTTTTCATTTGCCATTTATATAAAATCTTTATAAGGACTTCCACAACGATAAACCCTAAATAATTATTTGTTGACTAATAAAAAATAAATCCTAAGTACTTACAAATGCAGGCATTCTTCCTAATAAACCACTTTCATTAGCAAATGTCAGTAAATACTCGGGATCACAATGTAAGCTGTATGGTAACATCATGGCTGCAGTTGAAGGGTCTGAACCGAGTGAAGCATGAAATGCATCCGGTAAAAATCTTCCTATCGGATGAGTTAATGTACTACAGTAGTCAACATTACAACCATGTAGATGAAATATATTAAATACCTGTAAACAATTTTTAAATTTTTATATAAAGATTAAAAAATAAATTTAAATGAGATAGAATGTATGTAACCTCTTTAAAACATGTAGAATGAAGACAATAATGCATATATACCAGGGGAGGGCATTCATTTATGTCCATGGCATTAACTAAAACTCCGCCCATAAGGAATAAATAAAAAAATTCCTCAAATCTTTCACGGCTCTGTATGTATATGTATTCACTAATGCTCAGTAGTGAGTTGATAGGAGCATTAGTTAAGTATTTCGGTCTGTATTCACCCAACTTCTCCAAAGTTATGTAGAATTGTTCATAGTAATCGAAAAAGGTTGGACCCAAATTATATATGAGAAGACTTTCTAGAATATCCAAGTTGAAAATGTGAGGCTTACAAGCCCAATATATTATATTTGGACTAATAACAGCTATGTCTGTCTCATGAAGAAGTGTTTTAAACATTTCACTGTTACCTGTAGTTAAAGCTTTAGTCAGGGCTAAATCACCTCTTTTATTTTTTAAATTGGGATCTGCATTATTTTTTAATAGTAATTTTACGACATCATGATTAGAGCCTTGGGCAGCTAAAATCAAAGGTGTATCACCGTCAAGTGCAACTTCATTTATATCATTTATAAATGGTAGAAAGTTTTCAACTGCCTCTAAACAGCCTTTGTAACAAGCTAGATGGAATGCAGTAAGGGAGGCTTCATTTCTTATTTCAGGATTAGCTCCTGCGTGTAGCAAAATGGATACCGACTTGTCATGTTTATCTAAGGCTGCATCATGTAATGGGGTGTCTCCGTCGAAGTCCTGAACATCTATCATAGCTCCATAGTCTAATAACAGCTGAATTATTTCTGTTCTTCCTTGACCACATGTAACATGCAACGGTGTTACCTGTTCAGTACTGCCATAATTAGCTATATCGGGTATTTCATCAAGTAATTTTCTTATGGTCTTAGCAGAACTCAAATACTGGCAAGCAAGGTACAGAGCTGTATGTCCATCATAAGTTTCTACTAGAGGATTAAGATTCTTATGATTCAGAATTAGATCTAGACTTTCGTAACTATCGCTTGCAGCAGCTTCGTGAAGGCAAGTCCAACCTCTATTATCACAGCAATTCGGGTTCATCTTTTTAAGTAATCTCTTAACAGTCTTGACATCATTGTTCCTGGCAGCTAAATTCAAAGCATTAGATGTTGAGGGGTTGAGGGAGCTAAAATCCATTTGAACTTTTGATATCTAATTATAACTATTTCCGAATGTTTATTTATGGAAGATCAAATAGATGAAATTTAATTATATAATATTCTAAATAATTCTAATATTAAATTAAAGGGATAGTAATGATTTACATTATTTAGAAATATTTTCAAAATTTAAGGCATTCGTTGACATTAATATCGTTGATCCAAATGTCAACTGTCAAATGCCGAAATTAATGTTCAGAAACTGATAACAGAAATGTACTTTTATAATGATAAGTTAATTTAGAATATGATAACCTTTCACTGTTTTACTTCGACGGGACATGTAGAACAATATTAAAAGACTTCATTTATAGCATACTCAATACTTAAAACCCTCTAGACCGTAAAATTTTTAGAATTCAATTTCTACTCCTATTTGTTTTATTATTACTTATATTGTTATTATAGAAAAAAGTATATGTTTACAATAATTTTATAAAAAGAAAAGCAATAATTAACATGTAAAAGATTTATTTCCAGAATCAAAATTTTAATTGATATGTACAAAATATCTTTTACCTACACAAAAATTGGTGCGGCAATGATTTATAATATAAAGCAAATATACAATTTTAAATAAAAAAAAAAGGAAATTAACAATATTTACAATAATCATTATTTATTAGTTTTTTATCTAACAAAATGTTACCCGTTACTTCAAAAACTTAGGATGCGTTATAATTCAAGTTATTTTTCGTCATTTAAATACATCTACCACACATCAGTTGTGAAAATACACCAGATACCCGTCACAATAGTCGAAATACAAATGTAATAAAATAAATTCAATTCTAAACACAGAATACTCACGAACATTGGCAAATATATTAAAGAAAATTATATTTTATTAAATAGTTATGTCAAATGAACATAAATAGATAGTTGACCGCTCTTAATATAACAGTAAACGGATAAGAAACTTATCAATATTTATTATTCGAATATTTTCGAAGTCTCAAGACTCTGACTAACAAAACCTTTTTTATTTAAACCTCTTTAATAAACACTTGGTAAATACTAAATTTGACGCACACAACAACTCCTTTTTATTTATATGTTTTGGTTCAGTTGGTGTGCAATTCGTTTTATGTTTTTTGTGAATCTGACAACAGAAACTCCGGCTATCTAAGCCTCGTCCACACGTATTGTAACCGATTCGAACGTTTCATTGACAATCATTCCGCATTTTCTTTGTTTGGACATATAAGTGGAAACTTTAGGGGTGATGTTGTAGCTCGGGAGAGGGAATTGGAACGAGGCGAGTGAGGAGATCGCGCGCATCTAGTAGGATAAGGACGAACTCGTAGTTCTTCGGCGCTGCGAAAAGTACCTCGCGTCACACGACGACGGTACAACGATGTTACTGAAGACTCTTGTAATAGACACCTAGAAAAGAATATGTGTATAAGTATTCAAGGTTAATATTGAAGTATGTTCATTAATATATTAAAATTAATATATCAAGTTTTTGAAATTCCGTTCCAAGTTGTTACTTCCCATTTTTCATAGATTAAAATAGAATAGTTTTAATATACATATTTCTTTTTACGAAATTACCATATAGCGGTATAAAGTTCGAATTAAAAAAAATATCGTATTTGATAGAGGATGCAGTTGCATTTTTTTTGCCTGCCATTTAGTCTGCGTTAGTTTCAGAATAGAAATTTATAGCTGACCGGGCGAAGTCTATTAACTTTTAAATATAGTAGATAACAAGATTTTGGATTAAATCAACTTATTTATCTTTTCTCTTTCGTAGGAAAAGTATTCTATGTCCTTTCAAGTTTTCTAAGCAATCTCTCTCTATTTTCAACTTAACCCGTACAGCCGTTTTTAAGTTACAAATAGTGCAACTAACTCGACTTTCTTTTATATAAGCTGGCACGAATTTTTATGGGACATGTGTCTATGTGTCTATGGAATGTCTCTATTTGTCTATGGTACTAACTTCTCTAATTCTGATAGTTGTTGTTTAGGCGTTGATGCGGCTACAGGTCTGTTGCGGCCGAGTCTGGCTCGCGTCGCTTCTAGCATGTGTTGCGTCACCAAAGGTTGTTGGGTGTCCTTTTGAACTCGTTTCGGCCTCACCGGATTGTCCTAGGATGAAATAATGTTAATTTAATTTAGCATTTAAAAATATAGATCCATATTTTATATAAAAGATTCCTAACTTATATTGTGTACTATCCTCATTGAGAATAAATAATTTTTAACGCCCCCATGTTTTCACTAACTGAAATACAATTATAAATTATCCCAGCTAAATGAATTTACAAATTACCCCCTCCCCCCGTCCTCTACACAACGTCCCCGTTATTATTCTGTGTCTCTTACTTCCCAGTTCCCCTCTTTTAGGCCTTCATCGCCCAATTTGAGAAAAACTGTCTTGTATCTCTACAAAATATATCACAGATTTAATATGTACTTAATAACCAAAATATTTTGTTTGTTTGATACTTATAAATGAAAATATTTATATACCTTTAAACTGTATACACGGTGTCCTATTTTTTTACTTACAAATATTCGCACACAATAATATAAATTATCAACGCAGTTTTATGAACTAAAACCTCAACTCTTCCTATCTAGTACAACGATGCAATATTGCAAGACATTTGAAGTAACAATTGCTATTATCATACTACAAATACCTTCGTCTTTCTTAGCTTTACGTTGGCTATATCTTGCGGTGTGATGGTCAGCCTGGGTGCGGCTATCCTCGGTGGTGCTGAGCCGCAGCGGGGTATGGTGTGAGCGCGGGCCAGGGGCTTGCTCGCGGGGGGCGGGGGAGGAGGGGGAGGGGGAGGAGGAGGCGGCGGAGGAGGGGGACAAGATGGTACAGACGGTGTTATAACAGGTTGACGACTGCAACGAAAACAATATGATCAGTAATCACGTACACTTGTATGGTTGTAATGTATAATATATTGGGACAGAGTACTGTTCTTTGTACATGTACTGTCATTGATGCTATCACGTGTAAAGTTTTTTGAATGAAAAACTAGGAACTGTTTGTTTTGTTTTGAAAGAAACATCTTAGTTTATAGTTCGTGATAAAGAAAATCTTTATTATAAGGCTTTTTATATGTTAAAGGTGGCAAACGAGCAGACGGCCTACTTGATGGAAGGTAGTTACCGTTGCCCATAAACATTGCCGACCTTGATATTTGAGGAATAGGGAGGGTTGTTAATGAGGAAAAGGAAGGAAAGGGTTGGAAAAGCCTTATAATTACTTTAGAATTAATTGTATTTTATTCCCCACCTTAATTTATTTTCGAGTTCGATCATTTTGGACATCATGTTATTCATTTGTTCCTTAAGTAGTTCGTTCTCTCGTGCCAGACGCTCTTGTTTACTGTCGATTTCTTCCATAATATTTTTGAGAACTTTAACTTCTTCCATTAGCATATTCTCTTTGTTCTCCTTCAGTGTTATAGGTTCACGAACAATATCTGAATACAAACCAGTAATGGATTGGTAACCCTGAAATATAAAAAAGAATAGTTTTAATCAAGAGGCACTTCTAATAGTAACGAGTCTGAAATATTAAAAATATTGACATAGAAAGACATTACCAGTTACTTCATCTACGTTTGTACTTTATGGTTTTTTTCATTTGAACTAAAATTATTATTCTATATTTAATATCTACTATATTTTACTTAATAAATAGTAACGACTAACGACACTATAAATAGTACATACAGAAATAAAATAAATGTATAATAAATCATATTATTTACAAAAAACTATTTCTTCGGCAGTTTACCAATATGTAACATTAAAAAAAAAACAAATACTTTATTACCTTCCTGCCAATCCAAGTGCAAATATCCACAAAATTCCACACTTTGGTGCGATTGCTACGTCTATGCGATTTATCTTTCCTAGGCGTTCCACCTGATAATCCACGAAACATAATATCATTTAAAACACCCATTAAAATGTACTTTATATGGTAAAAATATATTAAAAACATCATGACACAATTTGTTAGCATTGCAGTCAAATACAATACATTCTTAATTTATTCGTTATCTTTTGAGATGTATGATGTCATGCGCTATATATACAAAACGACGCCGGCCGGTTTTTAAAATTAACAAAAAGTTTTTATTGACTATTTTAAATTGTGACACAGCTAGTTCCCAGTTTAAATCAAGGAATTATAGATGTATGTAGTTATAAAATTACCGGTAAAATTTTATTTATAGGTATTAAAATTTATACCTTAGATAAGTAGATAATACACAAGCAAAAACATATTTGAATTTTTTTTTTGAAAATTATATTTCATAATGTATGGAAAAGATGATATCGGAATAATTTATTATTACATACCTGGTGTATTATTTTCTAAATATTTACATTTTCCCAAACTGCTACTTTTTCTAGACCGATGTAACATATCCTTAAAAAGATTTGAATCAGATTTTCGTCTCTTGCGAACTTTGTATGAATAATTTGTATTGATGGATTTAAAAGAAACATCTGATTCAGAACACAATTTATTTGATGAAACAGAGTCTTGAGCTTTAGGTTCTGTCAAATCTGATGTGCTTGATGTACTGGAACCCGTACATTTCGTCTTTTTCCAAGGAGGATTTGTCTTTTCTTCAAAGGAATCTCGTCTATACCGTTTACTACCTAAAGATCTCAGGACATCGTCACTGTCATTGGATGAAGTTTCCACTGCATTAAAATCTTTGCTAAAAGATAGGTTTACATCAATTAAGCCGTCTTCAACAACTGGTCCTACTATATCCGTCTGCGTAGAACTATTTGACCTACTGTCTGAAGGACTTGCGTCAATCATTATACTGTAATATGGTGGAGTTTTCTCACGCTGACTCTCGTTAGATTCTTTAAATGAAACATAATTGCTTTGATCCCATGATGTATCAATATTGTTCGTTGTATTGCATTTCCGAATAAATTCGATTGAATTATCACCACTTTCTTCAAAATATACGGGAGCGACGCTGATATCTTTTTCTTCGTCATTTGACATTGTTTATATTTTATTTTTTTAATTCTATGCCAGTTTAATATATTTTGCCTGGACACTGATGTCTACGAACTCGGAATAAAATACTTTTAATATTATTATTGGTCGGTAGTTTTAAATTTTTTATTACTTTTATGATCAGTTCAAAAAAAAACAAGGTAGAGCCCCCCAAAAAAAAATGTAATACAAGATTATTATTTCCTTCATACCAAGAAATAATGCTATTAATAATTTTCAGTTACTTGCGTTTGATTTAATACATATAATGATCCCAATAATTGAAATTCTATTTCGTTTATATGCTAAGTAGGTACCTCCAACCGAGATCATTTGACGTTTGTCACAGTTTTAAGTTATGTACTCATATTTGACATATTATTTATATGTAACTAAGTTGCATCATCTAAGTTCTAGGTCCTAAGTTATACATATCATTTAAGTTATAAATAACGCAATATATGATATAATAAATACAAATAAATTCTCTTTTTTCCTATATTTACAGCGGGTCATGCGTTATTATGGAATTAAGAAGAAAATTTTGTACAGTGGATTAATTGTGTTCTTGTTTATCATACTTCTTCATCCCTCTAGAAATGCAAAAGGAACCTATGAGTTTATTGAAAGAGACAACATTTTAAGCAATTTGCTTTATGACACCGCTGAAAATTTTTCCAGTACTGCAATTGTTGACTGTGATTACTACAATGTTGTTAATGATGATTCCACTCTTTCTATCAGTATCGCTGACGGGGATTTAATTGAGAATCATAGGATTAAAGATGGAGGAGAATACGTACCTGTCGAATGCAGACCGAGTCTTAGCACTGCTATCATTATTCCATATAGGTAATAAGGTAACATTTTTAAATATTTATTATTTATTGATAATCTGATGTTAAAGCTAATATTTTACATACAGGGACAGAGCTGAACAATTACGCGCTTTCTTGGTCTATATGCACATGTTTCTAAGAAGACAATTTATCCACTATAGGATCTATGTTGTGGAACAAGTCGATAATAAGCCATTTAACACGGCTAAGCTAATGAATATTGGTGCTGTAGCAGCAATTCGCGCAGGTTTCCCTTGCCTGGTATTGCATAATGTGGATCTACTTCCACTCAGGCCAGCTAACTTGTATGCATGTACAAAACTTCCTCGACATCTATCATCTAGCATCAATAAATTCAGGTTGATAGTTTTTATATACATATTTTACAAATAAAAGTATAATATGATTTCATAGAACTGTAAAACCATAATTCTTTAATAAACTCAGATTTTATATAACACTCCCAATTCTAGATTTGTTCTTCCACATCAAAATGTGTTTAGTGGTGTTGTATCAATATCTTCGAAACAATTTAAACTTATAAATGGAATGACAAATGGGAACACTGGTGATAGAAGTGATCTCTACAATCGTCTTCAAGTTGCGGGTATAAAAATTACTCGTTATGAACCTATATTGAGTCGTTATTATATGTCTTCACAGAAATTGCAACGGAAAGTGTAAGTGAAAAAGCTACCTTTTTTGTATAATTTTTGTATAAAAGATTTAAATTATTATTTTTTCAGGATAAGATTTAATCAAGATATGAAGCTAGAAATGAATAAAGATGGTCTGAATTCATTGAAGTATACAGAAGTGGCAACCGTCCTACATCCATTGTTTACTCATATCATGGTTGATTTATAATATGTTAATTTTTGTACGGATCAAGTTTGTAGTAAATAACTAGTGTTAAATTTTTGCTAGTAGAAAATGTGCATTTTCTCCGTCCATGAGGAATATACATTCTCATAATATGATAACAATGTTGAAGTTCCTTAGGATAGTTCCATATACATCCTTTTTGTTATACATAATAAAGTTTTTAATTAAGGACAGTTGTAGTGGTTAAAAACACACTGGCTGTTTTTTCTTAATGTCCAGTGTTCATAGTTATCAAATTTTTATATAAAAATAAATTATGCTAGTCTTCCATAGATAATAGTTTTCACTTAAATAAATTTTATTGAGAACATATCTTCCAATAATAATATCATTTTAAAGAAACATTATTTAAAATAGTTTTAAGCAGTATCTGTGATGTAAAATATTGTTTTTATTGCTACTGATTTAAGAATAAATATTATTTTGTCTATTTTCATTTCAATTGAGATTTTTACACTAAAGATTTTTTTTAAGCTCTAGTCAATTACTTTAAGAGTCTCATTCTTTTATTTGTATACTATATAAGTTATTAATGAATTGTTTTATATACTGTTTGTTTAAAATAAATTAATACCTATTGCTAATATTAACTTGTTTAATTAGTTTAACCTGTATAATATATTCTTGGAGCAGTGAATGCAAATGAAATTAATTACATTACATTTTATTCAAACAGACATTAACAAGCAGTTTTGAATTGTGAAATTACGTTTATATGTGTGTTGTAAGAATATTAATTATATGAAGTAGCTCCAATTGACTTAGAATGTAACTGGCATTCAATTTTGACAAAGAAAAATATTTTCTCTTCTAAGCAAATATAAAAAAATCAGCATTATCCAAATTCCTTTAAAAAATTAATATGTTTTATAATGTATCTTATTCATTAAAGTCATTAATATTGAATGGAAAATTGAAAAGCAGATTATTACGTCACTTATATATTTGGCATGAATTTTGTAATTATACAATATGGTCCCATGAACCGACATGAAGATATATATGTATATGTGGAAATATATAATTTTGTACCAAATAACAGGTACTATAGGCAGATCGCCACTCAAATAAAAAAAAATCACATACAATTAAATATAAATATGTATTTTGATATGATGCTCCCAAAATTGCCTTTTTACTCAGGAATCACTATGTTTTCTATAATATATGCTGATTTAGTACATAAGCAATTCCTAAATTATAGATACTTGAATACTTTAAAAGTCTAAGAATTTTTAAATATTAACAGTAACCCTAAACATACATAAAATATAAACACCACCAACACTACTGTGTACAAAAAAATCCCTGTATTTACAAAATGTCAACTTAATTATAAGCTATTTTAAATTATATGGCATCACATACATATTTTATAACTCTCAATTTAATGGATGTAAAACCAGAAATCAAATCATTTGAAGCTGAATATGCTTTTTATTCTATAATTAAAATAAAGGTGTTTGTCTATTGATTTGAAATACGAAAATTTAAAAAAAATACAAAAGCCCGACTTATCAATATGTTATATAAATACAATCACCTGTACACCTCAAGGTCTTAATACTAGCATGCTAACAAGTCCTAGGACAAATGAAAATACTAACTTAAGATTAGACCCGATATGCAACCACTCCGGCCATTGTGATTTCAGCACCTGTTCTGGTTGTGTCGGCAAAAGTAGAGCTGCTATACAACATATACTCACTGCTACGGCCACAACATTGATGGGTTGATCTCTATAACAATATTTATATACAATAATAATATAAATTTCATTTAAACACAAGTCTTTTGAGAATTTATTTAGATCAGAATTAATTAATTTACCTGTGATGTGAATGATTACATATAACTCGTGAATGTTCCTCTGTTCTTATTGGTGCTGGTTTCGTAGTAAGTGGATGAAAATTATCTCCCAAGCTTTCTTGATTGATGTTAGATGGTTCACCTTCGATTAATTTGGTCGGAATATCCCGTTTACCCAATGCCTGTAAATATTATACTTTATAACTTTCCTAGGAGAATGTTTAAAAAAAATAATTAATAGTGACTAACCTGTTGGGTGTTTCGATCATACATTGTTATTCGAAACTTTTCAGCGGAATTGCAATGCGAGATAGATGGTTGCGAATATCTAACTACTATATCGATACAACTTTGAGGAGCTATAACTCCTTCTGGGTCTATTACAGTGAATTTGTTTGGTGATGTACATAATACTGAAACCAATAACCAGTTTTAAAAATTCATCACCATATGGCACAATAATACTAATAACTATTTTTACCTTTGAAATTAACAGAAAACTCGTATGGATTATACACAGTTAACAATTGTTTATGTGTATGTCTCGCATTTAAATAGAATTCCAGGGACACTGGAAAGACAAACACGGGGAAATTCTTCATTTTAATGTTTTTTTTTATTGACTTGAACAAAGAATAAATTACAAAAACAATTTCAGCTACATCCTATTTCACAAATAATATAAAACAGCTGTCACTTGTCAAATATCGTCCTTGAATTCAATGAATACAATGTTTAGCTATGGGTACCTAGGTATATAGGTAGGTATGTTGCAATTGTAATTATTAATTATGTTGTACATAGATTAAAAATAGATGAAAATGGTAGAATAGACTGTAAAACCTCCTCTGTCTGTTTCAGTTTAAAATTGACATACTTTTGTATTTAATTAAATAAAATATACATCTATGTATATATTACAAGAGTTAAAATGTATGCCATATTAAAATGGATTCTATTTTTGATTTCTCCACAATCACTCTAGTGTTTTTCTTCTAGTTGTTAACGAAATTTTAAAACTCCCTAACTACTTAAAAATAAATAATATTAAAAGACCCAAAATATAAAATAAAACAGTTTTACCAGTAGACAACCCATTTATTTTGCTTTTAAATTACAATATTTTATAATAATTCATTCAATATCAGTTAATTTCTAAAATATTATTTTTTTGGAATAAGCATGAATATAATTTAATTAAGACAAACTATTTGTTTCTGTGTTGGATTCCTGTTTTATGTAAAATTAAAATGACCACTATAAGAATCATCCAGTGATATAAATAAATATGTTCTTATTGTATAAAAGAGGAAGTGTTGTATAATATTATCCGATTCAATAAGTTCTATGCAAAAAGGTCGGACTCAAAATAGCGACTAAATAATATTTATAATTATTAGGCCTAGAACTTACAAAATACATTACTAGAGAATAAGACTTAAGTTTCTTGTAGGCGGTTAGCCTTCAAAAAAGGGGAAAGTTATAATTCGTTTGTATTTGTTTGTTCCTAAATGTTGGACAGAAAGCAATTTTGAAATTATCTAAAATTTTTCTAGCGGTTTTGCACAAGGTTGGAGGCTTGCTTACCTAGTGTCTCTTTTAATCCAAGTACGCCATCACCCCGTAATGTAAAGTAATTAAGAATACTTAAATATAAATAATACGAAAGTTTGAGCGAAGTCGCTAATGTCTATTTATCTAACAAACGGTAACATTATATATATAATTCAAAGGAGGCCCGTCGAACTCTTGTTTTTAAATGTATTGACACATTTAATTCATAAAGGCTTTTTAATATTTATAAGAAAACTCTTTGTTTTATTGTCTTTAATCAGTAGTAACGGAATGTTCGGCAGTAATCATTTTAATATGAAACTGTAATTTTATATGAAATGGAACATAACCATTTAAATGTAAGTATTTAGTATACCATTCCTGAAGATATTTTAAAGTACTATTAAGTGTGAGATTAAATATTAAGTTTTTGACACTATTTGTAAATGATTTTTTGCCTAATTTGATAATTATTTAAGCAATTCAGCTAGATGTGTTTTCAGTAGTAATTTTGTAATGCTTCAAGGTATTGGAAACCAAATTAGAATCGATTATATATTTGTGACTGTAACAGTAGTGTCATAAATAAAATTAAAACAACATTTTGAAATCAAGACTGTTTATGTAATCAGGTTTAATTATTGTAAATACTTACTGTCATAATACGGTGTTATATTTGTTTATTCATACATTACTTTAAAACGATATTGTATAAAATTAGTAAAAACAAGACATGACATTGACATTGCTGAAACGGACAGATAATTAGAAACTAACAATAATAAATACAGATTATGTTTCAAAATAAAAAAATAATGTAAAATAAGAATGAACAAAAATTACTACTTAATTTAAATAAAATCAATATTTATTATACTATACAAAAGCTTTGCACCAGCAAACACAATATTTACATATATATTAGATCGCATACGATTGATCTATTATGACTAATAGTAGGGATATAGCATAGCGACGGCTGGGTCTTCGGTCTCGAAGGTGATGAGAACGTCTTTGAATTTGTCTAAAAGCTGCATCAATTGTGATCTAGTCACGTTCTCCATAAACATGATCTCCTCCAGATGTTGTTCACCTCTGAAATATCCTGGTGGAACAAATGTTTAGTTTATATCAATGATGTTAGCTCATCTTATTATTAAAAAAACACATTCGATTTTAATGTAGAATTGTGACACGTATAGGTCCATAAATTATTTTAGTCATATAGGAATACAAGCCTTGGAATCGTTCGGATTATGATTACAAAGAAACGTTATGTGAATACGGACATTATTGATTAAAGTCCATCATATACAGGGTGATTGGTGAATTACTATCAATATTTAAGGAGATTACTCGGTACATGATTCTCATTCGAATTATGTAAAAAAAATAGGTACTTAATTTTTGACCAAATTTCCGTATAAATAAATAAAGTGTGGACACGTTCCAAGTGTTCCAAGTGTGGACGCGTGCGGCGGCGTGCTGATACAACACCACGCCGCCGCACGCGTGTGTGTGTGTGTGTGTGTATGTACCTAAACTGTAGGGTGTTCACACGATGCGTAATTAATTACATAACTTTTGGTTAACTTTACTTAGAAGTTTATTAATATTTATGTTATATTAATTCTTATTTTGTCATATATGATCGTCAAATATCACGTCCTCAAGTATCGATAGTAATTCACCAGTCACCTTGTATAAGGACGTCTCTAGAGTATAATCATATCACATAATAATCGTAAAGGCATGTTGACACGAGTGTAAAAAAGTGACGGCGAGCGTTAAAACACAGTCACATAAAGCGCGTGCAAACTACATTTGCAATACATGAAATTAATGGTTTTTGTCTACCATAAAGAGTATACACTTTTCACATTGCTCAATAAACAAAACACTGTCAACGTTGCTATAAAGTATGTACATGTAAGTTCAAATATAACGTCTATAGAATTAATTATTACCTTTCTTACATAGTCTATATAGTTAGTTACCTTTCTTATATACGATATTATGATATGATTCCTTCTATACACAAGTATATATGTATATGTAGTTATTCACCTTTCTTATGTAGCTGTGCGAGTAACAGCAGGTCGTCCTGGTTGTCGGCAGCGGGTATAGTCGCGAGGACCGCTCGCTCCTCACTAGTGAATGTGTCCAGGAGAGACTCGGTGGAGGGCGGGTCGGGCGCGCGGCATGTGTCCGCCGCCTCGCAACCTAGGGGGGCGCTCCATACTGTGGGTGACTGGAAACTGAAACAATCACATGAGAGATATTATATATGTATATACTAGAAGACCCGGCGAACTTCGTATCGCCCTATAATCAAGAAATATCTGTTACGTTTTTTTATTCATATTTTTGGAGTTTACCTATTAAAGCAATAAATCTCCGTGTTTTGAAGTGCGACAGAATTATTGACATATTAGTTAGTTGTAAAAAAAACGTTTGTACCAACAACTACTAATAAATTAAAAATTAATTAAAGAAACATTGTCCAGCTGACAAAATTGTGAGTCTAAACCATTCCCAGATCCCCTTGAACACACACAAAAAATTTCATCAAAATCGGTCCAGTCGTTTGAGAGAAGTTCAGTGACATACACACTCACAGAAGAATTCTATACATAAAGATATATATAGTTAAAAGTAGTGACTTCAGTCGAAGCTGTAAAATTTTATTACATTCATATATAGGATCATGTCTTTTCCTTTCTATAAGACGCTGGCAAAATACGTCTTTGCACGGATGAATATTTTAAATTTTACTCACGAAAATTATTTGCATTCAGGTACGATAACTGAATTCACGGAAAAGGCTATCTTTAGTACAAGTCATTTCTAATAACACCCAAAGTTATCAATTTAAAGCCAAATTTTTTTCAAACATAAAACCTTAAATAATAACCTCATTTCGCTCTGTAGTTTGAGATTCAACGACACTCCATTTTTCTTATCGACGCCATTTTGTCCATGCCCGTTGTGTAGTCGCGGCGACGTGTTCGAGTCATCAAATCTATCTTCATCGCTGCTCATATCCCTCAACATATTTTCACTTTCTTTCAAAGACAGATTCGAAAGTCTCGATTGTATTGATCTATCGTTCTTAATATTCTCAGCGTGGCCATTTATGTTAGATATGCCGCTGTCGACGGAATTCATTTGAGTTTTCTTCTGTATATCTTTGTCGTAACCATTAGTTTTAACTAGACCATCTACTACATCTACGCCATCGTCGAAAGAGTGATGCGCTGAATCCGTTTCGTTGAAGTTATCGTATTTAGTATGATCGGATTCAATGACTATTGGTTGCGTGTGTGAGAAATCTGTTTGATTCAAGTTATTCTGTGTAGGATAATCTTCGTCTGAATCTGGGAAGTTGTTGACGCTCTCTCTAGATTCGACCGGTTCTGGCACGTTCAGCTGCACTTGATTCAACGATGAATATGACACGTTGTTCGAATGGTAATACACGTCGTGTTTCTCACACACGTATTCTTTGCCATCTGAAAAATATAAATTCAAATATTAATGTTTTGTTTGAATTTTTATCAAAATACAATACATATACATATTAACGAAAAATTCCACGATAAAAGTGCATCATAGGGTGGACCTGCTTATGACTACTCCGAAAATTGAATATAACAAAAAATCTATATAAGGAAACTTAGTTTAGTTGAGTGTTACTTGGGTTGCTGTTGTAAAAAATAAAATTATTAGTACGTATATCGGAGTATATGAAAAAAAAGGTCTTTTGGAAATTGGAATAGACATGAGTATCGCCACCCTGTGGTGCATTTTATTCGTTTATTTTTTTACAACGTTGTATATACATAATATAATTTAATTATTAGTGTGTATGTATGTGTGTCTATTAAGCATATATTTGTTAGTACCAATACTGGATGATGTAATAAAGGTCTGTGTGTGATGGTAGTAAACTTTACGTCATACGCTGTGTGAGTGTGTGCGTGTGTGTATGCGAGTACAGAGGACAGATGCGTATGTGTGTGTGTATATGTGAGTACAGCGGACAGATACGTATGTGTGCGTGCGTATATAAGAACCTGCGAGCGGGTGTTGCGGCCAGTTGGTGTGGTGCGGCGAGTTGAACTGCACGTATGTGTGCAGCTGCAGTAATAATCTCCTTCGCAGCAGCCAGGCGACCAGTCTGGCTGGCCGGCAGCGGGAACCCCACGCGCCACGTGACACATACCACAATGGAGCCGGTAGAGAGAACTCGCTCAACATCTGATTATTAATGTCATTATATATTAACTATATACTTTATAAGCCTATTTGAGTGGCATATATTTACTTTGAAGTAACTGTGATAACGGCTATTTAATGGAACTGTGTTCAGTATCCTTACTACAATTCGTTTACTTAAATTAATAATCAAATTACAGAATATATCTTTTTTTTGTTCTAAGCAGGATTTTAATCCGCAAACGTCCTGGCGTTCCAGTTGCTTTCACAACTAACAAGCTATGTCATATGATTAATTAGTTATTCTATTAAACAAATTTGAAAGAGGTATAAGTGGCTTTAATTGTAGTTTGATAAAGCAAATTTATGGCAAACACTTATCCCTAGTGAAATATTGACGAATCTATTTGACGCACATTTATATTAATATATGTATATATAAAGAAAAAGCGAATATATCAGTTTACCTATTTAGTTAATAAGATAACTTATATATTACCTGTAACAAACATAATCCGGGAAACTCCTTAGCGAATTCATCAACGAGCGGTGAGTGTATGTGTACATTAGCTCCTGGGGCGACTACATACACATTACCCTCACATAAAGGATATATCACTGTTGCTTTAGCCCAATACACTAGATGACCAGTTAGTTGAAACGCCTGTAAATATTATATTTAAAATTAAATTTCACATAAGTTTTAAACCAACTACATAATAGGAAGTTATGTTTAACCAAAATTTACCGATATTCTATTAATTTTGTTTGTGAGTAACAAAAAATATCATTTGTAGTCTTAAAGTATCCTTTAACAATAAACTATTACTATTTAATGTCTCCTAGATAAAAATAAATAAATAAAGACAATCTTAGTTATGGATTATACAATTTTCAAGAAAAACTAATTTCCGTTCAATGTGAATACAAATATTATTTTTTATATTATCTATAGACTGTATTTATATTACCTGTGTAAGCGTCAGATCAGCTTCAATAGCTAATGTTTGAAGACTTTTCAGTGGACTATATAATTTTATGAGTCTCAATAAGGCTGGACTTCCATCTAATGGAATTGATGCCAATAAATCATTTGGATTAACCTGTAGAAAGAATTATGATTATTATAAAAAATATTAATAGACAATATCTTTTTTTTTTTTGGTATATTAAATTGTTGAGTTACCATAAGCAATATTCCATGGTATGGCCTTAACTTCTGTACACATTTATCTATTGTCTCTGGTTCTATAATAAGGCCTCTATTGTGTATTTGATGGGCTTTATGTGGTAAACAGAATGATAATAACACCCATTTATTTATCCGTACTTGTACAATACCTGTAAAATAAATTATTATTATATAAAAGAACATTTAAATGATGGAACAAACCATTGTCTTTAAAAATGTATATGCAGTTTTTAATTTATTCCAAAGTCTAGTAATTAACTCATAAAAATAATGTGGCTTAAATGACTGTAATTGCTAATATGAAGCATTACTTAATTATGAAAAACATATACTAATTAAAATAATAATTGCACATAGTACAAAAGTTAATGTTTTATACTAAGACGAATTTTTTATTGGGATACGAGAGCATCTCACTAATTTAATTAAAGTCAATTGTATTATTAAAAATGTTTTAGAATGCATAAGAGACAGGATTTTCTTTTTATAAATATATAAATTGTAATAATCTAAAATATAATGATTAACTAGTAAAATTTTCTTTCAATCCTTACTACAGTTATACCTTGTTTAGTAAAAAAATATCTAATTATTGATATTTCTAACTTCTGTTAAGGGAGCGTTCAAGTATTACGTAACGCAATTTTTGAAGATTTTTGACCCCCCCCTTCCCCCCTCGTAACGCACAGTAACGTTTTTCTGTAGCCCCCCCCCCCCCCTTATCTAAACGTTACGTAGCACTCAAGTGATCAATTTCATCCAAAGTCGTAAAACAATATGTAATAGTTTGGTATAGTTTTAATCTATTAGATGAAAGAACATAATTGACACAAATCTCCCTCTACTGAAGAAATTACAGGATGAACACTATGAACTCACGGATAAACACTAACGAATGACCACGGACCTAACATTAAAAGACGTACAATGCAATCTAGGTATTCTCCGTAAAATATCAATTAAGGGGTTTGCAAAACTTGGAATAACAAATAAAAATATCGACCAGACTAATACAATCTGGTCAACATTATGTAACGTATATGAAAAGAGTTTCCAGTTTGGCAGTTTTTATTAATATTTTTTTTAGAAACAATGCTACGTAACGTTTTGTAAGAGACACCCCCTCCCGCCCCTGTAACGCATCGTAACGTTTTACGGGACCCCCCCTCCCCCCAAAATTGCGTTACGTAATACTTGAACGCTCCCTAAGACTGCAAAACTTATTACTACATTAAATGATGCATAGCATTGATTAAGAAATTATTGATTCACCTGTGCTACTTAATTCTTCAAAAACAGATTTCATAGACCTAGCTAGGGAGCTTCTTTGTAAAATTATATGAAAGGCGGATTTTGGTGTGGCATTAGGACCATTGTCTGTGTTAAAGTTCATTGAACTCACTGAGTGTCTTAAGTTCTCTTCATCATCGTCATTCTCACCGGAATTTATTTCGCTATCCAATGCTGAAATTTCATCATGTGCTGCAAGCTAAAAGAATATTTTTTAATTGTTAGAAAATCATCAGTAAACATTCAAATATTAAAAGCTTTCAAAATAATAGATCCTAATAATTAAGATAAAATATCAATAATATTTAATACCATAATTTTCATTTCTTCTGTCAAATAAGAACATCTCTTCTCTTCATGCCGTAACGCCTTTCCGAGTCTTTTACTTAAATCGTAGTAACATTTCACTGAAAATAAGTGTTAAAAATTGCTTATCATATTTGAAATTAGTGATTAACTTAAAAACTTTCATTCTAAAAAACAAGTATTGCGATTCATACAATCTTAAATGTTTTTGTATTCCATTTACATAAGTTAAAAAATATTAATGATCATTGCATTAATCTTAAGACAGTACAATGCCTTTAATCTGACTGAGGATTCACTTGAGCAATTATTATGTTACTAAACATTCCTTTTATATGTTATAATTTAAAATTATTCTTCATAGAAGTGAGATATTTTATCATAGTGTTTTTATGACTCAGGAGATATAATAATGTAAATAATTATAAAAATATATATGATATACTATTAATTCATATATACAAGAGTGATAGATGGAAGTGATTCATCTAATTTTATATATATATATCCTTACCAATAGAATGACTAGCCGAAGCCTGTAATGCAAACACTATGTTTATAAGAATCATGGCCGCTGTGTCATCTTTATTTGTTCTATAAGGCAGTAGTGTTGGATGACCCACAAATCTCACATCATTTACTTTCAATTCAAACTTTCTATTGCATAACTCAGCTTTTACAGCAAATAAAGTTGATAGCATCTCATCGGTGAAGCCACTCAATTGACCTGAAATGAATTATTAATAAATTAGTAAAAAATTAGTAGAACAAGTTTGAGCAAGTAATATTTTAACTAAGTTACACATTCAAGCAGTATCTATGATTATAAATATTATGATAGCAGTGTTAAAACTTGAAATGTACCTATAATGAATCTCTTAATTAAACTAAGTCATGTTCACATTTTAGAATACTTTTAGGACAAAAGTAGATAGGATTTAATGTCCATATTGTTTACATGTCCTATCAGTGGAATTTGAGTGTTTTATAATAGTAATAAATCAAAAACTGAAAGTCATGCTGCAAAATACCACTACCTTTGTGGGTTCTATATAAGCTATTACCAATACCTCACCTTTACAGATATTTGATGTTTGGGTTTGAGAATTTTGTAAAAGGTCTTCTGTACAGTTAACCGCATAGGGATTGTGACGACCACATTTCTTCTGCTTACTCTCATCTTTGTTCTCACTAGTGTAGGGATATCTGAATAGCAATCTATCCCCTTTACTATCAGATTTCACGAAAAATATATTTAAAGGATTGACCTCCATATCCTGTACTAAATACGTCAATAAAATAATTATATTGTAGCGACCGTACGGGATAAACAACTTGAATGAAAACAAAGGTTTTGATGAAAAAGCGTAGTCCTTAGAGAATAATAATATTTGTTACTCATCGTAATACGTGTACAGGGTTATTAATTGTTTTTAAGAATTTTTCGATATTTTCACAATCAGTCCACAAAAACTAGCTAAATTGACGTAAAAAGTGAATTACTAAAAATGTATTAACTTGTGTCAAGTGTCAAATTTGACTTCTTATTCATAGGGTACAGATAGAATTAAATTACTACGTTCCATGGTCTACGGATATTAAACGTCATTATTCATTTGTAGTTTATAGTTATTGTTTCAGTACAGGGAATTGTCAAGTTGACAATAAGCAATAATTCGAGTGCTGCATTTGATTTCTAAGAATATTTTACTAATTTTGCTCTTACAATGGCTAGTAAGGTAGAAGGTAATCAAAAAGTAGATCCAGTAAGAGTTCCATTAGAAACTGATCAAGGTATACTTGAAAGCGAAGAACGTAAATGGGGACTACCATTAAAAGAAGCTTATAAACATGGACTATCTTTCTATAAAGGTAAATTCGTTTATTCCATGATATTTATTTAAAGTATGTACTGATTCCTTAAAGTTAAAAAGAATAATACAACAATATAATAACAGACATTTTTTAAGTATGTAATTTCAATTTAATGTAACTTTTGCATCCAATTTTCTTTTTCGGTAATTGCATTAAAATTTCATTGCTACTACCGATCAGTATATAGTAAAAAATTCTGTATAAAGTTTAAGGATAATTGATTTTTTAGATAAAGAAGGCAAAGCTATACACTTAAGCTATGAAGATAGGTTGAAGCTTGTTGCATACACACAGCAGACAGCCCATGGTCCTTTAGATGTAAACTCGGCACCGCCATTGGGAGTTTTGGATGTTATTGGAAGAGATAGAAGAGCAGCGTGGCAAATGCTTGGACAAATGTCTCAAATACAGGCCATGGCTGGTTTTATACATACACTTGATAGGTGAATTTGTTGTTCAGGCAAAATTAATTTGTTTCTTTATAGGAATTTCTAGAAAAAATGCATTAAGCTATTATTTCATACTAAGTGTGAAGTGCAATGAATCTACATTAAGTATATACATTATGCAAATATACATTAAGTTATTGTATAAGTGCTTTCAACAAGTTAAATGATAAACTTATCAAATAGTTCTGTGCCTGATATTCTAAAAAATATTCTCAATCATTTTCCTATTCTTCTAATAATAAAGTTTTTGCTGCAATTAATTATAATTACTTTTTAGATTATGTCCACTCTTCAAACCGTATTTAGAGGCGATTCAGAAAGATCTAGAAGAAAAGAAGCAACAAGAGTAAGTACAATTATTTACTCTATAAACTATCATTATTAAAGGAATCAATAAAAAGATATTATAACAATACAACATATGTTAATTATTTATAAGTATTAACAATGTTTTCCCTTTTATCAGACTCAAGAAGTCCGAAAAAGAAAAGGCTCATAGTGAATTACAAAATAGGATAATTCTGGAGAAAGAAAAGCAACAAAGCACAAAATTAACTGAAGAGCAACAAGTGTAAGAATTAAATAACAATATTTATAACTATCATTTTATAACAAAGTTAATATATCTAAAATATTTTTTTACAGTCAAAGAATAAAGGATGCTTTGAATGCACAGACATATGACCAGTTCCTTCAATATGCCCAGCAACAGTATCCCGGTAATTTCGATCAACAAGCAATTCTTATAAGGCAGTTGCAAGATCAGCATTACCAACAATATATACAGCAGCTGGCTGTGGACCAGAGACTGGCTAACTCCAGTATTGATCAGAAAGACGAATCTGATTACGAAAATGATATATCCGGAAAAGATACACCAACGGATTGCAATTTGAATGAAATTGACAGTGGAATTATGGATACTAAGTAATTTGTTTATATTTCCCTAATTGTATTTTTAATGACAATTCATATACAATTCCCATTTTAAAATTATATTTTATTACTGGAAACAAATGTGTTTAAACTGGAATTGGTTTACTTTTTTTCAAATCTCTATCAAAATAATAAATCAATCATAACAGTATATAAAATCATGGTAAAATTTTGTTTTGTTTCCTACAAATGTATAAAGAGCTGTTTTACTTTGCAGGGAAATTCAAACTATAGACAAAATTAACAGTGATTATGTTGAAGAGTCAAGGGAAGAAGAATCAGATGCAGATGGTAGTACAATTATGTTTTATAAATTTATTGTTACACAAACAAAATATATGTATTTAAAATTTTCTTGTTAATCTGATAATCAACTATGTTTATGCATTTCTTGCTGAAGTATTGAGAAGATAATTTATTTATATTGCAGACGGTCTTCCATATGTTGAAGAAGCTAGAATGTGGACTCGGGGTGATATTATCCAGTTTAAGGAATCAGCTCGTGAAGGTGGTGGTCGTTTGACGGTTGGTCATGGTGAGACAGTCACTGTGAGGGTCCCAACACATCCAAGGGCTGGCTGTCTTTGTTGGGAGTTTGCTACCGATGGATATGATATAGGTTAGTGACTTGAAGATCTATATTTATACATATATATATTTTATATGAGAAAGGTATCAAACGAGTAGACGGCCTACTAGAAAGGCAATGGTCGCAGTCGCCAATGCACATGTGCAACTTAATAGATGTTGCTGGTCTTGATTTTTGAGGAAGAAGGAAAGGGTGGGAATACGGAAAGGGCAACCGGCACTCTCATTCATCGAACGAAACGCAGCCATTAAAGACTTCTTCACGCCGATCCTCTGTGAGAGGGTGGTACTTCCCCGGTCGAGCCAGCCCATGTTCGAGCTGTAGTAACTGACCACAGCTTAACTCTACTACCTTGAAATATACTTTCAACTATTTGTTTTTATATTATCTTATATTAATGTTGTAGTATAAATAATTTTTATATTAATGGTTTGAAATCAATAAAAGTTGACATCTTTTCTTTCAAACAGGTTTTGGATTGTACTTCGAATGGACCAAGACTCAGACTACCGAAGTAACGATTCATGTTTCTGACACTGATGAAGAAGATGATGAAGATGATGGTGATGAAGGTAATAATGGTCAAAATAACAAATATCTATCCCTAATAGAGTTATGGCTTTGTCATTGCTAAAACAGACTGTATTCATAATGCCATTAATTGGAAATTTACTGCTACATAGTGACTGTCTACAAAAAAAAAAAGTACATACATATACATATATCTTTTCATGATTAAATATAAAGGAATAATTATTTTAGAATTTAAAAAAGATAGGTTAAAAATAATGCCAGATGAAAGGTCTAAAGTATTGATTTGTTTTTTTACACTGAGTATTTTTGCATACTTAAGAAAAAATGAAAAGACTTTAAATTTTTTTAGTAGCTTTTCTCATTTTTTAATTTAGTGGTTTTCATCATATTGCTATTTGTTTTATTTCTGTATACTTCACATATTAATAGTATATAATATAAATGCATACACATGTTTTTATTTAAAATATATATATTCAACAGAATTCACGGCCCAAGAATCTAGTGATCCTGAGATTGGTTCAGAAATACGCTCTCTAAACAAACAGAAGCCGTTGTTGAGTCTTGTTGTACCCATATATAGGCGAGATTGTCATACAGAGGTAACTTACTTTACTACTAATAAGTTAAATGTGAATATTTATGACTCTAGTTATAATTAATATATTTATATATATGACTTTATACTGGCAGACCCTGGCTAAAGCTGGGAAATTGCCAGGAGGAAGAAGAAGAAGATATGACTTGATATAACTTTTTATTTCCAGGTGTACGCTGGTTCCCACACTTACCCCGGCGAAGGAGTATATTTATTGAAGTTTGATAACACTTATAGTCTTTGGCGATCCAAAACCCTGTATTACAAAGTTTATTATACACAATAATATATATTATTTATAGTAAAATTATATTAATTAATTCAATATAGCTATATATAATACATACTGACCCCAAAACCATCAATTTATTATATCATTATAATGGCACATGATACTAAAATAGACTTATTTATTTTTAAACTTATTAATATTAAAATACAATTATATATTTTTAAACATATAAAAAACTGCATATAGTTATTAATAGTTAATAATGAAAAAATAAAACCATTTCCTTAAAATTTACATCCAAATTTAGTTTTTATATTAAGGATATATGCTAATGGGGTCATATGGTAATTTTATTTCCAATTTTATATTATTATTAGTTATTTATAGATATTTCACATTGATAGTTATTAATATATTAATCAATGTAAAGGAATGTTATTTATCCAGTAATGGTTTAGCAAAATGGTCTATGTATAAAATAAATATATTGCTTATTGAAGAATATGTTGGATTTAATACCAAAAATATAATTTATCAAGATAAAATGTGTATTATATTTATGACAGGACAGAAATAAGAAAAAATAAATTTTAAACCACTATAATTTGTTGGAACATAGGGAAAAAGTGTGAATAGGTTATATGAATGTTGCTTAAAAATCTTATACCTAAATATGACAATTATTATATTTGTTACTTATATTCCATTTAATCTTTATATTGTTTTAAACTAGAATAATTATCACAAGCTATTAGATCTTTTAACTTTTTATGTACTACAATAAAACTCATCGATAAATCCTGAATTACTTTGTCAAAGTGCCATAATCTCTTAATGCATATAAAATGTACTTAATTCATTATTTTATAACACAATTATATCACAGCAATTCTATGAAATATAATTTAATTTTATGAGAAATAAGAAAGAATTAAATGATTCGTATAAAAATATATTTGTAAATAATAAACCTATTTCACTGTTTTTATTGTCAATGTAAAATTTTGGGTTCTTTTCTAAATTCCGTTTTTAGACAAATGAGAATAAGGAAATTGTAATATTGTTTTATTTCATGAGTGGACTTAATCATGACTGAAAGTTATATATTTAGTTTTGTAACTTATTTTCCTATAGTCTTTTATGTTAACTTTTTATTTATTAAGTTTCATTGTATGCTTATTTTTTAAATATCTCAAGTCTTAAAATGCACACAGTATTGTTGTTTCAAATGTAGTCTAGAATATATTGTGATATTCAAGTTATGTAGTTTCACAATAAATAGTTGTATGTTCGTCTAGTTGATTCTGTAAATGTTTTTTTGTCTTTTCAGTGTTGGTGAAAGCAATTATTACATAATATTGGAAATCCCTGCTATGATATCCTTTGTTAAATTTTGTAATTGGTAAACAAGAGTTTTAAGTAAATTCTATGCTTATTTTACTGCCCCAAAAACCGTAATGAAATAGTAATTCGGACCCACAGTATAAGTACATTATGTAGCAAACATTTATAATATATGTGCAATATAAAAGTTTTATCTTTTATTTAATAATCTCTTACTAATTAAGCTTTCCTTTATCAATAACGTTGAATTACCTAAGTTGATAAAATTTTATTAAATAATTTTATATTAATTATCCTTTCTTTTAATGTTTATTGCACTATAAAAAGGATATTAATTGGAGAAGACTCATTTTAACAAACATGATAAATAAATACGACACCTAGGAAGTTTTACAGTCAATAGTTTATTACTAAAACAAGCAAAAGGGCGGCAACTTTTAAAATACCGTAACATTATTCTATGGGGTTTCATAATGTAATTTGGATATGGTGTAATTATTGGATATTTATCACTACAACATAAGAATAATAAAAAATTAAATATTTCGAAAGGTCTCAAGGATAAGTAATGTGATAATAAGACATAAACATAACAAATAATAACAAGAGTTATTTACATAAAAACGATAGGAATAAAAAATGTGGTCGAGATTTTTGTTCAAAAGAGTGAAACGAAAAGAAAATATTACATTCGGTTACTGTCTCATAGCTGATAATATCGCTAAATGTCACAACTTAGAATCTTGACAGCTATGTTTTTATTTTTCTTTTGATTGAAAATTACAAATTTAATAGAAAAATGTTGCAGAGATTGTTTTGTAAAAGTTTCAGTGTAAAATATTGTGGAAGTCAGAAAAAACTACTGTTTAAAATACCATTTCATAACCATTCCTGTGAACAATGTCGATTCAGGTTATATTCTAGTCACAAATTTACAGCGTTACAAAATAATTATGAGAGAACTTTATTTTGTGAAAAGAATTTACTTTTTGTGAGAACGAGAACCTATACTAGCCAAATTGATGCACAAAAGAAGAATGGCCATATAGAAACCATAAAAGATAAAACTCAAATAGCCACCTCGAAAAAGATAAACGTAAAATTAAAGACTTCTGAATTAAAACGTTTACTTTCTTTGGCGGAACCTGAGAAATGGACTCTTACTGGTAAATATTTAAAAATAATATGAAAATTAATCAGTATCCTTGAAAGTTGTACCACTATTTCATTTACTTTTTCCAAATATTTTTTAACATTAGAGCCATTTTGAACTACCTGCTGAACTAAAATAACATACAATAAGATACATTATAAACACTAAAAGGATACAAAAATTAAAGCAAAAACTTATTCATTCACTTTTACATTGTTTTAAAATGTATAACTATTTTCAGGTGCTATTGGTTTATTAATAATTTCTTCAAGTGTAACAATGGCAGTGCCATTTTCATTAGGAATGGTATTAGATATCATTTACAGTGGTACAAATGATTTAGTGGCAGCCAGGGAAAAGCTAGACGAATTATGCCTATATTTGTGCGGAGTATTTTTGGTTGGAGGACTTTGCAACTTTGGCAGAGTTTACTTGATGTCAATATCGGGTAAAATATGGTATTATTCACATATATTTAATACATAAAAGTGAAATATGATATCTATTTTATTTAAAAAAAGATAAAAGATTTGTCTTTGAAATTTTTCCATAATTTAACTATATAAAAAAAAACTGATAAAAATTATATCAGCAATAATCTATATTTTACTGTAACATAACCCATAGGTCATCCTGGCAAGGCTAAATAATTGTATTATAAAAAATTTTACTCTAAAAATTTATTTCAATAATCAAAATGGAAAAAACATGAAAAAAATATTTTTTGATCAGATAATTGTTTTATAGGCCAGCGAATGACGCAAGCTTTACGTAAACAAGTATTCGGGTCAATAATGAAGCAGGAACCTGCGTGGTTTGGGAATACTTCTACTGGCGAGCTTGTTAATAGATTATCCGCTGATACCCAATTGGTAGGACGAAATCTTAGCTCAAATGTTAGTGACGGTCTACGGTCATTATTCATGGTCGGAGCAGGTACAGGAATGATGGTTAGTAAAGCAATAAATATGAAAAACATACTTTCTTTTATTTTTTCATGATAAATAAAAAATTCTGACTTCATATGATTCAAAATGATCTTTTTACATTCTCCTTCATCCTTGTGTATTTTTAAAAGTAAACAATAATTTTTACATTTGTTGTTTTAACTTGAGAAATGGTTTTAATTAATTTTTTTGAAAATGTAGTGTATGATATTTCTTAAAGTTATTTTATGCTATTTCAGGTGAATTGAAAATTTTACTGTATTTATTATCGCAATATTTTATATCGTTTTTAGTTCTACATGTCCCCATCATTGGCCTTGATAGGGTTGTGTGTGGTTCCTCCTGTTTCGGTGTTGGCAGTGATATATGGACGTTTTGTGAGGGGCATTACAAGACAATTACAGGATGCTCTGGCAGAAACTAGTGAGGTAAATATTGATGGTAGTAAAGGAAAAATAGTTCATTAATATTGGTCAATAACATTTAATTAAAAGCAAATTTATCTTCAAATAATGGATTGAAGTGATATCTTTCTTCCTCTTTTAGTTATTTGTGGTTCCTTATAGATTTCGCTAATATCATGATTGAATATTATACTGTGCTATGTAAAAAGGTATTTGTGAATGAACTAAGTGATAAGTCAAATCACTAGTTTCTGATAAGAACAGATAGTGTCAAATCAAATTTATTAACAGACATTTGTAAAGATAGTACAAAATTAAAAATAAAAATAAATCTCCACACAGTAGTAATAATTAAATTAAGATTAATAAAAATAATGTTGACATTTTCAAAAAATCCACAATTCCAGTGTGAAAGACGTCATAGCATAAAAAGAAGTTTAAATAATTATTGTTGTAGAAACTTAAATTACTGAATTTTTTAACCCATTCAACGGTTCGGTGTTTTAATAGATGCGTACAAAAAATATAAGCAAAGAAAATATTGTTTTAATAAAATTTTAAAGCACAATATACCTATTAAAAAAAGATGTCTGTCTCAACTTGTTTAGTGCAGTCCTCGAAAAAATTTTACAAGTAAAATCTTATATTTTTTACTTTTACAGTTGGCAGAAGAAAAAATATCAAATATAAAGACTGTTAAGTCATTTAGCAAGGAACAAAAAGAATATAATTCTTATGCACAAAGAATTGAATCATTGCTGAAACTGGCTTATAAGGAGTCACTTGCTGTTGGCAGTTTTTATGGTTTGGTATGAATTATTTAAGATAGAATAATTTTAAGTTCTCCATTTTTTATTTTCCTTTTTTTTAAATATACATACTTAATTCCGTTAGTGACGATTTCTAATTTAATTAAACTAGAGAAATTGTTTATAGGTCTTTCAATGTAGATTACTTATTATTAAAATTTTGTTACAAAAAAAAAGTTTTTAGAAATAAAATAAATACTGCATGGTATCCCTTCGAGTTGAAGAAGTGAAATTTTGTAATGTTGAAATGAAATAAATTATACAGGATGACTGGTGAATTACTATCGATACTTGAGGACGTGATATTTGACGATCATATATGACAAAATAAAAATTAATATAACATAAATATTAATAAACTTCTAAGTAAAGTTTACCAAAAGTTATGTAATTAATTACGCATCGTGTGAACACCCTACAGATTAGGTATACACACACACGCACGCGTGCGGCGGCGTGGTGTTGTATCAGCACGCCGCCGCACGCGTCCACACTTGGAACACTTGGAACGTGTCCACACTTTATTTATTTATACGGAAATTTGGTCAAAAATTAAGTACCTATTTTTTTTACATATTTCGACTGAGAATCATGTACCGAGTATTCTCCTTAAATATTGATAGTAATTCACCAGTCACCCTGTATATGTATTCTATCAAAACAAAAAATAATTAAAATTTTAAATGAATTCATTTAGAATAACAAGTATTTAAGCTAATTTCATGACGCTCGCACTGTTTACTTCGCTGTATAGCAAGAATACTATGAGGCATTAGCAAGTGTTTGGAATCTACCGACACACTATTTCTCTTTTCTACTTTGTACATTTTTTGTATCTTTCTTTCTCTTTCCCTCAGCGTAAAACGTTTAACGCAACCTTGTTGCATAAGAAATTTCACTTAAAAAAATTGTGTAGTATGTATTGCAATTGTGGTCTAGTTTTCCTAAAATTTTGTTATTAACATTTTTTATTTATTTACAGACTGGTCTTTCAGGGAACACAATAATTATACTAGTTTTATACTATGGAGGTGGCATGGTTGCTACGGAACAATTAACAGTTGGCAACCTAACTTCTTTTCTACTATATGCAGCCTATGTTGGTATAAGTATTGGAGGTTTGAGTAGCTTCTATACGGAACTCAATAAAGGCATGGGGGCGGCAACCAGGTTGTGGCAGATTATAGATAGGGAACCTAAAATACCAGTTACAGGTTACTTTGTGTTGTTTTTTTAAAGTCAATATTTTTAATAATTAAAGTCAATATTTTTAAATTAATTAATCAACGATTTGCCATATATTTTTCTGTCGTATTTCTTATATATTTAAAAACTACACTAACTGCATGAACAGTCTAAATTGTACGCACGATTAAAATTTTCGTCCCAAGTTTGTAATTTTGTACAAAATTATTTAACGTCAAATTAATTCTTTAAGTATACATACATTTAACCAGTTACCATTTCAGGTGGACTTCGACCAAAAAGCAGACCGAGAGGTGAAATAATATTAGAGAATATTCACTTCACATATCTTGGGGCCCCATTATTAAGTGGTCTCAATTTGCATTTACTGCCGGGGAAGAGTGTGGCATTGGTTGGTCGTTCTGGATGTGGGAAAAGTACTATAGCCTCGCTTATACTAAGATTGTATGACCCGGAGAGAGGAAGAGTCTTGTTAGATGGTGTTGATATTAAACAGTTGGATCCTGTCTGGTTGAGGAGTCATATCGGTTTTGTTAGTCAGGTACATATCTTAATATACGTTTTTGAGAAATTTTGATCCAATTAAATAGTAATATGTATTACTAATATAGTATCGATATTTAAAATTTTCAATAATTTCGATTACTTTATGTGAAAAATAATTATAGTTTATGTGTGATTTTCAAATAGTTTTCAGTTTGTAGTGATGCATTTTAGTAGTATTTTTTAAATTTCATAAATTCATCATTCCCAAATAGTTTTTTTTTATTATTTCGTTCATACTTGCAACTTCATATAAATTTTTGGTACTGTCAGCTACAGCCTTTGGTATGATTTAAGATTTATTAATTTTCTTTCAGGAACCAGTTCTATTCACGGGCTCCATTAAGGATAATATTTTATATGGTGCTCCTGATGATTATGATCCTTCGCGTGAAGGGAAGGTAATGAAAATATACACTGATCTGTTTTTTTTTATGCATGTATGTATATGATTAATGAAATATCAATTAATTATAATATCAAAATTATTAACACCATTTCGGTATTTCTTTGATACATTTTTTTTTAATGTTTCGTCCTCAATAAGGATAAAAGAAACTTGCTTAAGTCGAATTATGAAAGACTAAATATTTATTATAGTAGCAAATTCAGTCTTTATTTATTATAGTATCAAGAAGATAAATTTTAATTATCTTTTTAAGATTTCATTAGGTAATTGAAAATACACTGTGATTTATTTATTTTCTACTGCAACAATAAATACACAATTATTCAGGAATCTATTATGTCTTTTCAATAATCGATTTGTTATCTAATTATTATTATAAAGTATAAACATAACTATTTCATCAAGTGAGACATTATAAAGCGTTGATTATTTTGCTTAGAACAATTTTATTAATATATATGGCCTCTTTACTAGGATCCTTCATGGTTGGTAGCGGCTCGGGCTGCCCAATTGCAAGAGGTCGCAAGTGGTAGTGGAGCAGGCTGGGAGAGGGATGTGGGCGCAAGGGGAGGACAACTCAGCGGCGGGCAGAAACAAAGGGTAGCCATAGCTAGAGCTATTATAAAGGTGAGTATATATGAGTTTAATATGATACTACTGGAAGTCTTATGGCAGAGGTCATCAATCATCTTGCAATGGGTCTAGGATTTGGAAGTCTTAGAAAAATCGTCGCGCAAAAAGCGATTTAGCCGGATAATGGAATATTAGTGGATTTTACCAAAGTAAATATATGAGTGAGGGTAGATTTCAACAGTCGTGTAATTAGCATTTACCTAAAATGAACTTGTGATTTTAACAAGTTTCTGTTTATATGTAATATCGAAACGTTCTTTGATTGTTTACTACATAGCTTTACCAGCTAAATTAATGGAGTAATAGAAAAACACAGCAAACTCTTATGAATTAGTTATTTAATTGTGTCTTTCTTTTAATAACATTTTTTGATGTTGTCTTAGGCAACTATGAAAACAGAATTAGATGAAAAAAATGTGTAGAGTTTTAGGTACGATCGAGCTGACATGAGTGTAACTTATAAAAAGGTTCATAATAACAAGAAACTACAGTATATAATACATAATTACAAATTTTTACAATATGATACATATATTTAAGGAATCAAATTTAAAGATACGACCTAGATTACAAAAAGCTTTATGTTGAAGATGTCCATAGATCTTTGGAAACACCAGTCTTATCCCTTCAACATGTCTTCTTCTGTTTAAAAAAAAACAGGGATAGAGATGCATCTCGTCTTTAACTAGTAAGATTGCATCTAAGAAGTGATTTACCTTTCTAAAGGATTTTCTCGTAGTATATTTCTTTGACGACAATATTAAAGGCTTCCAACCTGGTGTTGTAGTTTAATGTGTTTCTTGTTGGAAACTGATCTATATTTCTCACTGTCTTAGAAAATAAAATTGGGGTTTTTCTTATCTTATTATTGGTATTTGCTTCTTGAATGTGATAGGCTCTATGATAAAGTGTAGAATTGTAGTTCAGATCAGATAAGAAAAATAGATCTTTATATCATCGACTCGAACAAAGTGCCCTGAAGGTAAAGAATTGCATTATAGTGGTGAATCTTTGTTAAGGGTCCAAAGTTGCGTTTTCAATTCTTCCATGACCAAAGGCAATAGAGAACATTTTGTGTTAACTTCTCCTGAGGACGTTTTATCCTTTCAAATCTCCAGATACATGATTTTCACTAAGAAGTACCAATATACAATAATTATTGAACAATGTACTTGAATTGTTATTTAATTTGACTTCAATAACTTCTTATCTTAGTTTTATTACAAATACGATAACTTTCGCTTATCTTAAGACCATTGATTTTTAATATATCATTACCTGATACCTTTTGTTTAGAATCAATAAAGCATGTGTCAGATGCAAGATATAATTAATTTTGAATTAGATATATTATATCAAAGAAAACTTTTTAACCCTAGACAAAAGAAGGATGTTATAAGCATGACGTCAATGTTTCCGTTGCCTACGACCCAGCTTTGTTTTCGTCATTTTCCTTGCTCTTTTGTTGACCTCCTTGCCAAGATGAATGTCTCCCAGAATTAGACAACCTCCGTCTATGTCCTCTCTTTACCATAGCCTGGACGTAGTCCAGTCCAGAGTTTTTTGTAGAATTGAATACATATTTTGTATTAAATGTATATTTGGTATTACAATTCTCTTACCGAATGAAATCCACTTCAAAATTAATTCTTACCGATTACCATCAACAAATAAACAAATACACTATAATTGCATACAAAATTAACTTTTGTTCTACAGAATCCAAAAATCTTGATACTAGACGAAGCAACGTCAGCATTGGATGCGTATTCCGAACATTTAGTGGACAAGGCGTTGAAAGATATAAGCAGAGATCGTACAGTCCTTACAATAGCTCATCGCCTCAGTACTATACAGTCAGCTGACGAGGTCGCTGTAATCGGTCAAGGGGCTATAATAGAAAAGGGAACATACAACGAACTCATAACAAAACCCGGAGGTTATTTCAGAGAGCTCATAACACACCAGACATTCTCCGGTTCGAAACCGAAGAACAATAAAGATTTACAAAGCAATTGATGTATATATATTTATTAATAACTAATGTTATTTAAATGTTTTGTTAATTATCTGTTGTACTATATCGGTAAATGGTTAGTTTTTGGTTATTATTAATGTGGTTGTCATTGTATAGCGTATTTATTAAAAAAAAAATAAGGTACAGATAACGAATTATATGACTATTTATTTATTATAAAACCTTAAAGACATTTATTCATATATATGTTGTATGCAATTGGATGCATGTTATTTTAATTGAAAGTATACGCGCAGTATGCTTTGATTATCTAAATGACTTAATGGGTTCGGTTGCAGCAAACCTCTTGTGGACTTTGGACATGACGAAAATATCAACAAAACAATTTTAATGCGATACATAAAATGTGTTCTATTGAAATATATATTTAAATGTACGGGTTACGGATTATTGAAATTGTAATAAAGTGGTCGTTTTCTTTATAAAGCGTTTTATTTTATATACCTTTTATTTTTTTCATATTTATAAATACACATTAATGACATAAAAAAGGGGGACATTTTATTATATCAAAATCGAACTGTTGTAGAAATAAGAAGTGCTGTTAAAGAAAATAATATTCTGTTTACATAAATATTACGTTTTGAAGATTAATAATATTGATATAAAATTTAATATGCCAATTTAATTATGATAAATATCTACGGAATTTAACCGTTTAAAGTTCAGTCAAAACGTAAATATATATAAAAATAATCACTTGTTTTTATAATAATATATAATGATGACAATTATTTTTTTATCAGAAATAATAAAGTACTATTTTTCTGTGGATTAATCGATGGACCTTGCCCTGTGACGCTCGCGACGTTCGCGCCAAGCGTTCGAAGAGACCGCTTTCAACATTTACGCGCTAACATTAGGCGGGAAAACATTCCGAGCGGGAATATGTCTCATTTGAAAATATTACGCGGGAATTTAGCTCATAGAATTCTAAGTAATTTAACAACAAAAGCAAAATGTAAAAAAGTAAGACAATATCACGTATCTAATCGTGATTTAGCGATTAAAACAGCGACGGTGATCGAGCATAATGTTTTAAGTTCTCCGTGGGGTGAAATTACTATAGGAAACGAGACCTTAACTCAACACGTATTTCAAGATGTAGAAAGATGGTCGGACGCTCCCTGTGTGGTAAGTACTATTAAATATAAATAAAAATCAGTGCAGTAACTAAAAATATATTTTCCGTCGCAAATTACAACTTAATGGTAGAAAGATAATCGACGCGACTCAGTTGTTTTCATAATTGTCTCGAGTACAAAGTTCGAATGATCTATAAACATACGGATGCAGTCGCTAGTTATGATAGGAGATTATTAATAGACTCCGAAGGTTGAGGCTACCTGAAAACATTTGGCATCAGAACAGATATTACTGTCATGAAAAAAAAATACCCCATTTATAGTTACGAAATCAAAAGTTACTAACTCAGTAAATAAACATTCTATAAAAATAAAATAATTCATTTTATATGAAATAATTATAAATCAAATGATATAAGATTAATAAAACAATTTATATTTTTAAAATAAAATATCACTGACAATTACCTATATTTTTCTAAGTACATACTTCGTTAATTACTTATTGGTAGTTGAATAGAGCTTTATTTTAGATACATATGAGATGAAAGTATATAAATTAAATTAGTTATTATTTTATATAGCAATAAAATAACAATTCATTTATGTGCAAGTAAATCTTTCTACTGTAATGTATTGGCAGTATACCTTAATGCAAAAATTTTAAAGGAAAATTATATCTCGGAAAAATTGCTAAGTAAACATTGAGACATATAAATATTTGTCTACTGATAAATTAGTTATAGAACTTAAACGATATACTGAGTCATTCTCTTATGATACTTATCGCTAACAATGTTATCTTGGGTTGTGGATACACTGATTATTTGTTATTTACGTAAGATTTTTCAACGGATACCTTTTAACACGCGTGATTTTATTCATAACACCCTTGAAATTTGTAAAAAAACGAATATAAAAATTAACAAAAACAATTTCATAACGAAAATACAAGATAAAATATAATTTAAATGTAACGGTTTTTTTGTCGTCTTATTTTTGAACGGATTTATTCAATTGATAATTTAAACAGAGGTAATAATTTCAAATTCCTAAAAAATATATAATATGTATATATATATATATATATATATATCTATACTAAAATTACTTCAATAAATCACAATATTGACGATATTGTACACTCAGTAAAATCTAAACGCTGCCCTTATTGCGTATGACGAGTCACCTTTACCCTTAAAAGGACTCGCAATGACTTCATTAAAGACAATTAATTAAATTCAAACAGACCATTTAGATATTTACTCAAAATAGAAAAAATAATTTTGATTTTTTTTCATGTATCTATGTATGTTTACCTACCATTGTATTATTTGCCAAGATTTATGAATGAAAATCTCCATTTCTGTTTAGCTTGATGATTCAAACTGGCGTAAAAAAACTGAGCTTTTATATTAATAAATATTTAATCTAATATATAAGTGATATATATTAAAATAGATTACTTGTATAGACATGCGGTGCATCGGGTCGTTCATACGACTACGGTATGATGAGGATGTTGATTGATAGATGTGCGAACGCTCTCGCCGGCCATTTGAAACTAACGCCGGGTGAGAGAATAGGTCTCATACTACCGAATCTACCTGAATTCGTAGTGCTTATACATGGTGCTATGCAAGCTGGCCTTGTAGTTACATTCGCGAATCCCCTGTATACAGCTGGTAAGTTAATAATTAATATTCAAAGATTAAACTTTGATTTATATGACAGTTATTATAACAGTTCAGAAATTTCACCAAAAATGTGAATGGAATTAAGAATGATTTTTTGTCATAAATAATGTTCAAGGAAATATTTACGACCTAGAAAATTATTTAATCATAATAAATGTTTATAATTAAAATTATCAGTACTATAAATGAACCGTATCACTTGTGAGTGAGTAAGATAACTCATTAATTCCGCTTCACCAGACCATGAAAAATAATAATTTATCAGGCACGTGTTTGGAACTGTTTATGTTGTATACAAATAAAGTAAATTACAATCAGTCATATATTACTCTGTGTCTGTTTGATAATAACTATTTATATACTACTAGCTTTCCGCACGCAGTTTCACTCGCGTGGAGTTCGGTTATATCGCGTTTCCAAGAGAACCTTCCAAAAGTCTGGGATAAAAACTATTCTATATTCTTTCTCAAGGTCAACTCTATCTCTGTACCAAATTTCATTAAAATCAGTTTAGTGGTTTAGGCGTGAAAGCGTAATAGATAGACAGACAGACAAAGTTACTTTCGCATTTATAATATTAGTAGGAATTTTACTGTTTCTTATTAAATAAACTGCATGTCTTCAAGAATAATTATCGTAACATAATTAGAATCGGGATACATTTTTCAGATGAGGTCGGACGCCAATTTTCTGATTGTGGAGTAAAAGCTATTGCAACTATTGAGATGTTCATGCCAGTTGCTGAAAAAGTCAGTAAAATGTTAAAAGACTACAAAGGTACCATTTGGGTTGGAGGCGATGACGATAAAGTAAAAGGTGAATAATATAAAGAAAAGTTACATTAAAATAATTACTATAAAGGATTTTAGTTTTAATGGATAATTTACAATTGTTGTCTTAGCTATTGAACATGAAAACAATGATATGATGATAAAATGTTAATTATATGATAATGATATGATAACGTTATACGATTTGTATGGAACACATTACCACATTAGACATATATTCATAGTGTCAAGCTTGCAACAGTCAGCCTCATATAAAATATACATGTTGCTATTTGTTTTGGAAGAATTATTTAGGAAATTGAAAGTAGGATTCAGAGCTTCTAAAAATTTAGCAGAATTAATTGTGGGTTTTGATCTAATTGACACTATTATCTTCTACGTATTAGAATTCAAGTACCTAGTTAAAGTTTTTCCTGTTTCAATTTTTCTTTGAATTAAAGTGCTACATTAATTCCTCAAGGTATATATGGCCTGAAATCCTTACTAATGGCTGATCATAAAGCCGATTTGCCGACTTTAAATTGTGATGACGTGTGTTTGGTCCCATACTCAAGCGGAACGACGGGTTTACCTAAAGGCGTTATGTTAACACACAAGAACTTAGTGTGCAATCTCAAGCAGGTTCAAGTGCCGAAGATGATGAAGTATGAAGGGGAGAAAGGTATTATTTATTGGACAATTAGAAGAGACTTAGTTTAATAGTTTCGATACGTTTTTCTATAAGAAAAAGCTTTGTATCAAATTTTGGTTCTTGATTACCAATTTAGTAGGCGTTTTTTTAACCTTATATTAAAATTTCATGGAATATTAACTCAATGACAAGTGCCGTCTCTGGTTTAACTGTTTAATTGTGTTCTTCTGTATTTATGTGTCTCTGACTTTTATTTTCAGGTAAAGGAGACGTTATTCTAACAGTTCCACCGTTTTTTCATATCTATGGCTTTAACGGGATACTCAACTACAATCTCATATTAGGATACCATTTAGTGTCTATTCCAAAGTAAGTACCTACTTCACTAACTCAAACCTTAACTGGTCTTAGTTTTTTTTTAAAGCTATAAAAGTTTTTGTCTAGTTACGTATGATTCTCTAAATTCAAATGCCACAATTAAATTATCATGATTGGAGTAATAAACATTAACAAGGCCCTTTTATTGGTGCTGTTTGTTATAAATGATTTGATGTACTTGACCTATTTATGACGTATCACAGTTTTAGTAATATTTATGTCCTATTGGTGACCATTGAAGTTGAAAAACTTAGGCCTACAAACAAAATTATTTATTACTAGCTTTCCGCCCGCAGCTTTGCCCGCGTGGAGTTCGGTTATATCGCGTTTCCAAGAGAACCTTTCAAAAGTCCGGGATGAAAACTATCCTATGTTCTTTCTCGAGGTCAACTCTATCTCTATATCAAATTTCATTAAAATCAGTTCAGTTGGTTTAGACCTGAAAGCGTAACATACAGACAGAGTTACTTTCGCATTTATAATATTAGTAAGGATTGTATAAGATGGGTAGGGAATAACTCTTAGGACTACATAATATTTGGTCTAACTTAAATTTTCTATTCAGATTCACGCCAGAAGATTATATCAACTGTTTGATAGAGTACCAGCCAACTACGTTGTTCGTGGTTCCGTCTTTGCTAGCTTTTTTGGCGACTCATCCTTCCGTGAAGAAGGAACATCTTCAGTCCGTTGAAACCATTATGGTTGGAGCCGCGCCCACTACTGACAGCATGCTAGAGAAGTTCCTCATTAAATGCGAGAAGAGCAAGGACCAGATCAAGTTGCTTCAAGGTATTTTAATCCATACAATATCTAATAAATCAAAATGTAACATCAATATTGAAAATGCGAAAATTTGTGAGAGTATATGGCCATATTCATGACTTTTTCAGGCAAAACCTACTAAATAGATTTTGATGTGCACTTTATAGTAATTTTACTCATCAAAATAAAATATGAGCTATAATTTAACCTAAATACGATCATGACATAACAAATGTGTTTGCTATGAAGTCAAGTCACAGTCTATAAATATAGTTGGCGTTTGTTTATATATTATATACCATCGACATATATTTATGGACGTGCCCTACGCGTATAATATGTAGTAATTTTTTGGTTTGAAAAGAGTGAGAGAGATGGCCTATGCTTTCGGTCTAGCACTATCTCTTTCCTCATAGATGATTGACGCTTAGTTTTCATGACAAGCACGGCATATAAATTATCGAGAAGGGGCTCATAACGTTTAATCATGGTACTATTTTGAGAGAGATAAAGATAGACCGAAAATTCGTTTCCTCTCTTACGGAGTGCCACAATTCTCATCTCTAAGGCATGTCCATTAGTATATGTCGATGTTAGATACGTTACACAAAACCGGTATATCTTGAGCTCTTTAAATTAACCCATATATTTATATCCAGGTTACGGTATGACAGAGAGTTCCCCCGTGACGCTGATGACTCCATACTCGTACCCGTACAGTAAGGTGGGCTCCGTGGGTCAGCTGGTGCCGTCCACTCAGGCTAGAGTGACGTCACTCACTGACGGCACACCTCTTGGACCACATCACAGCGGGGAGCTGCTTCTGAGGGGTCCGCAGGTCAGTTGGATTTTGTTAATGTACTGAGCTATATACAGTGCCGGCGTTAGGGGGGGCGCGATGGGGCGACGGCCCAGGGCGCCAAATTTGGGGGGGCGATTAGTGGAGTTAGGATACTTATAAAAGAAAAAAAAAGGAGCTACATAACTTTCTACGTCCACGTCATTAGCTCTGGGTCACGCTAAAGGAAAGATGGAAGATGGCAGATGGAATATAGAATTCTTAATACACGTTCAGTGTTCACATTGGTTCAGAAAAAAATTTATACTCGATTTTGATTTCTTCAAGTGGGCGCCAAAATATTCTTGCCATTCAGGCCCTCTAACGCCGGCACTGGCAATATATAGGATCCACTGATGGCTGACCCCCTGATGACGTCACTGATGAAATACTTCTACTTGGTCCACAGGTCATTCAGTCATTAAGTATTGGTGAAGTAGAATACTAGAATATGAGTAGCATCTAAAAATAGACGTTATTATACGATGTTATTATTGTGACGTCATTGAATAGTTGTGATAGTCAATTTTGTATTTTATTGGTAAATGAATAAAGTTTTGAGTTTCATTGCTTTTGTGAGACATAACTGTTGACAATGTAGATAATAAAATATTTAGTTAATTGATTAGTTAAGATCAGTTTAAATTGAAGTATGAGGAAGTTTTTGTTTCACGTTCAGAAATGAACGTCGATATACTTAGTCTTTAAATTTTTATACACAACCAATGTATATAATAAAATATGTAATGGCTTGATTTAAATGAAGAAGTATTTATATATCCCAATTTTTGGTATATAACTATATTTTTTTTATTGTGATTATTTAATAAAAAAAAACTAATAATATTCCATATACGAAAATTTTAAACTGTACAGGTAATGAAAGGTTATTGGAACAATGAGAAGGCGACCGCAGAGACTGTTGACAGTGAGGGCTGGCTGCATACAGGCGACGTGGCATATTACGATGAGGACGGGTACTTCTATATAGTTGACAGAACCAAAGAACTTATTAAAGTTAAAGGGAACCAGGTGGGTTGTTTCTTTTTCATAAGATTCGGTCATAAGATCTTTGCCATAAAGTTGAAATTTAAAAAAAATAGACGTGTATGTAAATAATAATTTTGCAAGTTGATGTTTTCAGGTGTCACCAACAGAAATTGAGAGTATAATCATGGAAATGCCTGAAATAGCGGATGTCGCGGTCGTGGGAATCCCTGATGCGTTAGCCGGGGAAGTACCACGAGCTTTCGTCGTTCTGAAACCGGGAAGTAAATTGACAGAAAAAAATATTTACGATGTCGTAGCACAGAAACTTACTAAGTATAAGCATCTCGAAGGGGGTGTTGTATTCGTAGAGGCTATTCCAAGAAATGTAGCTGGTAAAATATTGCGTAATGAACTTAAAGTATTAGGTAGGAAGAAGTGAGTTAGTAGGAATAAGATTAGAATTTAGGCAGTTAATTTTGTTATAGAAAAAATCGTGACTAGTAACTATTAGTACTTTAGATAAAAAAAAAATATTTCAAATGTACAGAATGGCTGTAAAAATAGTATAGACTGATATATTACTAATAGAATTTTGTACTTATATACTCACTGTACATTATTATACAATGTATTCTTTTCTACTTATTATGGTTATTTTATTTTTAAGTATAAATTATGAAAAAATAAAGTTTTCAGTATTTCATGTTGAAATCATTTGAGTTTTTGAGTGCAATAAATTGTTTGTTATAAATGCTATTGTTTAATTTTTTATTTTTGTATATTATTTAATTTAGAATTTATTAGTAAGCTGTTGTTTTACCAAAACCAATTATAAAGATCTCTCATCCCAAACATTAAAGTACTACGTCGGATCTATATTGTATATAAAATGATTCTAATTGTTATTTTTAGTCCAGGAAACAAACCAAATAAAACAACTTTGGAACAGATTAATTTGGAATCTTTATTTTCTATTTAAAGCATCTAGTAATTCTTGAAATTAAATTATATTTAAATAATTATTGCTTCTAATAAGTAATACAATACATCATCAAGCTTCCTTACTTAAGAGATCTTAAATTAATGTATCAAATGAATATGCACAAAAATGTCTATTGAATATTATAGTCAAATAAGAAATTAGGTTTCGGAAACTTTTGTGTTTGTCAAGTTTTCTGTATCAGGAGATGGGTCTTCCTTTTTTTCCGATACCTCTTTAACTTCTGCCTCAACAGGAGTTTTTTCAGTGTCTGGTACATTAGTTGCAGGTAATTCAGAGTTGACATCGGATATTGAATAGTTTTCGGATTCTAAAGTAGGTGTTTCTTTAACTGGCTCTACGGGTTTAGCATCTTCCATAGGTTTATCATTTTCTTTATCTTGTTCTTGTACAGGATTTTCGGGCATTACTTGTGGTGGTTGTTCTACGTGAATGTCTGTTTGTTCTTCGGTCTTGGGTGAGTTACTGTTGCCATCAATGTTATCGCTTGACGAGGAACTTTCTTCACTCGATGACGATACTTCACTATGTATTTTGTTATCTTCTTCTTTGGAAATAGAATCCGAGCTGCTATCATCCATGGATGTGGGTGTATCAATAGCATTTTGAGTATTTTCCTTTGATACCCCAGAATCTATGGTTTCAGATACTTTTGATTCTACAAGTTTTTGCTCGGTCATTTCAGCGTCGTCAACTTTTATTTCAGGTATGATTAAAACTTCGTTTGTGACTTCCGATTTCATTTCTTCATCCTCTTTGACTACGGGGGGTTGTTCTTCAGTATTATTGTTCTTGATATCATCACTGGTTGATGCAACCGCATTATCCAAGGGTTTCGGTTTCGGTGCATTATCTAACATTTGCTCATTTGCATTCAAGTCAGATGGAGTCTCGGATACGTATTGAGTTGTAGATTTTTCCTCACTGTTAACAGTAGTATCTTTTTTGGTGTGTAATCTCGTTTCAATGTCTTCAACATTAATGTGGGCTTCTGATGAACTAGGCTGTGGTTCGCAATTCTGTCGCGACTCGGGATTATCTTTCCATGACATATCCTCCATTTCAACATCAACATTATAATCAGAATTATTATCTGATCCATTCACAATAGGTTCACCATTCTCTGGATGTCGTTGATGACCAGGTTCCCTTGTACTTACAACTAAAATGTTTTTCTCAATCGCTCTCATAAATTTATCAACTCGATTGTACTGTTTCCGCGGGTAGGTGAGAAGCTCGCATATTCTTTGAACGGTAAATGGGGCAGAGTTGAATGAATCCAATCTTTCTACTAAACTGTTTTTCATACTATCGTAGTTGAACGCATTTACATTCGGATATGGTGGTATATCGATGCCTGGAGTAGTCTCGTAGAAGTCGGTTATAACGTTAAGTAATTTTTCTTTGAACAAACTCTTAACGAGAGACCACTGATAGACGGGATCACCGGTACGCGCTACATAGGCTAAATAATCGTTCAGTTCTTGTGGTATTGTTTTTCGTTCACATTTTGAAAAATCTTCAAGGAAATGAAAAATCTCTTCAGCATTTTCCATCATGACTGTGATTCTTAGAATATGTACCAGAACAACGATACAACAAAACAACACTGTAGTCAGATCAATGACACTATTCTCAATTGCAAACCATAGATATATACATACAGGATATAAATACTTTTAACCTCAGCAATCAGTAACTAGTTATGATCATATATAAACTTATTTAAAAAATTCGTTTTTTTCAATACCTTTATTTAAAAACATTAATAATTTCGAAAATAATAAATGTCTGGCATTCTATAAATAGTGTTAGGAGTTACGAATATGTCAACCGTCAACCGTCAGACGTCTCAAGTCACACTAATTGGTCATTGGTGGTTGTCAAAAACCTGAGAAAGTAGGGTTTATTAGTAAAAACAGAATTATTATATTATAATTATGAATTCTGTAATGAGAAGAGCATTTTTTCCTATTTATAACAACACATTTAAATCATCTTATCGGCTTTTTGCTGACAAATCGATAAACGATAAAATTGATACTATCGTTAAAAATAATAAAGTGGTTGTTTTTATGAAAGGAGTTCCTGATGCTCCGCGATGTGGTTTCAGCAACGCTGTGGTTCAGATTATGAGAATGCATGCCGTTCCTTATGAGAGTTGTGACGTACTGGCTGATGAAAATATCAGACAAGGTAAGAAAAAACTATATTCATTATATAATATTTTATTTAAAAATTAATGATAAAATATTGTTATTCAGGAATAAAAGAGTATTCAAACTGGCCGACTATACCCCAAGTATTTATCAATGGTGAGTTTGTCGGTGGTTGTGACATAATGCTACAGATGCATCAATCGGGGGAACTCGTTGAAGAATTAAAGAAAGTTGGTATCAAGAGCGCACTTCTCACAGCAGAGGAAGCTAAGAAAGAAAATAGCAAGTAGATTAGAATTTTTAATATAAAAATGTATAGTCATATATATAAACTAATTACATGTTACTATGTAAATGTTTTCTTTTTGTTACATGAGTAAAAAAAAGACATCTATTCTGTGTATTCTAAAAATCTGATCTGAGAATCCTTGATTCTTATAGCATATAAAGTATGCAAGTCATTTAAGTATATTGTAAAATATGTGAAAAAATTTAACACATTATTATGAACATCCATATATATGTTACATTTTCTTTTGTGTCAATTTAAATTTCTAATGTACCTATCTATAAAATGGTTCAGGTTTAAATTTGGTACTCATCATTAATATAATTTAAACTCTGGTGATAAAATATTTAATTAACATATCAAACCTGTTTTTGTATTAGATTTGATTCAGACAGTCATTATTTTGATAAAAATAGAAAATGGTTTGGTTGAAAACTAAATTGATTAACAAATGTATTTTATGTGCATAATTTAAAGAAATTATTTCAAATGTATATTGCACTTTGTATCCCCAGAATAATGTATATGTTTGTAGTTTGAAGTTAGAAATAAATTCAAATAGTTTTTCTGTAGACATGCTTTTGCAATGTTTCATTATTAGCTTAAAATTGACTTGCACAATTATTTGATGGTGATGGCCAATTGTATGATTCAATTAAAAGTAGTGCATTAAAAATATAGTTCCTATAGTGTTACATTTTATTCATTGTTTCCTATAAATTTATTATATGTATGACAAATAAAAGAAAAATTATTTAGGAGCTCTTTATTAAATTAGCTGTACATTCGAGTTAGTATACTTTTTGGGCACATAATTCATTCTTAGTCTACATACCACTGCTTCCTCATAATATAATTGGTTGGATTAACAACACAGTCATTATTAAAAGACAAAAAAGTATGGCAGATCATTTATTTGGAGTACTCATACCAAAATACTCTTACAAACGATTATCATATAAAAAATTACATTCAAATGATAAAATAAATAGATGCAGGCAAGTTATGGCATTCTATGATATATAAATAATTTGTGTGACTCTTCCCTGCAACATTTATGAAATTAGATAACTTAATATGTTAAGGAACCTACCACAGAAATAGAATATTACTAATGGCAGTAAAAATCAAACTTGTATATAAATAATGTTTGCTTATAAATAAATAATATGTAACAAAAAAAACATTCTCTCAATGTGAATGAGTCTTATTTTGGTGTCACACATTAGTCAAGCCTAACATTAGCACCATACTTTTACTTAACAGTAACTTTTTGTGACTTCCCAGATTATAATTTCGTAAAAAAAGTTAAAAATACCTAATCTATGATATAAATAGTATTGTTAAAATACAGACAATTCTTCTGATTTGAGCCAAAGTGAATAGGGAGAAGAATTTCATGGTAAAAAAGTTAATGGCATATTTGGTTTTATCATTGCACATTTTTAATACAGAACTGATTTTAATACTAAAACCACAAAAATTGTTTCGCTTTAAATTGACCTGATTAGGGCGACTATATAGTAGGTCAAAATAATGGAAATAATTTTTGTGTTGTGATTCCGACACAGCATCGTCCCCATCCTTGTTAGTGTTTGTGGCGACTAGGCAAAGATCTTCTTGACGTTTGAGATGATCACCCTCTCAGGGATTCTTCAGACGATTCCTGGTTATAAGACCTGTATCTAAACATTGTGAAATGTTTAATCTGTTATGATAATGAAATTCATGTTTTAATAATGTTAATAATTTTATCATGTAATAATTATGTGACTTATGGAAATTATTCTATAGACACTGAACCAACGATAATAGTAAATATGCCAGAAAATTTTATCTTTAGTGTCAAAACTTGATATATTAATTTTATTAAAGTCTATATATTAATAAAAAACAGATGAATGTTTTAGGTATTGTTATTCTTTCGAAAAAAGAATGTTTTCTGGATATAATGTGTAGTTAAATTTTATATAGGTAAGATTTGTATGGGTCAAAGAGCAGAAGAATGTGAAGTTTAATTATCCCTAAACATTAGATTCTGTGTGTGTATATCTTTTTGTGTATGTATAGTAGCGGCCACGTGATTTGGCAAGAGATGAAAATTGCGTCGAATGGAATATTTAGGTGTCATGGATATCATGGGAGACGGCACAATTCCGTGCACGTGATTGGATGTTCGCTCCAGAGTACACTCGCCAGAACTAAAACTGACCCATTGTTTTTGCTACTGCTAACCGATTTTGTTATTGAAGAGCGTCAAAAGTAATCACTTTTTATTTCACTAAGTGTGTATGCGCAAACCTATCAAGATATATGGGGGCAACTGTGTGTATTTTTACATGCGTAAATTTATAGCATGCATTTTTACATGCGTAAATTTATAGCAAAAACCTTGCCAATTTACGTGCCGGCAATTTTGTGCTTTTGTGTATGCTTGTGTACAAGTTATATGTATGTGTGTGTGTGAACGCACTTAGAGGTCAGTCTCCCCGTAGAGCGCGGTGGAGAAGGCCATGTAGTCGAGTGCGTGTGGCGGAGCGTTCGGTCCGCGGTATGGCGGCATGCGAGCCACGCAATACTCTGCCTGGTCGGGAGGCAGCTCGCGACGCAACTCCTCCGCAGTTATATACGGCTGGGGAATTATTAATATTTTTGATATCATTATTATAGAAATATTAGTATTAAGCTATACAATTTAATACTATGTTAATTTAATAGTTACCTTGTCACCGGCTAAGATCCTGAAGCTGTCAATAACTTGCTCAGCAGTGTCAGTGTCAGTTGATTCCCTGGTCATGAAGTCCAAGAAGGCGTCGAACGAGACGTAGCCTGTTATGATTATTAGCATTGATTAATATTAAATTTATTTCCTTATATATATAATATACATACATATATAAATAAATATGATTTATTTTCTTACCAGTGTTGTTAGGGTCGACAACAGCAAGAATGCGTTGGAAGTCCAGTTCCCCTTGCCTGTCTTTACCGATGCTGTAGCCGAGTGACACGAGGCAAGATTTAAGTTCTTCAGGAGCCAGACGACCTAAAAACAATATAAGTAGATAAAGTATTTCATATTTAAATATTTTGAGAACACAAATACATATAGCTCGTCTTAAATCTAGCTGAGTGCAGATTATTTATGATTTTGATTATAAAATGATATATGTATATAGGTTAAGTATTTTACATTTAGATATTTTAGCAACAAAATTCATACATATAGCTCGTCATAACTGGCTAAGTGAAGATTTTTGTTCTGAATTCGAATTTTAGAAGTTTTTTGTAATTATAAGTTTTTATACCAGTGCGGTTTTTGTCGAAGTGGTTGAAGGATGCGCGGAACTCAGTGAGTTGTTCCTGTGTGATGCCCTTCGAGTCGCGCGTGAGGATCTGGTTTTCGACTTCGTTGATGGTGCGGTTGATAGACGTCAGTAGCTGCTCCCAGCCCACGCGGAGAGTCTCCATGGTGTATTGTGAATACCTGATATATAAAAATAACATCTTACATATATTTGTTCAATTTGGGATAGTCATATTTCTAAGAAAATAGATGTGATTGTAATTGTTTGGCAATTTAACCTTGGATGTTAATTAGGCATTTAAAATTTTTGGTTTTATACTTGTTTTTCAACAATAAATAACTCATACAAATAGGCTGATAGATTTGTTTTTGAAATTTGTTAGAAATAAAACTCTTTCTGTTACAATCATCAGATAGGTTTATCTACATCTGTGGATGATAATAAATGCAAAATAAATCTACTATTCCTGTCTAGTTCCTTCCATTCTACACGACACTGGCAGAATATACTGTGCAGGTTTTTTTGCACGGACGAAGCCATATTTAATACAAGTAACTGTTTGAACATTATTGAGCATCAAATAACTCACCTGTTTTCAAAGATCATGCCCTCCTGCACGGCTTGATGGATACGTTCTAGTTCTTCAATGTGCGGTTTGTAAGCGTACACTCCCGCCTCGTACTCCTTCAGCCGATGTAATTGGTCTTCCAAAGAGCCCTGAAATTCGGGATGCGAATTTTAAATTAATTGAAGGAAATTCGTATGAGTCAATACATTATAATTAGTTCATGAAAATAAAGTGTGTAATAAAATTTATTGAGGAAACTTTTGTCTTTATATAGAGAATGTTGATTAATGGTAGCTGTATTTATATCGAAAAACAAAAAAAAAAAGAATGAATTGACGTCCATCTGTTGAAATATATACATTTGTATTAGTTTCATCGTTTGAATCATTATAAAGGAATCACCGATAAATAATTTCTTCATGTACATATTTCGATTAATCGAAATAGAAATGGTAGAACATATTTTGACATTAAAATTTGTTGTAGATATGTATTATTTAAATGTAATATATACATATATTACCTGTAGTCCCATTCCGATTGCGGTGACGGCGTCCATCTGTCTCTCGATCCAGGGTCCCACAGCGTTGGCCTTCTCCGCGAACTGTCTCCTCAGCGTCTCGTTGTTCTGCTGCTTGCGGAGCTCCGCCGCTAGAGTGCTGTCCCGCTGCGGCACCAGCTGCCGCACGTCTGACCACTTGCGGTTCAACTCCTGGAAAGAGATATATATTATGATTTATGAGCATGAGTTAGTGATGGTTCAGTTAATGTATGAAACACGCCAATGGTATACAGTTATGATTTTAGTTTCATAGTTTTTATTACAAAGTTGTCAAGCGATCATTTCTATTCTATCTACAGCTATTAATTTGAGGAGTTTTTTTTGTATATTATCATTTCGCAAGGACATTTCAACCTTCAATATTTTCCATACTTTCTATGATCTTCATATTCTTACATGCGCGGTGAGCGTGGTGTAAGGGTTCTCCAGCCCTCCGGGTATCTGGTGCTGCTTCACGATGGCCTCGACCTGGTGCACGAGGTTCACGATGGCCTGGTACTCCTTGTCTGCCTCCCCGAGGGTCGCCTTGAACCGAGCGTGCGCGTCCATCAGTCCGGAGATCTCCTCGATGGTGTGCACGATGAACATGTCCACCAAGTCCTCGCGAGTACCGTCCAACCTGATGCAGAAATATAATAAAAACATTAGTTAATTATTGTGTAGCCTAAAAATTATCCTTATATATCATAATATGGAACATTACCAATGGCCAATGGGCATGTTTAAAAAAAATTATAATGTGATTTCTTCCGTACTTTTATTTATAATATGAAAGTAAGAATTTAATTCACTAATGTATTACAATTATACTTTTATGGATTATTAGCGCATATTTGCTCACTATATGAAATAAAATCAAATCGACTCCACAAAATTTAGTCTTATAGAAAAAAAAAAATTCTCTGATCGATTCTGTCAAGTGGTCAGTCAATTAAGTCAAGTCAAATGTAATGTCTGACTGACCAGTTGTTGAAGGGCGCGGCTCTCTTCGCGAACTCCAGATGCAGGAGGTCGATTTGTTCGAGCAGACGTTCAGCATCATCAAGGGCGGCGCGACGTCGTTGAGTGAGGGCTCCGAGACGGTCCCACTGGGAACAGATGCGCTGGCAACGAGCGTTCACCGCTCCTACCTCGTGGTACTCCAGAGTACTGGAAGAATAGGATAAAACATTTATTTAGTGACGCTTGAAATATTCTATTAGTAGCCAAATAGAATATTGTGCTCGAAATCGAAATATCTAAAATAAGTAGAGCCCAACCAACTTTTGAGTGGATCGTCGGTGATAGCAAATTAAAAAAATTCTTTCTAATGTTTTTTTTTGCTTAATTAGTCGTCGTAAAAGTTTTCTCTACCAAAGAAAAAAATAAAAATACATAAATATATATTTTTTGTTTCACTGGATCAATAGTAATTTGAATAATAATTCATTTTGCCAAAGTAGTATACATGTACAACTGATTAAGAGTATTTGTTATTCATCAAACTTACTTCAACTCCTGAGCGATGGCAGCGATCTGTTCGACCCGGTCCTGGTGCGCCGCGAGGTCGGACTCGAAGGCCTCGTGCTTCTTCTTCAGAGCCTTGATGTCGTACAACTTGCATTGCCTGAAGTCCTGGGACTGAAGCATCTCTTCCTTGCCTGAGTTGGAAAAATCAAATTATTTCCATTCATTGAATGTTAAATTAAATGCAATATATAAAGCAACCAATCTCAAGTCAAGTCAGTGATGGCCTACTGGTTAAAAAGCCAGCTTCTTAGGCACGAGGGCGCGGGTTCTATCCTAGCCCCGGCAAGTACCTTTGTGATTTTTCCGAGTCATATGTACTTTCTAAAAGTATTTAGACATCACTGATTAATGCATTCCCAAAGAGGGTTGATATCAGGCCGGTGGTAAAAACAAATAACCTGAACTATTCAAAACATGTAAGGCAGACCCTGGCTATAGCTGGGAAATTGCCAGGTAGAAGGAGAAGATAAAGCAACTAATCTCTTTTTTGAAGGGTCGGATAATTTTAGGTATAGTTTTCATAAAAAAAAGTAAAGCTTTAATGAAAGTTTTAGTCATATTCTATTGATTATTAAGTACCTCTTGTCCAGTCTTCGTGTATGTCAGCCTTGTGCTTGAACTTCTGAGCCAGGTACTCGAGCCTCTCGAGTCTCATCATCTCGGAGAGCAGCCATTCTTCGAAGGCCTTCTCCGCTATTTCCAGACCCTTCCAGGCTTGGGCGATGTCCTGAACGAGAGAAATGTTAGAATTGGTCTAGATTTGTTAATTTGGTTGAGAATTGTATGTACCATCCGAACTTCTTAATGGTATTTTTTTGGCAGAAACAACTTGATGATAACTATCTGATATGCGTATACATAATATATGCTCAAATATTTTTTTTTGGTTATGTAGGAAGTTTTGATTGTTACTAAGGATTATATTATAAAATATGTTTTTCTCCTAATGAAAGAAAGAAAACGATTTGACATGATACTAACAGAAACCATTTTGCCTTCGGTGGGCATGTAGGCTGGGCGATTGCTGAGACGCAGTTTGGTCTGCAGCGTGTTGAAGTTAGTCTCCAACTTGGCCTTCTGTTCTACACGTGGTGGCTTGTGCTTACGCCTGAAACACAAATAATACTGATATATGTCTTGATGTGACTAAAAATAATCCAAATATGGTCCACATTGAGAAGCAAAAACGCATTAAGTTAACATATTCGAGATGTGTTTATTATATATAATCACCTGTAAGTACGGTAATCCTCCAGTTTCTTCTGGCAACCGGCGAGAGAGTTGTCAGTTTGGCGGCTGTTCAGCCAGGGCATAGTGCGTCGAATCCAGTCCAATAGCTACCAATATTATATCGTTATAATGTTATATTTCATACATATTATTTAAGGAACTATGGATACTCACATCACTGGCGAGACGTTCGTACTCTTCCATGAGGCGTTCGTTCTCCTGGTTGACTTTGAGAACTTTGCAGATGCGGTTTGCGGCAGTTTCAGCCTGATTATTTGAAGTAAATATTAAAATATGTTGACATTCAACGCTGTAACGTTGTACTAATTATACATTTCTTAACATTTATTAAGATGAAATCGGACAAGGTATTTTTAATTATTATTGGGACATTACACAATTCTTACAAATAGAACAAACATGGAAAGCTGATAAATGAATGTCAAATGACAAACCTTCTGAGCGCCAGAGAAGCAATGGTAGTAAGACGAGACGTAGGTCATGACGGCTCGCTCGTCCGGCATGGCCGTGTTCTGCAGATCTAGCAAGCGATGCGCGCGACACGGGTTAGTTCATGCGATGTTATTGTATCGTTGGATTGTATTCTCGTGTGAAGGTACTTAGGACTTAACGAAATAATGATGGGAACTGAGGTTCACGAAAACTGATGACTTTTGAAGCGTAAATTTGATTGGAATACTGTTGATTTTCGTGAGTTTTTTTTTGTAATAAAAAACTCAACCATTTCACAGATAATACAATCAACTCAATCGGTTTAATCTACTAAGTTATTGACGAAAATATAAGCTAAAATTGTTATAATGTCATACATATATCTTATAATTCAAAATCATTTGTAATTAGTATAAAACACTTTCTTAAATAAAATAAAATTCGTCTTATAATAAAACGACGTAGGGGAGACAAATAATGAACACTGGATTGGTATGGGGAGCATATGATGTTTGTATATTGATATATAATGTTCGTGGCATATATTTTTTTTGATATAAGCTCGTGAAAAATATTTTTTTTTACCAAAGCGTTTGTAAAGCAAAAAGCTGGAAATGATAGACGGAAACTGCGAATAGAGCTAACGAGACTGGTACTTTACAAATAGCTCCCATTACCAACATGTAGCTGCTCCCCTACAGTACAACACATTCGGTTCATGCTATAAGTGACACACAAAGGCCTGGCGTTAGGATCTCGGGTAACGAATTGTTTGGCAGCCATTTTTTATATACCTGTTGCGCGCCTTGGAACGCGTGGTAGTAACATGACACATAGGTCATTATGGCGCGTTCGTCGGGCTTGGGCGTGTTTATAAGGTCTGTAATATCCAGCATTTAACTATGAATCATTATATTTCGAGCTTCACTGTGTTCGGCTTCGATGTCCACAAAATTTAAATTCATTAACTTCGAACATAATATTTAAAATTAATAAACAATATTTATGTTTCTTACCGTCGGGGTCCAACATGCGAGGGATGTCTAGGTATTTCTCCGCGACATCGAAGGCGGTGTTCAAGTTCTCCAAGGGATTGTCTTTGGACAGCTTGCTGTAGTCGATCAGATCTGGTCTGTGCCTGTGGATCAGGGCACAGAACGCGAGACCGTCCTTGAAGGACAGGTGGAAGTTTTGCACGTTTACATTCTTGTAAGGCGCTGTCTTTCGTTGACACCACAGAAGTAGACCTTCCTGTAATTTGAGATAAAAGTATTAAGCACTTATTATTATTTTATTTTCTTTGATTATCCTAAACCTTGATATAAATAGGCCAAAATTTTATGTACCTTTGCGGTCATTTCTTCGACTGAGATGTCTTGAATTGCGAATCTCAAGATGATAGTCCAAATCATACCAAGGGTCATCTTAAGGTTGCCATCTACAATTTCCTCAGCACCGATGGAGACCAACTTCACGCCTGAAAGGAAGGAACACATAGTTTACAATAACGGTTTTAAAATTACTTAAAGAATGTTAAACATTGCATACTCGATATATGAAGTATTGAAATATAAAGAAATATGTATCATATAAAGGAGGATGTATATACATATATATATATATATATATATATGGAGGCATCGATCGCGACATCAAAGCCCGTATAACTGCGGCTTGGGCGAAGTGGCGTGAGGTGATTGGAGTTATTTGTGACCCTAAAATGCCAGTCGTGCTGAAGGGACAGGTCTATAAAACCACCATTAGGCCTGTCCTTATGTACGGCAGTGAGGCATGGCCCTGGGCGGGACGAACAACCGAGACAAACGCTAGGGTGATGATGATGATGATGTATCATATAAAGAATATTATTTATAGAGGAAATACAGCATCATTCTTAAATATATTATTTTTATTTTAAATATTGTTAGAGTAGAAAATACATTCTTACATTCTGTTATAGGGATAGAGGTTTAAGCTATAAAAAGAATTGAAATGCATCTTATTTAACGAAACCTCACAATAACGTTGTATTAGTGCCCTTGCAAGGACATAAGTACTGAAACCATTATCAAACAATTTATTTATCATAAAAATAAATTTATATAGAGATTCCCAGTGACACATGCCTTGACCGAATGGCTCCAAGAATAAAACACCTCGATTAGTTTTGGCTGTGATAAGATCGTTTAATTTTACGACTAGAGAGTTAATGAAGATGAAACTTTCTAGAATTGTCTACGAATTTTTATGTTAATTGATTCCTAAATGTATTTGCTCTTTACATACATGACATTGAGAGTCTAATGTTATCGATAAAAACATTAGTCACGCAATAAAATGAAATTTGAATATGTTTTTTATACTTGGTTGGATCGGTAGCTCTTGTTATCTTAATTTTGCAGGAAATTGGTACAGTTTGTATTTAGTTACTGTGTAATTTTTTTAATAACATTATGGTGAAAATTATTATGAATATTTTATTATTATGTTGAGTCTAATACGCGTATATTTCGTATAAAGGCAGTGGGATGAATAAAATAGAATTTCCACAATTAATAAAGGACACGAATAAATTATTACACGATCTTTAAGCCACGACCTTTCTAGTATTTTATAATACTACTGGGGCAGATTTATATCAAGTAGCTTCAACAATAACAATGAACCCTGGCCCGAACCTTAGTCTCTTGTTACCGCTCTCCTAAATTTAGAGATCACTTCTTAGAAATGTGCCTTTGTTAGCAACGCTCGCGACGTCACTAGACTCACCTACTATGTTTTCGTATCTGGGACGGTGAACTCTTGAGTGCTTGTTTTTTTAGAATATTAATATATAACTTATCTTTACCAGCTAACTGATATTTATTTTGCGTTATTATTTTAATTATACCTCTTTTAAGCGTCTCATTGAAATAGTTTACCTTTTGAGGCAATGAAGTCTAGAGCCTTGTTGACATTAGCGATCTTGTGGAAACGCATTTTGCCGCGGTCAGGCTTGGGCAGGGTCTCTCCAGAAATGACTTCAAGCAACAGCATCAGTTTTAAGCCATTGCGGAAATCTTCTTCGATGTTTTCGATGCCAGTGCCCGCCTTCCTCAAATGGCTGTTGCACCATGCTGTGAAGGTCTGAAAGATTTATACAAAATTACCATCAGTTACACGAACGTGTACGTGTTTTCGTATGTATATTTTGTTACTGTGTTTAGGTCTTAGTTACGCAATTCTTTGGAGCTGCATATTGTTTTGGTTTTAGAGAGCTATAAATATGTCCAACGAGGTTATTAAATGAGATACACATGCCGTGTGCAGTCGTTTACCGACGTGTGTGTATTATTTTAAAAGCAATATATTCTTCCCAAATACTCCTTAAGCATTGTTTGAATATTTTATTTTATACTATAATTTAAACTGACTAAAATAATCTTGACTTTCAACGATCTCTGAATTGTCTGTATTATCAAATAATAAAAACTTTTTATAAACATTATTTAAACACTTTAAAATAACTACCAATGTCATTCTCAACTCATAAATAAATTTCAATTTAAAACTAAACCCACAGAGTATTATGATACAGATATAAATATTTTTTTATTTTTTTGTGTGTATTTATGTGCAAATATATTGATACAGGGAAAATGGAATTACTTTTCACTGTGTTATATCGAATTAAAATCTATAAGTCTGAACGATATTTTGTTAAAACTTTCATTGCTACTAAAGATGAAAAATATTAAACAATTTTACCATATCTTATTCTATATATTTCACGTTTTCTTTGTAACATAATACTTCGTGTTGTGTTACAAAGTTCTGTGTTAAGTTGAATGTTAAATATCGGGAATACCAATTAATGCACCTAGGTGTTGTGAATCAATACTGCGCTTCTGATGGGGGAGTTTTGTTGTAAAGAGGGTGCAACCCTATTCAAAATTTGCGAACACTCGTTTTCACTTACATAGCTCCTGCTTCGTATATCTTTTGCTGTTTTTCGTTACGTGTTCGAAATACTATAAATATATGTTATAATACAATTAATATTTATTAAGTATTTTTGTATTATTTTCTAAGTTTATAGTGGCGACATATTCATATAAAATACTCGCATCAGATTGTAACATAGAATAGAATTGTTGATGGTTTTTAATTACCTTGCTGGCAGTATTTTAATTGGTCAGCAACGCTAGTCTAAAATAATGCTGGTTTCAAGACATTTTTATTCTCTCTATGAATAGTAACTCTGTTCATCTGATCTCAAAATACTATATGACTCATAAATTTAACAGTAATTATCGATTTTTATAGCTTTGTACGCTCTCATGTTATATTTCGGATGATTACCGATATTTTAATTTTCCGTTGCGAGATACAAGTAAGTTGTTTGTGTCTGTTGCTGAGTAAAACAGAAATGAAGGTATAACATATTGATCGTAATAAGAATATTTTGTCTCTTGGTATTATGACTTATTAAACGATCTATGTATCCTTTGAGCCGGAACTAAAATCAAACCTTTGCAAACAAAACTAATGCTACAATCACGCATTGCCCTCGTTAGCCTTGGTATTAGGCAAGAATGAAAGTTGTAATATTGAAAATGGCTCGTAAATGAACACGAGATATACCGATGTGATATAGATATGGAGTAATGATGTAGCAAATAAATAAACATCAAAAAGAAAGGTAAAGTAAGTCAACTGTGAAGTCAAGGTAATCGTCAAAATAACGCTCTGATATTTTATTAAACTTTTTCCAGGATTAGAGTTGTTTTATTTTTTACATCACTATTTCCAACACAATGTTACTACAAATCCACGTAACTTTCATTGGATAATTCCGCTTTAGAAGCATATTGACATAGTAAGTTTGAAACTTAATCATTTTCTAAATTTAATGACTTTAAAGGTAATATTCTCACTATCCCCAAAGATACGTAAGTCTGCTTGTATCAAAACATATAATAAATACAAAAATTATAAGATCACCGAGAAAAATGTTAATAAAAATGTATCATAAATGCTTTTCGAACACGTTATTGTTATTGCAAAAATGACAACGATTCAAATTATACAGCCCGAAAAGCAAATAATTGGAATGAAATAATAAATTTACAACAATTACAACGCAGCTGTCTAGCAGGTGACCATTCAGAATACTAGTTTGAACTGAATTCTGAGCTGTGCAAGCTATTGGTTCTATTTAATACAAGAATGTAATAGAGTCCAGTACCATTCATTCGTGCCTCGCCTCAATTTGTATTGACGTTGACAATTCAGTTTAAATTCATATATATGTAGAATACATTTCCGAACATAAATATTATGTAGATTATATTATTATTATAGATTATATATATAACCTGCCTATCTTATGTCATAGACAATATAAACAAATATGTGTAAGAATTTATAGATAAATAATAAACAATGACAACCTTGCACAATAGCCATCACGTCAGAGTTGATATAACAGATATACAGAAGTAATTGATTTAATTGTTAGACTTCAAATTGTTTTGTTAGGTAAGCTGTTGAATGGAGAGGAGATGTGATTGTCGGTAGATTCTAGACAACATTAAAAATATATTCAATCTTATAATTTATGGTAATAAATTAAAGAATGATTGGTTTAGTAGTTTTTGGGTAAGATATTTAAATAAAGAATATAATTTATTTATTTATTTTATATATCGAGAGGATTCAAAAGTTACCAGACTGCATTCTAACAGTGCACTTCGTAAAATGAGTCACCATAAGAACTCGCGTCTTGGCACAGAAGGGGTAATAATACCATTAATGCATGACCTACAATTTATTATATGTTACACATCACATCAGATTAATGGTGTGGGTAACTGGGACAAGTTGAACATAGCAAGGTCTGAACGGAAAACATATTAATAATTTAATATTTTTAAAATACAGCTGTTTATAACTTTATAATTCACGCTGTGGGAATTAATCTGATATTGAGCATTAATAAATATTTTTAGTTATCTTTTCAAGGTTTTAATATTAATAAATAGAGGAGACTCCATACCGTTTTGACCTTTTAAGGTCGAAATAAAATAATATACACAAAAAAATATCCAGTTGGAAGTTAACTTTTTTTCTGTAATTTAAATGTTTCTACTTTTATACGCTACACATTTTCTACTTGATTCATTGCCTTTTCTTCTATCCTAATACAGATTCCTACATGGAACACAATCGCTCCGTGACTAATAAAACGTGCAGCGGCTAAAGTTATTACGAAACGAATGTGTAAAATAGTTTTCAAGGAACACATAAAATGAGAAACTATCTTATATAAGTGGCCTCGTATAGATATGTCCCTGAAATGAAACACGCGCCCTAGAAAGTGAAAATAATATATCATCACCTTGCCTAACTCACGGTCGCTTTAAAATAGCTTGCAGGTGTAGCTTCATTTCGGATTCCAACATCATGAGAAGGTTAACACAAGGTGAAAATTGGCTACATTAGTTCCGGACTGAAACGAACATTAGCTGATGATGCATCTTATTGTTTTGTTCTTTATTCTTATAATACTTTAAACTAGAATAATTTTCTTACCAACACTAGTGATATAAGGTCTTTGAAATCAGTCTATATCTATTGGAGTTGTTAATATATATTTTACTCCAAATATTCACAGATCTATAAAGGTATAGGTCAGTAAATTATTTGGCAAGTAATTTGTTTGGCTGCAACGAGGTTTGATATGCGACCTATATTAATATTAAATATAACTATCCATTTAATTAAATTTGATTTATTAGAAACTTATATTTCAATCACTGACATATTTATTCGTTTCTTTACGCGCAAAGTGTGTATATATAAATATATTTCTATATAAAAACATTGCTGTTTTCGTATTATACTCGATAAACTTGTATGGTCAATATAATCGAAGAAAGTTTTGTCTCGAAAATAACATGTTTAGAAAGCAAGGAAAAAACATATTTCGTTTTCAATTAATTTTATATACCACCTGTGTAACGTGATGTAGAAATTTCGAAGCTTACGAATCGAATATTGATTAGGAAAAAGTTATAATCTGCTATGTTTTGAAATATTAAGTAGGATTAGATAACAATATGGTTGGTTTACACTAAGCAGTGTTTATTGTATCGCGGTTACAGGAAAGTTATAGAGCATTACAAACTCATTCATTTACATTGTTAAATTTCATTGCGATATCACGTTTCTAGACTTTGTTAGACTTACAAAGGATGCTGTCTGAATAACATAGAACGGCTTATTGTATGAATTAAATAAACTAGAATTTATTACGAACTAATTTAATGACTGGTTTGTACGAGATATAATTTGCATTAAATTATAAGAAAGAAATGACAACATACTTTGATAAATTATTTTAATTAGTGGCCAGTATTAAATTTATTAATAGTTTTGACATAGATAGATACTCTGTGGAAAAAAATATACCTATAGTAGGTAATACAAATATTATCATTTTGAGACATAGTAATTTTATAGCTATTTACCTACGTGCTGTTAGAAATAGTTAAGCTTATCTTTAGTCAATAATATTAAGGTAAGAAAGACATTTTTATTTATTGTTTTCTTGATGTAGATAAAATACTAATACTACTAATAGAAATATCAATTTCTCACACTAATTGTACTAGATCTACTGATTATCCAAAAGGATTTATTTGAATATAAGTAAATTCGAAGCATGATCGTCTTCTGTCGAATTGTTCCAAATTATTTCTGTAAAACATTGGTAGGATTATACTTCAACGTTAAAACCACAATGACATCACTATGAAATAATCGTTTGCCAGCAAAAGTAAACAACACGGTGTTTATTCAATTGAAACCTAATTAAATGGCCAATCATAAACACGAACCGTTCTCGTTTCAACTGATAAACACCTGGTAGAGGTTACGAATTTATTTAGCGACCTGTCATTTAAATATAAAATACCGCTATCTGGTATAGTTACATTAATAAGCAAAACAAAAAATATTTGACATAAAGTTGACATATTAGATTAGAATTTCTATTAATTCATATTAACGTTCTTTGTCTTTGATCTGTATTTTTTATTAAATTAAAAATTGTAAGTGTCAAATCGGTATAAAAGCGGTTTCAT